CTTAAAAAAAACGTTGTTCAATGTTACATTCACGTGAACATCCGAACAGGACCAATTAGAATTGATTTTACATGTGATACGTTCGCTAACAATAATATCGGGAAACAACGAAACAAACAAAATACGCATTTACCTTCAGTGTACGCTAGCGTTCACAGCAACAACAGTAACGAGAATAAGTTCGTGTATTATGCTGGATGGCTGAACGCAAAAGCGGGACTTTTGGCTGACGTGTCGGGACGGCGGGACAAGACGCAAAAAGCGGGACTGTCCCGCCTAAAGCGGGACGTATGGTAAGCCTAAATAGCCTAATTTAAAGCAGAGTTAAAACTATGAACACCCAATTTATGTAACGATAGTTAATGGTAACGAGTCCACTTCAGGAGAATTGTGAGAAACACAGCTCGATAATCCGGGGCAGTGGGATTAGTTGCATGGACACTATTATACCTTTGGTTGCTAAATTAAATGGTTAGAGTAAATGATGTGGTAATTTTTATAGATAAATTTCAAGTGTTATGAAAAAAATGATCTTCGCGCGGAGGAACATTTGCGAGAAAGAAGTTATGAAGAATTCGGTTTAGTATTGAATTGAGGGTGGACATACCATGGGATGACCCGTTGTCATCTTTTAGTCTAAAATTCTGTATCTGAATTGTAATGCAACTTGCCAAATACAAATATGAACAAAAATATCAGCAATAAATTTTACAACACAGTGGGCGAGAAAAAACAGAGAGTGGCAAGCGCCATATAGTAAATAATATCAACTCTATATAAGTAGGACTTGGCGTTTCAAAACACTGATAAGTCGAAACGACGCTGTTCGACTTTCGAAACGGGTACTTTTACGTAGTAAACGAGAATATCGGTCAGAGACCGAAGACTTATCGATCGAAAGTTAGGGGATCCCCCAAAACACAAACTGCGGTTTTGATTCATCCGCTATGACTTTATAGCGACACCGTGTGTCAAATCACTGAAAAATTTATAACTCGCTAGTTATACGACCTAATACATCCAGAATCAATAGGCTTCTGGTCCGAGATATGATGAATGTACAGGGAAAATTTGGAATAGATTCAATCTCGCTTTCGTGAGATATCGCGTAACATACGAAACTGTCTAACAGACAGACAAACAAACAGACAAATACCTATCAACATACTTACCGATCAAGATCGACAAGTAATGAGATTCCATGATACTATAATTCAATGGTGGTGGGTAACAAAGTGTGTTATCCTAAGGTGTCGCAGTCTGCGGATAATATTCATCAGTTATAGCAACCTCAACTCCCTGAGAACAAGTCTACTCAACTGCAGGCCATACTGCTATAGTATTGAGGTCTGACTAAACAGGCAAACACGTGAAGCAATTGCGTTTTAGAGTAGATTTATGACTGCATGGCATTTAATAAGGGTAAAGTCACTACCTAATAGTTCATTTACATCAGTAGTTTTCAAACATTTTTAGTCCCAGAGCCAAATTTCAAACCTCAAAGTTATGGAGAGCCGCACACAAACAACGCAAGGTAAAATAGCAACAAACCTTAAGCGCGTATTTAAATACCAAGTCATCGTAACAACAACACACGTGTCAACTGGGGCTGGGCAAAATATTCGATTAACGAATCGATATACTATTCGAATATCCGTTACCACGTGACCTGTGCCGCTCCGCTTGGACACCGAACTCCAACTCAATCGTGAATTGTGCGAGATTATTGTAAGGCCTACAATAAGGCCTAGAAATGCCTTCATTGCCGATTTATTCAATTGCTATTTTAAATCAACATTCAGGATTCACGCAATCACAAATTTGCTATGTTTATCTATCTAATACTAAAATAACACGAACACCGTAGAAAGGCATGAGAAACTCAATTATCATTTTAATAAATATCTGCATCTCGGTTACCGTTCATTTTAAACAGGCACGGTTAATTTACAAGCGGTGATAAGTAAGATCAAATTCAAGGCAGAGGATAAAATTAATTTGGTTTTGAAATCAGGCCTTAATGTATAAATCAGCCCTTAATGTATTCAACAGCTGTCGCTGATGTAAACGAAAGGGTATACTAGTAATATGAAACTCCGATATCCGGCGACCTCTCATGCTTGCAAAAAACGGGAAAGGGCGGGAATATAGAATACCAACTTCAGGATATCGCCGCCGAAACGATCGCGGTGACAAAGACAATCATCGATTATGATGAAATTAACCACCCAGTATAAAAACGCTTTATTGCCGACTTTTCGATGTTTCTATTACTTTCCAAATGGAGTATCGACCTCCGACGTTCTGGATCCCTGTTATGTATAAAAAAAATATTCATTATTCGACTATTCGTTAAAAATTTTCAAATTATTCGACTCGAAAAAATATTCGATTTTGCCCACCCTAGACTAACAGCCATTTAATTTGGCTTTGATTTCTGATAAGTTTGTCAAAGCGGGTCGTAATCGTGGAGGATGCAAGGTGCAGTAGCTGCTTGAGATGATCGCCACATATTTCGGGACTATTGTCGATTACTGAAACAAAATTAAAATGCTCTAGAAATTAAAATAATCATTTATTTGATTTATACATAATATTCGGAAATGCGACAAAAACTGGAAATCTACAAAAGCAAGCCAATGATTACAGCCATGTTTAAAATCTTTCCAAGTTAAAAGTGTCCGAGTGGCCGCGAAAACGCTTACTGTTGCGTCACTATTGCATCTTGTGGATTATTCAACGCTACGCAAATAAACACGGGGGAATCCATTCGACTAACTAATAGACTTCCGCATTTTAATTTCAAGTTAATGATTAGTTTTTAATGAAAATTTTTCTTTGAAAGTAATTAATTTTCAAAGCATTAACAAGAGCCGCAGGAAAGGTTGTTGAGAGCCGTAGTTACATATACAAGCTTGTACCGTTTGATCATTGTTTTGTCATCAAGCAGAATCCTTTGTGAAGAGAATAACTTTCATGCTTTCAACATTTCAATTGTAGGCTCGTTAAACGAGTAGCTGTATACTAATCGTCGTGGGCCGGATTACCTTACTTCGCGGGCCGTATCTGGCCCGCAGGTTGCCTGTTGGATTTATTTACATCTCTATAACAGAGTGTGATTCTGATTCCAGTTGACAAATTAGTGCCAACCGGACGGAGACAATTGAAGACTAGACTAGCATGGTTTCGTATATTCGTACAGGTATACACACAAAACTGATTTTATTGCTTGAACATGCATCTACACATTTGCTCAAGGCACCGTATATTCAACTAATGAAAATGCTCAAATCAGACGTATTGCAACTGCTTTAAAACATGGTGCCGTTCATTCAAAAAGTCTTTTAAATTCTCTTTACTTGAAATTCGCAGGTCGATTTACGCCCACTCATTCTGGAATATACGAGAATCAATTTCAAATCTAAAAGCACGAGACTGTTTTCATATAACCTTTATCACCAACATCACAGCGTTCATCTATACGTTCGCTAACTCTACTATATTAAGCTCTACAACCCGTTTCTATGACACCCAAATTTAGAGCGTAAGATAACGCCTGTTTCAGGCGGATCAGCCTGTAATCTAGTTAGTAGTCAGTCTCTGTAGCAGGACGATTTCTGACAAATAGCATCTTCGCGATGTTAGTAAAGATTATTACCCACAAATTATAGGGTAGGTTGATCATCATGCTCCGACAGTTTTATATCCCGTCTGATCCGTAAAGTGGGCAGAAGGGTACTCCCGTAGTAGGTATACCAGGTTAGGGTTAGTTTTTAATCCGATTTTCCTCATTTTGGTTCTATTACGAGTTCGTTTGTGTTAGCCATTTGAATATACCCTCTGCCCATATGCTTCCGTCCCTTTACACAACTTGATGTAAAGTAGACAACAAAATTAGTTACCGCCATATTGATACACATACTTCTGGAGATATTTTATCATTGCCACGCGAGGTAAATCGAATTTTTTTTGCGGTTTGAAGAACGCAGAAAAATCTTAAAATGTAATCAATATTATTATAAATATTGCAAAAATCGGTTTATCCGTTTTCACATTTTATTTGGGAAGTGGTTATTCGAAAAGATACATCAATATGCATCAATTATTTGTGTTGTCATTATTCAATAACCATCATCGGTTCTTCAATTTATATTTCTAAGTGCGCCTTCTTGATACCATTGGCTGAACGGAGAATGATGCTATAACTTATCCTCCTAGTGATTATATATGAGCGCATAAAAACGAAGTCTGGACGAAAGGATACAGAAGGGCAAACGGGAATTAAAGATAAAAGCTCGGATGCGCATATTACATAATCTTAAATTTTTATTAACTTTTCTTTCTCATAGGTTTGTTCACTCTCCATAATTCCCCATTTGCTATTCGTGTATATTGCGGACTTTTCAAAATAAGCTATCTATCGATTTATCCATGTGGTTTAGAATGCAGCTGGTATTTTATCTACAGAAGCCGGACTCTGACAACAAATAGACTTCGAATTAAAAATAAAACAAGCTGGATTGGCGACTCCCGTTTTGGCCTTAACGATTTCGTGCATCAGATATTAGCCATTATTGAACGAGTTATTTCTTACCGCAGAATCCATTTTTTGTACTTGTGGCACCTGGGCAACACTCAAAATTTTTATTATTTCTTGCATACAAAGTTTTGAGATTAGTTCTCATGTCTGGTCCACCTTCTACAGATTTCTGTTTTTATCAAGTAAAGTGAATATAGCGATTGTGAATTCACTTCATAGCATCAATTTGGCCATCTCCAATGTCAGATTTTCAAAAGGTTTGGTGTCTTTAACAAACAGCAGCTGTTATTCATAAGACAAGTGATCAGCCTGTGGTCTACGGGTCCTATTGCAGTGCTTTATTTTAAAGATAAGCGATAAAATTCAGATATTAGCCATTCCATATTTTAGGAGCTCGAATAGTTTTTTGAATCAAACTTGTTTACTGAGAAATGGATAATGCCTCCTTAAAATTAAGAAGTTTGGGAACAAATATCTCATATATTTCTAAAATGACGCTGGGAAATATGGGTATAGTATATTTTATCAATTCACAATCAATAAACCAGAACAATAGTCCTCGTCAAATAAAAGAAAGTTAAAACTGAACAATAATGATTCTTCAAAACTAGACCCGCTAACTCGAGATCAGCTTTACCAGAACATCATCTATTTAACTGTACTTGAGTTTTAAAAAACAGCAACCGAGATGCAGTTGGAAAAGGTAAAATTCACCTTGAATTCAGCAGGGTGCCAAGTATTGGTACCAGCCACAGAATATCTTCAAAATCGAGAGAAAATTCATGTTGAATGGAATTTACTCAATAGCAAACTCAATTATTGATGAAAACAATTTGAAAAAATAATTGGGCATTGTTAGATTACTGCTTTGCTGTCGTTTTCCATTTGATTGGAGCTGAATTGAACTTGGCTTTGCATTAGCTTACTTTCAGTGTTGTTCATATTAGATTCCTGTTCAACTAATTCAGTTTCTTTTTCATAAAAATCATCTACAGTCAATCTGCTATAGTTTCGTGAAACAAAAAACATTAATAGTGATTCAAGTGGTAGCACTATGGCAAAGTATGTACAAATATTTGTGACTACAACGCAGATCATTGTTGGTAAAGTGTCTATGGTAACTATCCCTAAATAGCCAGCAAAGACAGCACAAATGAAGGTCAATGTAAATAACAAAATGTGGATGATTCTTCGATTAGCAGAAACCTGAAAAGACAAATGAAGATGCATGAAACAATCTAGAATATTAAAATGAGCTGATAACTTACAGAATTTTTAAGGTACAATGGCAAATGAAAATCACAATATGAAGAATAATCTTTTTAGTCAGGTTAAAAATACTAAATAGTGTTCATTTCTTAATTTCTTTGAATGAAATATTGGAATATTAACTTTAACAGCAAGTGATTAAACTGCACATATGGATATCCTGAATCAATTCTTACATTGTAAAAATTGTTTGCAGGTGTAGACAGAAGAACTTTGGTTCCATGAATTTCTTCTTTCGTTTTATTTTCAATCTCTTTTCCCATCAACAAGTTTTGCCCTTCACCTCCAGCAAACTCTCGCCTTTCCTTCAAGCAAACAGATGAAGAAAAGTCACCTAATTTTAGTATGTGTACCATAAAGATAAAAATGTTTGGAGAATAATAATGCCTTTTAATATCTTGGTAAACAAGGTTTCCTGCAAGACTTAGAATACTTTTATGATACGAATATATATTAAACACAAAAAATACACTAATAACAATGCTAATTACCGTACTTATCAATTCCATGTCAAATATTTTTCGTCATCAATATTTAAAAATTCTGTTGGAGATTTTATAGACATCTCCAATAGACAGAATAATAATCTCGTGAGTAACTCGAATTGAAAAAGAGCAAGGGGGGCACATACAACCTACCGTACATCACCAGAAGTTGATGGAACAATAAGAGTTTTGTTTTGAATTCAGTTTGTAAGCATGATACAAGTGATAACCACAGACTCAATTCTGAACTGGAACTGCTTGCCCTTGGCAGTTTGTATATTAACACTTCGATTTTTTACATGGATGCTAGTTTTTGTGAATGCTTTTGTACGCAAAGTTTATGTTTTTGATCATGTTATCAAGGTTAACTAGCAACTCTTCCTAGGAAATATTTCACAAAACTTTTTTCTTGTTGAAACATCAAATTGAACTAACCTGTTGCAAGACATCTTTTGATGTTGGCAGATGAGAAGGTTCTGCCTTGACAATATCAGAAGTTATTGAATCAAAATCATTGTCTTCAGCATGATAGCTTGAAGCATGACTCATAAATAGACCTGAAAATGTAATGGAAAAAAGATTAGTTATATATCTGACCTATCAACATAGAAATTCGTGTCAATGTCTACAAACGTTCTATAGCAGGGCTGCCCAAGATGACATTTCCAACATGATTTTGCACCTGTGACTCATTACATAACAAGTTTCTTTCCTTTAGTGCTTGGCATGAGTGTTTTCCTTAATTGTCTTTGCGCTACTTTTCTTTACATTAATTGTTATCAAATTCTGTAAATACTACATAGCTAAAGATGCCACTATAAGTAAATGTTGCGCTTGTTATAAACCTGTCCTTCTATTTGACATGTCGAAAAATGAAATATCAGTTTGAAGTTGAAGATAAGATAGTTTGAATGCATCGTTTGACAAAATATAAGAGCAATGCTTCCTATTGTGTTTCAATGCCGATATGACAAGGCTTGAGTTGTGTAGCTGAGCGCCGACTTTGTTGAAAAGATGTGGAGTATTCATCCCCATAGAACCCATAAAAATATATATACTGTATCCAAAATGTATCCTAGCAGCCGATAAAACTTCAGTTGCTATGTAACCATTAACATTTAGCTGATCAGCCAACACTAGGGGAATGAAAAAGTGAGACGATGCTGAGAACTTTAAATTGCTATGACATTTTTTTCCTCAGTAGGTTAGCAAAAAATGCATAACATCATGATTGTGAAACAAACACAGTTGCAGTCCAAATTTAATACTCAAAAAGTCTGGATTCGGACCATGGTCGGCCAGTTGAGTAGCCCTGACCTAGACCAACAATATAGCAGGTGGTTGTGATTTAAGATATGAGTAAATCATTTATAAGTCTTGTCGTTCTTGGTTGCTTACCATAGAATGGATATATCCATACATTAATGCGAGAAAAAATGTTAAATTTACCTTGAGAAGGTCTCATTACAGAGTCCCTCAACAAGAATGATATCGAAGGATCCCCGATTTCCGATGAAAAATCCTTGTAATCTTGTATTTTATCATTCCTGGTTTTGACAAAAGATGGTGAAATATATTTTTCCATATCTTTATGTTCCATGAACATCTCTTCAGGCCTGAAGAAATATTTATACATAATCCTTACACAATAATTTTGTCTTAATGACTATATGCCAATATTTTAATTCATTTTCTAACTTAAATCACTATCTAATTAATAAACGACAAGTACACTGTTATCTAGATTCTAGTGCATAGGTTCTCAAAGTGTCCCATACGGAGACCCAGGGCTCCGTGATAGAACCTAGACGCTCCGCTAGGTATTCATCTATCTATTGAAATACTGAATATTTTTAAATACAGAGCAAAAAAATACATCATACTCATCAAACAAATAATTTTAGTTTACTCAGGGACATTAATCGATAAATAGCAATGTGTTTTTTTGTTTTTATTTTAATGAATTTATGGTGGTGCTCAGTAAATAACAGTCAACCTCTTCGCAGGCTTTGTAACACGAAACGTTTGGAAACCCTGATCTAGACTTTCTGAAACACATAGTAATAAACCCAATATAGTCCCCATGCTTTATCTATAGTGTTACATTTTTGCTGCAGCTGTCAGTGAGGTAAGTTATGACAATTTTTCACACTTTCACCTGGCTTCCACCATTATCAAGTAGGGTATTTCACATAACCGCTGATCGGTTACAGTCTCTTCCACGATCAAGTCCATGCATCTTGAAAAAAATAACTTATTCCATACCTGACATGGACTGGTCACAGGACAAGAGGCTTTGGCACACTATATGATTGGGCCTTCTTATCTTCTTTCTTTTCCCCAGTATAAAATGATATCTTATCTTATAAAAACATACCTTTGCAACTTATCGGGAACAAATATCGTATCTTTCTTATATTTTGGAAATATTCTTCTATTTCCTCCAAAATTTGGTTTGTAAGGTGTAGCTGCAACTTCTGAAACCGTTACTTTTGAAGCTGATGACGAAGCTAGAATAGTTGGTTAATTGTGTGATTAATGACAATATATATCCGAAACAATCACCATAATGAGTATTACCGTATATATTAAGGTCATTGCTGTTGCTGCATCATGAATATTGCAATCCAACCCACAAGCCAAGTTATCTCTAAAATTTAGTTTAGTCATGATTCAATAAAGATGTGATTTCATGACTTGGAATTCAACTTTTTTTTAAATTTTCCTTTTGACTTACAGACCTTTTATTCATTTTCCAGATGCCTTGAAATACAAGCATGTATGGTGATTTAATGGGTTGTAATTACATACAGGGCTGCCCAAATGAATCCAGGTCATTTGGAACATATTCCAGAGAAAACATAAGCTTTGTGAAAAGTGTCCTAGATTATCGAAACTTTTGTGTACAATCATACACAAACACAAGTTTGAGCGTTAAATAAATTTTCTTCATTTTAATTTATGTTTTTTGGGGTCATACAGAGAAATTAGGAAAAGGACAAAATGTCTGATTTTAATAAAAATGTAATAGAGATGCCGGAGAACATTTGTAGAAATGAGGATAACATTTACCTGGAGGCAACCAAAGAACATGATCTGATGGAAACTGTGTACCAGCTTTCGATGTGAGGACAAATTTTTCTGGATATTGAACTCCGATCTCCACTTCTTTTTGTACAATTTCTGATCTGCACAAAGTACAGAAGACATTTAAAAGTAATGAGAAACTTCCCACACTTTTGAGTTCACAGAATCACGTCTGAATGTTTTATCTGGTTGAAAGTATTTTGCAAACAGAGCTGATATTAATTTGCAAATCTCATCAGAAATTCCACAGGAGTCGCAACTTTACATAAGTAAGCACTGATGACAGTAAAATAAAAGGTTGTACAACTTATACCATGATTATATAGTTTAGTATTGTAGACCAGTGGTTCCCAAACCTTTTAGAGTTGGAACCCACTATTTATCACCGCAGCTTATGGCGACCCATTTAACTTTAATGAATTAATAAAACATTGGTGGAGGAAACGAAAATAAGACCTGGCTTGAAAATAGGACCTAATTTGAATTTTAAAAATGATTTCAATTAAACCCTATCCTTAAAATAAATTTAAAATGTGTGGGAGAGGAAAAGCTCAATGACCTGAGGTAAGGTGAAGATCACACCACTATTCAAGATTGTGTGATGTCACAATCACAATTATGATGTTTGTCACTTGATTTTTGTATAGGAAATACAAATAAAAACAATGGATGTCAGTTTTTATATAATGTTTATTAAAAAATCTTGTGATTTTCAACAATGTAATTTTATTTTTGATAAATGAACACAAAAGAACTCTCTCAAAAAAACCCATAGTGTTATTCTTCAAAAGAAAATAAATCTAAATCCTGTCTAAATTTTGGGGAAACACGGTAAGAAGTGCTGTACAGTGTACAAAACTGCTATGCGTAAAAAAGCACATGGTCATTCTTTGTGTAGCAAATTTTTGTTCCTTTGAGAAGATCGAAAAAAGGAAACTTTTACAGATTAGAATTTAAATTCAATTTAATTTCTTTTGTTTTTTTGAAAATTTACGTATTCGAATCGCCACCGATCCTAATAACCAGTACAATTAATCAAAGCTATTTACATTTTTTCACGACCCACTGTGGGTCACACCACAGTTTTGGGAACCAACTGTCGTAGACTGTATGTTCGGATGTAATATATACATCTATTCTCATCCTTTAATCACGTGGGATATTGCCCTTAAATGACAAATCTAAAAGATGTGGCATTAGCTTTTTGGGATGACTACTTTATTTATTGACTCGAACTATTCATAAACAATGGCTTTCATTGGAAATGATTTCGTTGTTGTGCCATTGTGACTCTATTTTACCTCTAATTATATCATTTCGTCATTTCTGTAGGTGAGAACAAAAATTCTGTATACTATTTGTTCTTTTTATTTGATCTCTAATCCTATTGTGAGAAATATTTTTATAGTTAATTACGAAATCTCAAACTAAAATAATGTATTACAAACTTTTAAACAATATCAGAATTTTGAAAAAATGAAACTCACTCAGACATGGTTTCAAGGAGACGTTGACGCTCTATTTCTTGCTGGCGTTTCAGTTCTATAGAAAAATATAGTATAACACAATCAATAATAGAAAATGAATAGGATTTTCATGTGTATCCTAGAGGGAAAAGAAAGTTGATGGGACAAATTAATCATTTGACAAATCTGTGGTTTTGGTCCTGATCGTGTATGGAAATATAGAATTCATTGCCCCAGCTCATGTGCAGAGGAACTTAGGCGGTGGATATATTTAGGGATAAATTCAGTATTTCAGGTAAAATTAATTAAAAAGGCTGGAAATTGCTTATTTCAAAATTCTTTAAATCTTAATACCGCCTTATATTGGTCCATTCCAAGTGTTGGAAAAGCATGCAAAATACTCCGGTATAATGGAATTATTACGAATATACACATGCTTAAACTGTAATAATGATGTAACAAAGGCGGTATCTAGAATGCCAAAAAAAAAAAAGTGTTAACCATTCCACCCTAAGTTGTGAGCCAATATTAATCATTACGCAGGCCGTAGTTGGCCCACGATTTTGCCCCCCCCCCCCTAAATATTACCTCCTTACATAGCATTGGATATCAGTGATAGCTGTAAATAAAAGTCGAATTAAAAAATATTAATAAATTATTATTAATTATTATATTATTATTATTAAAAAATTTCACTGAGAGAAGGATACAAGAAGAGAGATCAACTGTATGAATTTTAATAACAATGTGAAAAAATGCAGGAATATCAGTCCTATCAGTACACTACTAAAATCAACTATCCAACAAGCAACACAAACGAAATTGTCTCAGGATATAAAACAAAACATTACCCTGCTCATCATCATAAGCTTTCTTTGCATCTGCAAGCATTGTGGGATTCTGCTGTCCCCATCTGATGATGTTGTTGGTTTTTCGTCAATCAGTTCGACATTAGAAGGAATCCGTCTATATGTTGATCTTCCCATAGAAAAGGTTCCGACGCAAAAAATAGCTTCTGTATTGGCGTATCTACACTCTGATGTACTTCATGCCATGCACGAGCAATTGTACTTTGTGACCACATGCTCGCACAACTGAGAATGTCGACTTCTTTCTGTCCGGGAATTGGACACTGAGAACATTGATCCTATTAGGTAAGAAAGTATGGTGTCAAATTTTTCTCTTAACAAATACAATAACAACAAAAACATCATTTTCAATTAGTAATACAAATGATGTTAGTGAAAAAAGTAGTCCAAGCAAACTGGATTTCTGTTTATACAGGGACTAAGATATTGTTAAGGCAATGTTTCCCAACTGGGGGGGATTTTGATGTTCTTGGGGAGGAAATACCAATTCGCATTTGTAGTTTTCAACAAATATTGCCTAGTTATTTAGTATTATCGTAATAAATATTTAATGAATATATTATAAAGCAGGGGTATGCAACAGATGGCTCGCAGGCCACAACACAGCCCATCGAGCATTTAGTGTGCCCTATCAACACTCAGATTTTTTCCCATCAAGCATAAATCCTCACCCGATAGTTGATGATAACAGTTGATATTAACAACTATGCAAGAACTCGAATTTCCAACCTGTTCCACAAAATGTTAATAACTGATATTTTGCATTGTGAGATTTTTTTTAATTCCATTTGTTTTTTTTTAATTAATTGTGTTTAATTAATTATCTGTAGTGCATGGAGGATAAAGAGATTCAAGAGGCATAGAGATGAATTTTATCAAGAAAGGCTGGGAACCACTTATGTCAATCCTATGGCAATAAAATATAATGAATATTGGTTGGTATAATCCAGCTACAGTCATCATAAGTTGATCCCATGGATACCTGCCCCATGACTGGCATAACATGATCTTGTTCTTCCTATTCTTTGTTTCCTTCCGTTTTTCCGCTGCTTCTTCTAATTTTTTGTTTGATATGTTAATCTTATATTCTGGGCCTAGAAAGGAAAATAACAAGTTGGTAATAATCCCAAAAATAACCAGAACAATAGCAAATAAAACAAATATTTACACGATAAGTTCAAATCGAAGAATGTAGGCCAGATGTGTGCAACCTTTAATAACAAGAGGGCCACGTACAAAACCTCGGGCCGCACCTTCATTTAACATAGGCTTACTGGTGTTGCAGGCACAAAAATTTGGTTATTGATCTTATGACATGCGTTGTTCGCTCGCACAAGGGCATGCAACATCATATGCATAGATAATAAATTGGACTGAAGGTATAGGCTGTGCAATGCTAAGGGATGGGAATTACTCGCACATACCAGATTAAACTACGGTAAATTAAAAACTCGTTTCGGCAGGCAGAACATTATTTAAATTGGCCGCGGGCCGCACAATTTTTCCTTGTGGGCCGTATTTGGCCCGCAGGCCGCAGTTTGTACACCTGTGTTGGCAATGGTTTGAATCTTCAAAAATCATCACAGTAAGATCAGCGTAAAAAATCGTTATGGGCAGTTACAATATTAGTCACAATACTAAACTCATAACTCACAACAATGTCTATTTGATATAAATCAGAATATCTTCCTACCACCTTCATAGGTAGAAGATATGAAAAAAAAATAATGTTTCATTATAAAGGCATTGTTTTGGTGGTCAATTAATAAATAAAAAACTTACCTTGAAATATCAGGTAAACTTTCTGCAATTGCCTGTCTATACTTATGAGGTAATAGCAGAGAAGCAGTGGTGGCCAGAGTTGAAATACTTTTTGACTGCAAAGCAGTTACTGAAGCTGAAATATAAATGTTTCACCAAGTATTGATCATAAAGCATGCCAGTGTTTTGAAAATTTCAAATGAGACATACCAAAAGGCTGAGGTGCTGTTTCTGTCTTGAATTTTTCTACTAATTTTCGCAGATTAGGATTTTCATGAACAAAATTGGCCTCAATAACTGATCCAATTTCTGGAATTTCTGATTGAACTTCCGGAAGTTTGGATAAAACTCCTTCCTTTTCCTTATACAGATGCATCCCTCAAGGGGTTTTCTGAAAGTAGAAAAACCAATTTCAACTAACTTCATACAATGTTACATTAAGCATTCAATTAAACTGCACAACAATTTTTTTTTTATATATATAGGCATATTAAAGTAACAGAAAATACAGTACGGAAACAACATTTTCATGGCTGATATCTACCTGAGTATAAATTCTTAGCAATTACTGAAACATGGATAAAATGAGTAAGAACCTTTTAGAATAGTGATACATAGATCAATCTGTCGAGTTGAGAAATCCTACCTTGATTAATATTTTTTGCTGAATCTTTTTTGTATTCTTCAATGAAATCTTCATTCGATTTTACTTCTCCTTTTAAATCACTATGAGTATCAGATGGTGAGAACGTAGGATATTTCGAATAAATGAATTTGACAAAAAATATGAGAAATATTGAAATCATTGAAGTTAAAAATCCCACACCAAGACAGGTTAACGATGTTGTGAGAAAATCAATCATCGTAAGTATCACACTTGTGACCGTACTGAAGAAACATCCAACAAATATGATCAGTGATTTGTCTTTTCTACTCAATTCAGTGAGGAAATCTGGAATATGCAAAAAAAAAATTGAATTCCCCTTAGCATTGAATTTCAAAATATGACTAAGATGAACGAATTGATTTTAAATACTGGGAATCCAGGTGGGGTACAGACAATTGTTTGATGTGGGTATAAAGCTATTCAAAAATAAAAAAAATTTGTTAGATTTGAACTCGCCTGCCTTATTTTGGATATTTACATTTCTTTATTTTGGATAATTACATTCCATCCACATATTTTCAACATGTTTTTTTAATGAAACATATTATCGTCTTACTTTATGTTATTTGTATCTTATTGTTAGCCATTTATTTTTGAGGTGGGCTGCAAGACTCGTCAAATTCTGAAGGGAGAGCGCAGCTCAAAAAGTTTGGGAACCACTGTTCTAGAAAGAACAGAACTTTTGTGCGAGGCGTCCTAGATTACTGAAACTTTCGGGTGCAAAAATACACAAACAGAAAATCAAGTTTTAAATGATTTTTCTTTATTTTCGTAGAACCCATTACAGAATTTAAGGGTGTTTTTTTTGGTCCCCTTGTACAATCAAGATTTCAAACTTAATATTATGTCCTAAAAATATCCTTATCAAATAACTTACCATTAAAGAATACAGATAAAAGCATATGGTTCATCAATAAACCATACAAAATATTAGTTTGTTGATCAAGTTTGTTTGGTTTTATCAATGTACTTGACATTGATACACTTGGATTAGGTTTAATGGAACGTTGATCCATATTCAAATTTACAGAAACAGGAATTTCAGGTGATATTTTTATGTTACTTTCCGAACGAATCCATTTCATTTTCCCATATAAGGGTTCATCATCCAGAACCTGACATTAATGAGAAAAAATTATGACTTCATAGCTTATAATATGAAAGGATTTACATATTTATCCCAGGCGAGAGGAAAATCGATTAGATGGATTATTTATATAGTGAACCACGGACTCTCGTCCAGTCACCAGTCCATGTCAGGTATGGGATTAGTTAGCTAGTTATTTGTATCAAATACATGGACTTGATATTACAGGGTACAGAATCCGGTCATTTGAAATATATACCAGAGAGAACATAACTTTTGTGCAAAGCATCCTAAATTACTGAAAATATTGTGAACAATCATAATTTAGGAATTTATGATCCATATTTTTGGGTCACGCTGTAATAGAATTCAAAAATAATGATTTAAAATGCTCCATCACCATAAATTTATATTACTTGTGCAATTTTAATTTCAAATTCAACAATGTCATCTTCATTTGCATCTTCTTTCTTAACTGGATAATCAGAAATCGAACTATCTGGATCACTTTCTTCTTCACTTGATACAAATCCAAATTCCAATTTCATCGGTTGGAACATAATTTCATTTCCGCCAAACAACAAAATCACATGCTTTCTTTTAAGAATTGAAGCATCGGGTTTAAGACAAATAAGATTGGACTGGTGTTCATCTCCAACAAATCTGAAAGATAAATACCTTACTTCGCAACATTGAGATGTTAGGGCATCATTATTCTTAAAATAAAAAATCATTTTAATTATTGGACTAAATTTGAAGGTATAAAAGACAAGAGAGCACAGGATATATAACACATATATTATGAATGATATAGGAATTGGAAAATGGCTTTTTAGTAGTTGCAGGCCTGAAAATGTTGGTTATTGACCTTATGACACAATTTTTCCATGTGGGCCGCATTTTGCCAGCGGGTCGCTGGCTGCACACCCCTGGCCTAGCGGTTTAAGTGTTAGACTTAACAGTCCTTGAATCATAGATTACACACCTCAGGTTCAAATCCCATGCCACCATCTCACCCACGGTGTAATTAATTCGATAGGCCATGCTGGACAAGAAAAAATTCGGTCAGTTCAAATAATACTAACACCTTACATATTCGTTGGTATCAGTAGCTACTCATACAGGGCCTTGTTTGGAGAAAGAGACTTGAACAAGCGTCATATAAAAATAACATAGGCCTGCTACTGATAGTTTTCTCAAAATGATCGCTTCAGCTATGAAAAATGGAATCTTACTGTTAGTTGAAACAAAACAAATTACCTTGCAACAATAAAACCAACTTTTTCCATGTTTGAAACTTTAAATCTTACAAAATAATTGTTTGATATCATTTCGGCATTTTTCTTTTTCATTAAACCTTCTTCATGACTGAAATGCACGACGTTCAAATCTCCGCGATCCAAAATCATACCAAAGTAATAGGTTAATATCCAGATTAAAAAGAACACAAATATAATAGATGGTATTGTGAAATAATCAGTTGGATACACAATAGCCCATTCAGCAGGTGCAGTGTGAAATTGAATTTCTTGAATAATTGGTGGAAGATTAGGATTTTGTGTGGAGATGAAAGACACCTACAGCAAAAAATATTTTCAAATAAATTAATATGCATTGTTGATGATTAAATCCAACAGAAGTGATAGATTCATTAGGTGGTGCACATAAGTACTAGGTGATTACAGCCTCCTCCGTGATCAAGTTCATACATCAAATAACTGGCTAATTGATCCTTAACCCGACATGAACTGGTGACAGGATGAGAGGTTGTAATACACCTTATGATGGCACCAGCTCATCAACTTTCCTCCCCCCAGAATAAATATGAAAATGTTATCCCGTTTTATTAATGAGCAGGTAAACACATCGATATTGTCTTAATACAAAATTAAAAACATATTCAATGTAAAAATATGAAGTCTTTTAATTTATTATTTTCATCCCTTTTAAGATCGTTCAAATGTACTTTATTGAAAATTTAAATTTTTCGAAACAACTCAAGTATAATGTAACTTTATATCTTGCGAATATTATGCATCAAGGTACCCTTCAATTTAAAATATTTACAAAGACTATTCATAGTAATATATTATATAACAATAATATTACATGAACCACAGTGATATATGATTGTAATATACGAGAAAAGTGCAAATATAATACAGATATTATTTTTAGACACCTTAACAAATTTGGAAGGAGTTGAAAATCCTTCGAATTGAAAAGATCCAGATGATGTTTTTGTTGTCACTATATTGCTTCTTCCTCTTGGATTAAAATAAGTTGGTAGTCCTTCCACAACTGGCCTAAGGAGATATTAGTAGTATATAAATAAATGGGAAAATGTATAATAAAATGAATTACAATAAAACAACAAATCATTTAACAAGACAACTGTTTTTTTTCCAATAATATTTTAATATTGATTGTTTATTCCTAATACGAAAAAAAACAATATTTCAGAGTTATTCTTTATCAAAACAATGTAGGACACTTCTAAAATTAAATGAAAATTACTGATACTAGACTAGAACAAATTTCCGGTTGCTTCGAAAATCTAATAGTTACCTGCATATTCAACACCGCTCTGATACAGAGCCTTCGTTGGAAGCAAAAGTGTGAAATATGTGAACAAAAAATCACATTTTGTTGTTAGTTTGACATAGTTTACCATAAAGTGTTTTTGAGAAAAACTAGATATCCTGTGAGCTAAGTATTATCTTATTTTATTGTATGTATATCAGCAAGGGTGAGTCAGAAAAATTTAAAGAGGGAGGTTGAAATTTCTAATTGCCATGTTAGACTGCAACAGCTAGCAGGTCCAGAAAACGTGGTTTTCATTGCATTGATGCTATGTATGATACAGATTTTTTTTTTACATTCTAAAGGGGGGGGGGGGTATCTGACTCTCAAAAAAATCCTGGCTATGCCTCTGTATACTTTGTAGTAACACAATAAAGTACAAATTTGTTTGAAAAATGGAAACAATATACCTCTTTGATACAGATTCATTGAGATAAGGCTCATTCTTTCCATCTGTGAAATTTGATCTCATATTGCTACGAGGCGTTCGAAAAGCTAAATCAGATTCATCAAAACTTTTTCCATCATTTGAAAATGCAAGGTTAAAATCTATCACTGCACTTCCTGGCACATTTTTCACATTTTCAGACAATATCTCTATTCCCTAAATTGATAAAAAATTAGATGAAGTAAAAATGAATATTACTTTAGTTTATTAGATAACTTTGATCATATAAAAGCATCTCATCGGTTTTCTTTGTTTCTCTGTGTGAAGATCACGAACGAAACATTCAATATATAACATATATTCTGGAATGAGTCTACAGATGTTGAAAATTAAGAACATTCTTATTCATACGACACGGTGGCCTAGTGGTTTAAAGCGTTAGACTTCGCTGTGTTGGCATTGTAGACACATCTCGGGTTCAAATCTCATGCCCCCCACCTCACTCATGGTGTAGTAAATTGGGTGGGCAATGCCGAACCGGAATGACTATGGTCCTCCCAAATGAATATACATATCAGTACATATCAAGGCCTTGAAGCAAAATGTGACATATATAAAAATGATTTCAGTCTGTCTAAAATACAGTTGCTACATAAGTATAAGTGGTTGTTTGGGCATGGCCTTGTACAGTCCAAAGAAGGGGGACATCACTAAAAAGTAAAACAGGAAAGATCTGCGCTTGCAAAGAGTCAGTCGATGTTTACGAGATAGTTCTAAATATCCTGAACTAGAGTAGAGTTCCAAGTATGATTAAATTCAAGACAGCCTTCAGAATGGTGGAATAATATTGAACAGATCTGCTGTTCTCTTTAAACATATTAGCAGCAAAAAGTTCTTATGAACTCTGACCAGAGTACTCACGGCGGCTAACTCACCATGCAGCAACAGTTAACGGGTCAGCCTACTGAGGAGATTTCTTGTTTTCACCGAAAGGAGTCAAGACAAATATAGTAAACAATATGTGTTTTGATTGTTTCTGAATATTGTGCAAGTGCAAAATATTCACCACCACAGCCGGCCGGCCCTAGTAGGCTAACCCGTTAACCGTTGTCGCATGGTGTGTTAGCCGCCAGTCCTCAGGCATTATACTAGGTGACTGAAAGCTCCTCTTTGTTCAGGGTCAATATATCTTTTAATTTATCAAATGACAAAATTACTTACTTTCATCAGAAACAGATCCCCAAGATAGAAGACAACTCCATAATCTCGATTTTTTGTTTGAAGAGGAATGAAAAATGTGTTTGGTTTCCCATCCCAAAGATTTCCTGCAAACTTATCAAAGTCATGAACAGATTGTGCTTGAGATCTCTCATCTGAAACGCCGTTCAACCAAAACAAAGGACCTGGGTGAAATGAAGTAAGGCTCCTCAAAACACGATAAGATTTTTTATTTATATTAATAGTGAGAAAGAGGAAAGTTGGCTTAAACATGTGGCAAACCACTACCTCTCACCCATACCAGTCCATGTCGAGTATGGGAATAGTTATGCAAATATTCGTTTCAGATGCATGGACTTGATGGTGGAAGAAGGCGTAACTAACCAGCGGTAATGTGAAGCACCCTGCGACGACAGAGCAAAGATTTAATGGTATTATAGATCAGGGTGGTCCAAACCCAGGCCCGCGGGCCACATGTGGCCCGCAATGTCATTTTCTGTGGCCCGCGTCGTCTTTGCTGAAGGGTAATAAAAATATCGCATTTGGTGTTGTTTCGTCATAAAAATAATCAGAAAATATTTTCAACATTTTGTTACTTCACTAATGTCACTAAATTGACTCGTGTCACGCCAGTCGAAGCAACTAGCAAAGTTGAATAGTGTGATTGGGTAGTCCAAATTGTTCACTGGTCTTCTATCCTTGCTGGGAATATATTCCAACAGGTATGATAACTGAATATTAATGTTATAACCTGAGAATGTGATTCCTTCCGGTGACAGTATTATAAAAAATGCTTCTACTATGTCAGAAAAATTAGTAATTACTCTCCTGTACCTTGCATTTGGTAAAATTTGAAAATAAATCAATCTGCAGTTATGGCAAATATAATCTAAAACGGCATTTCGCTATCATGGGAGCAATGAGCATTTCTAAATTTTGAGGGATTTTGCTTTGACAACCCTATCTATGTTCGAGAGCACTTACATTTGCGGGTGCACTTTCTCCGTTGTGAAGAGTTTAAAATCTTACATTAAACGTAGATATAGAAAAACTTTTTCAGGTTTCAGTGATTTTTCTGGTGTATTTTGCATGTTTTTATAGATTGATTAATGACAAATAATGATCAATTGTCTGCACAATAAAAGTGTTCGTTTTGTAATTCCCTTTTTACCTATTTCTGACACTATTGTGGCCCGCGAACAATGTAAAAATATGGCCCGCGAAGACGACAACCTTGGACCACCCTGGTATAGATTATGATGTCCACCCCGAAGGGTTGAGTTGGCATATAAAAATAGAGTCATATTTGACATACAGATCACACATATTTGGTAAAGAGAATACCAAAGGTAACTTTCATTTTGAAATAATTTGTTTGAATTTTCTCACACAACTCCCTAAGAAATGGATAAATCACCTGTTGGAATTGCAGTTTTATATTGATGTTGTTCCATATCTTCTGATACAGTATTTGCCTTCTTTGACCAACCAGTTGCTACAACTTCAGCAAGTGAGAGTCCACTGTCAAATCCAGATGGTAATGGACCATTATCCATATCTGTCAAAAAAACCATCATCATAAGAACAAGTGAACTACCGTTAGGGATGGGCAATATAGAATACCGAATCCGGAGGATTCGAATCCCAAAGTATTCGAATCCAACGGGATCCGATAACAGGATTCGGTTTCTGCCTCTCCGGCGCCAAGTGTCAATTTTTGTATTTCGGGTTTCTAATTTATCAATTATAGTTATAGACGAGCGTTTTTCTCGCGTGGAAATCTCTCTCGTTTAATTAAACTTGCGTCTGCTCGCAAAGAACCCGTAAATCGGTAAACATCAAACACTGTAATTTCAATCGGCATATTCAGGACAAGAAGTCGGTAATATAACCTCACAGCGAGGACTCGTTATTGCACCATTTTTACGTTTTCCTTTTTTGCTATCTAGCTAGCGTTATTTGTGCCGACTTACTGAAGATATTCCGATAATCTGAATGCAACAATCTTTAATTGTTTACAGACGTGCCTTGCCTCATTTTAAATTAAATGATTTTTCGCGACCTACGAGTTTTTTCAAAAAAATGATGCACGTAAACCGAAACCAGGCGTTAAATGTTATAACATTACTCGCCATTAATTTAAATCAAATATTATTTACAAATAATTTTATTATACCATTTTCCGAAATACAAAGTTATATTGCAAAACGCGAACTACTGTCACATTTAAATTTCACTCTCAAAAGATTACCGGTACATATTTTTCGGTCCGTTTCTATCGTTCAAGATAGACGCACGTTTGATCGAGTGTCTAGTATTTTAGTCGCCGATAAATTTTGGAAAAAGTTGCCGCATCTGGCAAAGATAGTGACGTATTGAATTTGAGTAGGGCTAAGTCTGGGTAGATAATGATTAATGATGACATTTCTATCGTTCAAGATAGATGCACGTTTGATCGAGTGTCTGTAGTATTTTAGTCGCCGATAAATTTTGGAAAAAGTTACAGCATCTGGCGAAGATAGTGACGTATTGAATTTGAGTAGGGCTAAGTCTGGGTAGATAATGATTAATGATGACAATTCTATCGTTCAAGATAGACGCACGTTTGATCGAGTGTCTGTAGTATTTTAGTTGCCGATAAATTTTGAAAAAAGTTGCCGCATCTGGCGAAGATAGTGACGTATTGAATTTGAGTAGGGCCAAGTCTGGGTAGATAATGATATGTAACGATAATCATAGAAAATGAATTCGTCTTCAGATGTTATTACCAAAAAACTAAGTACGAAATCGCGTTTACGGGAACTTGGTTTTACGTGTCTTGCTCTCACAGAATAAAAGGTTGATTTTAATTGATAGTGGTTAAATTTAATATTTTACAACGGCGCATAGGTTGCGGTGGCCACACGCTGGTTCAGCATCTAATTAATTCTCAGCGGGTATGTTGTAGTATACTCGGCAGACTTACATTAATAATGATTTAACGCCGTTCCATGTCTAATTTGTATTTAACCGCTTACTATTAAAGTGTGTAAAGCGTGTCTTAATTTAACATATCAGTATTTATTAGTATTTAGGCGCAGTGGTTCTTAAACTTTTTCGAGCGCGACCCAAATCTGAGTTTTATGAAGACTCGCGACCCAATCCTAAATAACGCAAAATGTGTTTTTAATGTTAGTACAGTTTGACTCAAATACAGACAACTATTTATTAGAAACAGTCCATTGACTCAGTTAGATTGATGAAACTGAAATTTCCTTTTCATTATATCTTCAATACACAGCTCTATTTTACTTAACGGAATACGCAAGTTGTCACGGGTATCGAGGCGATTGCGAGCTTAGTTTTGATAACCTTCAGTGCCAAATATCCTCGCTCGCATAAGTGCCTTGTCGCGAATTGTAGCAGAAAAGGCGTCCGCTGTCCGTCGCAAACACGACATCCTAGCTGGCCTTCGGTATCTCTCGCAATATACAACTTTTTACTCATCAAATGTGCACACACTGCTTCGTTCGCGGTAAATGGTGCCTCGAGATGAAGTCACATTTTCTATAGATATTGAATAATCTAATGTCGAGAAGCGAGCTTTTTCATTGCGTCGTCTATTACAATTTACATTACCAAAAAGACACCCATTTTTGGTTATTTTAATCCACTAAGACGACATTCCACGCGGTCAACACAATGACAAGCGACGTGCATGGTTACCGATACCATAAAAATAATACACGTGACTGGCATATCAGAATTGTGATGTAACAATGAGCTCAAGACAGTTCTTTCCGTGAATGAAATTTTATATTTCATTATTTTTAAATACCAGAGTTTAGAAGCTAAATTGAAACATTGGGAAAGCTGAAAATTCTTCCTTCTCCTCTTAGATTGCCCTTGCATTGACGACCTTGTCGCGACCCCTTTAATAACCACTGATTTAGGGATTACATACATTTGGAACAATTGAAGGCAAAAAATATTGTAAAATTCCTAAATTTTATTGTCCTGGGAACTGCCCGTTTAGTATCAAATGAAATCCAATGTCCAGGACATTTCCAAATAGATAATACATTTATAGTAAGTAATACATTTGCAATTTTTACCATCTAAATCCAGCAATGTAGAAATTCCCACTATTTGAATAAGTATGAAAATAGAATAGGATTCGGTATTCTGGATTCGATTTAACTATTCTAGAATAGTAAATTATTCTACATTGCCCATCCCTAACTCCCGTATTTAACGAAATATAAGGTGGACTTTAAATAGTTTTTTCTCAAAATTGATTGTGCACCATAAGCTGGTACGCCTAATCTAATGTATGGATCAGGTAGTGCCTACACTCAAACCATTGTATTATTGTTTTATAAACAAACCGTTGTTTTACCTTTTCTTTGAATAAAATAAAATTTTCGTAAAAAATATTGAGTCCTTTTTTGTTTAATGAGCTTTGTTCGGTAACCTGATACTACAGGTTGCGTCTTATAGCAGTGCGGCTTATGTACGGACAACATCCCAATCTAAGCTATTTATTGATGATGTGCCCTATAGTTCGTAAATTTGGTACATACCCAGCTAAACGCAATATTCTCAGTAGCTCTTAACACTTGAGAAGCTGCCTGTGACTTCACTTGGAGATGAATCTCTTATATTTTTGAGTGCGAGTGACTTTTCATTGAGCCAATTTGCCTTATAAAGAACTGCTCTAATATTACCATATAAAAGTATATATACCAATATATGGAAAAAATTATTCCAATTTCTAAACAGCAACCAAACCAAATATTGAAATGCAAAAACACATACTTCTGCATTGAAACGATAATAAATTTGGTTCCCATTCTCCGTTTTTATTGCATTCTATCTCAACAAATCTTATTCCAATGAACGACCATTCCATCAATGCATGTTGAGCAGAAATCCAATATGCTGGCCGACAATCATAGCGTAATTTAGTGCCAACAACCTGACTCGAGATATTCCTAATCTCAGGTGGATACACAACATCAGAATTCTTTTTATAAGTTGGTCTCGGACATGATATTTCTGAATCATTCAAAATAGATTTGAAGTATATTTTCTGGATACAAAGAAATGTGAGAAAAATTGAGTAAAATATATGATTGAATACAAAGATTTATAAGACGACATATTCTAAAGGTGATCTCATATATTTAGGTAGGATATGCCATGTACTACCACAAATATAGTATCTTCCCATATATCAGTGGCTGCTTATCTGGAGCATTGTTTCGAGTGAAAATACTAGACACTGGTTAGGAATTATGAAGACATTATAATCTATAATCAGCGTTGAAAATTATTACTAGGATATATATAAAACAAGAGAGAGATGCTCAAATATATGGACACAAAGACCAAATCAAAGTAGTATGAGTAACTTGAAATACGACAATCTTCATGACTGACCACAATAATACAGCGAATGTAGAACTGCAAGAAGGTGTACAATTTTTAATTTTGATGATGCCAACGCACACGAGTCCCATGGAGCACACAGAATTTTTGGAAATAAAGCGATTTTGAGCAAAAAAATACAATTTTAACCACTGTTCAGTAGTTAATGAGAAAAGCAATTGTTTTACAACAAGAAGAAAAATATCAACAACAACAACACGATCCATATGTACACTTCGTGTCTGAAAATAATATACCGTACATAAAACATAATTAAACATGCCTGAACATTCAAAATCAGGTTGAGGATCCCAAACACCAGATTCATTACATCGTATCGTTTTCGAAAATATTCCATCTTCAATCCTGTAGTTAGGTGCACAATCATATTTGATTTGCGCACTATAGCTGGGAGGATTTATGGAACTAATCACAGAACGTGAGGAGTGTAATATCATGGGTGCTTGAGAACAACGAACAGCTGTCATAAAATGGAATAGAAAGGTTTGTTTATTACTAATAAAAATTGTTTATTACTTCGTTATGGGGAACTCCTTGTGGCAAGCTTCTTAGCCTAACACAATATTTTCCAATCGGATAGGAATTTTATCGTTCTTTGGGAGGAATCTTGCTTTGTATTTGTAAAACTGTTTTTTGATATTTTTTTTCAAAGTAAGATAGAAAACATGAATTTACTTACGAATACAGTCCATTCTGTTGAAGTCTTCAGACCAAGTACGATCAGCCTCACAATAAACATCAATATAATTCATATTTGGTCGAAAATAATATCCTGCCTCACATTCAACTCTCATTGCCGAATCAAATGTTAAGTTACCAGATAATTTTGCATGAAGAACATATGGAGGAGGATCACATGCTATGGCTGTTTAATTGAATGAATAAACAACTCAGAGACAAGTCTCACCGGTAACATATTGGTGGTATTTATAGAGTTATTTTGGTAGATTCCAAATCCCATTCGTTCAAACAATTCCTACTCAACAAGTGAACACACCCTGTGGAATAACCATAGTAAGCAATGAAACTAGGAAGAATGCAGAGTTTTCTCGTTGAGTGTAAAGTAAAATCAGTTTGGCACCATGGCCCAAGGGTCCATGGGACATGGTTGGAAACTGCTGAAAAGGATGGTTAGGAAGTTGCAGCCGATCAAATTCCTGATAGCCTCGGCTCCATCTAATATGGTAAGCTTGGTTCCATCTCCAACAAAAAGTTACGACTAAATGGCTGCGGCTCCCTAGCCCTGATAAGACTATTATCAAATGGTTTACCTTCACATCTGTAATGAGAGGTATCAGGATACCAATTTCCACTTATATCACAAAGCACACTAGGATAGGCAGATACTTCTGGCAGCATCCTATACCCAGGTTTACATCTTAACTTCACACGATTCGTATATGATAGATTTCTCTCAATCACCAAAGAATTCTCAAGTGAAGGAGGCTCGCATGTGATTGCTACAACATAAAGAGAAATAAATACCCTTCTTAATATTCGCATTTTATCAGGAAATCAGTGTTAATAGTATGGATTGTTTCCCTAAATAGTGGTTGGTTCTTGTGGTCAGAGTGACTTTTTTATTGGGAGAAAAGAAATCGCTTTTGTATGCAACTAATAGGCTGAACCATTTCAAATACTCTAAAATGAAGAAAGTCGCCAGAAGGATATTCTTTAGCTTCTCATCAAATCAACCCCGAGTTCTAAGTGACATGATATTTCACCCAAATTTGCACTTTACACAATTTTGTAATGCTCACTTCTAATTTCAAGATTGTCCCAATATTTGGATATATGAAACAAACACAATATTGATCTGTAAACGAGGGTGTCTGAGAGAACATTGGTGAAAATAGGGTCATTTCATCTGAAGTTAGGCTCTTTGACATACCGTAGTTTTATTTTCATATTTTGTAATATCTCCCCTGAGCATAGGATATGGAGCATATGTATATGAACGTTGCAAATAATAGTTTAGTTCATCAAGTGCATGCTACAAGTGATCCACCATCCACTTATAAGGAATTCCGGACAATTAACTCATTATTTGAAAGGATTAGTTGCCAATGTGTTACGTCAGACTGTTCATGACATGACATTCACATGGGAACAATGCATATTTCTATTTAATAAGAGGACTAAACCGCACCATTTCGCCCAAGCATTAAAAGAATGTGTATAAATATTTGTTACAACACACTAGTATTGTAAGATTTCGTTAAAAACATTCATTAAAATGATTAATGTTAGGCGAATACTGTCATATAATGGGTAGCTTATGAAATTCACAGCTCATTCAATTTCCTAAATAAAGTCTCTGAAATTCAAATGAATAAAAAAATTTAATTACTTTTACAGGCCATTTCATCAACATCAGGTTGCCATCTCCCATCCTCATCACAGACCGTTGAAATTTCCGTTACATCTCTAAATGCAACAACATAAAAATCTCAATAATATATATAATATCATATATCAAAATAGGATAGGATAATTATCCCGGGAGAGGACAGCGGAAAGAACTTAATCCTATGACCAACCACAACGTCTCATCCAGATACGAGTCCATGTCAGGTATGGGATTAGTTATTCAGATACCGTAATTTGTTTCACGTACACGCCCTTGATGGTAGAGGATTCAGTACGGTGGCAATGGCAAGCGCATTTCCATCTCTACGCCAAGCACCATCCCTTGCACCATACCAACAAAAAATACACATTTACAGGTCAAAGACGCACATCAGAAAGCAGATACAAATAAATAATATGAATATGAAACAATTATATAGTAATGTCTAAAGAAGAAGGTACCTTTCTAGCCAAGTAGGACTGGGACAATGAAATGAAACAAAGGCATCCATATCTATTCTATCACCTTCCTTCACAGATCCTTCTATATTAATATCTTTGCAAATGACATCTATAAAAATTGAAATTTAGCATGAAAACAATTACCTATAAAAGTAGTATATTCCATTAATCAATGAAGTTTGAATACACCGTGTTTGATAATAAACAGGATGTCCAACAAATTATAATCTAGGGCAGTGGTTCTCAAACGGTGGGGCGTGCCCCGCAAGAGGGTTGTAGACAATTTTTTGTGCGAGTGTGAAGCTTATCAACAAAAAATATTTCTTAGATCTGATTTTGCCCGCTTCATTTTAGATATTTGTATTTTTTATTTCGTCAGCCATAAACAACTGCCTTATAAAAATAAGAACAAATTTTGTTTGTTTTTAAGACTTTTCATTTATTTCAATTTTTAGGTTGTATCCACATATTTCCATCGTGTTTTTGGAAAAAACATACTTTCTCCTTACTATCTGTTATTTGTAGCTTCTTGTTAGCTAGTTATTTTTGAGGTGAGGCACGAGACTTGACAAATTCTAAAAAGAGGGGACGGCCTAAAAAGTTTGAGAACCCCTGATCCAGGCACATTCAAAAATTCAGTACAACTAACCGGTACATTCCAATTCATAAGGATCAGGAAGCCACAACCCATCTTCATGGCAAGTTACATTAACCTTTTGTCGACGATGAGATAGAAAATGTTGTCCTTTTGCACATTGATAAAATATAATATCACCATACATATGATTAAGCCCTTCAACACGAGCACTTTTTACAAGCACAGGCACATCACAAACAATTGCTGAGTGAAAAAAAAAGGTCAATGTCAATAAAGTATTCTCTTTTAATCAAATTACTCAAATCGTAGATTGACATTTTTTATACAATGCTTAAATATGCCTTTGGGTCTGAACAAGGCTCTGCAGAAAACCACTGATATCTAACAGCATTGTAAATTGCTACTTTTATTCGAAAGAGCAGAAATCCTTCCAGTTCAGAATAGCCTACATAATTTATTGCACTCCGGGTGAAGTGGGGGGCACTGGATTTGAACCAAAAGTTTGACATTGCCTACAAAATTTATCACATACCGGAAGAAGTGGGGGGGGGGGCACTGGATTTGAGCTAAGCATTGCATACATAATTTATTAAACCCAGGTTAAGGTGGGGGGCATGGGATTTGAATCCAAGATATGTAATCTGCAATGCTAACACAGTCAAGTATAACAATTTATCCACTTGGCCATCTTTTTACTCAGCAAATCTACTAACTTGTGCACTCAATTACTTCAGTAGGATCCGGCACCCATTTTCCTTCTTCACATGTAATTTGGATTGCTTTCTTTCTGTTTGTACGATCTGCAATCCAATATCCTTCCATGCAATGATAAGTATAAAAAGAACCTTCATAGAATGTATACTCTGATTCAAACAAGTCGGAAAATTCATCTTTGGTATGTGATATGATTGGTGGTGGATCACATATAATTGCTGTAAAATCAAAAAAATTATTGTTAATTTAATGTTATTGAACTGGCTTGACTTAGATTACTTGTGAGAGATATTTTCTCATGACCAAATAATTAATCAATGCTGATTGAAAATATGAAGTATATAATTAAATTCTATAACATGGTCCTTGATAAAATATCAAAACTCGAGTAAATGTTTGTATTTAATGCTTTACTGTGATATGCCAGAAATTATAAGACGGTTTAATAATATAGCGAACCACATCCTCTCGTCTGGATACTAGTCCATGTCGGGTTCATGATTAGTTAGCCAGGTATTTATTCGAGATGCATGGACTTGAGGGTGGAGGAAGCCTTATCGGACCTCCGGTTACAGTTGCAAGTGTATTCTTAACGATTAGGGCGGTGCGCCATCGCTGAGCAGGCTGAATGTGATTGCTTGCCAGTGCAAAATTTCAGGCAAATTCATTTCGTTCAGAGAATTACACAAAACGAGTGTAAGTCGGTGACATAATTCTACAATCCCATTGCATACTAAGATATGACTATGAATAAAAGAGGAAATCTGAAAGAGGAAAAATTAACATTGTAATACATTGTTCATTTTTTTTATATAAGGTTCATTCACACTTCCCCTCCAAACAAGGCCCTACTTAAGCAACCACTGGCATTTCACAGTATGTAAATGTAAGGAATTATTATATCTTGGAACCTTTTCAATTTATCATTACCTACCCAATTCACTACACACTGGGTGAGGTGGGATTTGAACCCAAGATGTGTAATCTGAGATGGTAACACACTAACACTGTTATTAAGTCTACATTTTAACTGCTAGACCAGGGGGTGAACAAATTATGGTCCCGCCCATCGAAATGTTTTATCCGACTCACTTGTGCCTGCTGAAGACTATAGTTTTTGTGAATATAAATTTCTGTTGAAAATAACGTCATAATGACCCCGATTGTTACATTGTGTTTATTCTTATATAAACGTTAGCCTAGCTGTTGGACTAGCATCGCCTATACCAAACCTTTGTAAACAAATTATACAACATAAGAAATGTATAACTCTTGATTAAGTATATAATTCCTAAAACCGAGTTAGAAACCAATTTTAAGAAAACTCATCACACCTTTGCAAGTGAAATTAATATTAGGGTCAGGAAACCATATTCCATTGGACTGGCATGATATTTCCTGTTCATAAATTCCTTGATTGAAATCATATCCTTTTTTACATTTATAAATCCATTTGCTACCAAGTGACAAAGAATCTCCTGTAACAACGGAATTGTCAACATAGGGCGGCTGAACACATTGTTTCTTGATGCATTTTAATTTTTCAACACTAGGTTTCCATGATCCATCCCATTGACATTCTGTTACTCTAGAAAAGTAAAGAAAATGAATGCACCACATCACTGCATTGTGTATTAATTGATTGATAATGGGTTTATTAATATACACCCTGACCTGATAAACAGAACTATTAAATTTTCTAAACACTTAGGTAAAAATGAAGAAAATTTATTCAACACTTCAACTTCTGTTTGGGTATGATTGTCCCCAAAAGTTTCAGTATTCCAGGGTGCTTTGCACAAAAGTTATGTTTTCTCTCGAACAGTGGTTCTCAAACGGTGTGGTGTAGACAATTTTTTGAGGGGGCGTGAAGCTAATTGTAAATAAAAATATTCGTTAGATTTGATCTGATTGGCCTACCATAATTTTGAATATTCACATTTTTTTATTTTGAATATTTACGTTCCATCCACGTATTTTCAACAAGGTTTTTGAATAAAACATACTTTCGCCTTACACTCTGTTATTTGTAGCTTATTGTTAGCTAGTTATTTTCGAGGTGGGGCGAAAGACTTGACAAATTAATTCTAAAAAGGAGGCACGGCTTAAAAAGTTTGAGAACCACTGCCCATAATAAATTAAAAACAAGATAACTTACTCACTTACCTACTAGTAAAACGATCAGGAAAAAACCACATATCATTCAAACATGAATATGTGACTTTGTGTTTATACGCATATTGAGTTATTTGAGATTGTTCCTGCCATTGTATTGTGTCTGATATGATAGTGTCAGTAACATTAGCCGGGGAATTGCAGGTAACAGCTGAAAATATATTTGTGTATGGTGAGTCAGATTACACAAGTTAAAAACCAGTAATGGGATTGAAAATTAAAAAAGCAGCTTCTCTTTTGCATCAAGCTCCCTAATAACAGGTTCCCTTTTTTCAGAAAATGTATGTATGTCACTAAGCAAGCGACGTTAACATGCAACACTTTATATAAATCTAATACATAATTTTCGAAATCGTCAAATGTAATCATTACCTATGTCGTGCAGACGTAAAAAAAAACAAAAATCGTTGGGTTCGCTGATTAGTTGACAAGCAAACTCGTTAAATTTTAACACTCGCTAAAACTGATTGAAATTAAAAATAAACAGTAACCAATGGGTTTGCTGATTCAACGTTCGAATCTGCTGAATTCCACCCTTCGTTAAAACTGATTGAAATTAATAATTAACATTGAATCAAGGCATGATTTTAACATCTCAGTTATAAATCACGCTCAATATTGTATAACATCATTTATATAACTTATTTGTCACTGTTAATACCTTCACAGTTTAATAATGTAAGATCTTCTATCCACTGTCCTGTTCTATTACAAAGAATAGTTGTTGAATAAATGTAAGTTTCATTTTTCAATATCCTGTATCCTTTTTTACAACTCAGTCTCAATATCTGCAAACCATCGTCAGAATTTTCCAATAATATGTTTGAGTTCGGTGGTTGAGAAGGAATATCACATTTATAATCTTAAAAATATTGACAAAGTAGACGATAATATAAAGGAGGTTAATATAAAATACAGAGAGAATATAACTTTTGTGCAAAGCATCCTAGATTACTGAAATATTTGTTATCAAAGTGTAACTTTATTTAAAATATAATATTTCTTCTTTTACCCGCATATTGATATGATAGAAATGTACATTTTATCAAATAGGTAGCATAATATTATACTGAAGTTAATATAAAATAAAGAAAGAACATATCTTTTGTTCTGTTCTGTTCGCGTTCTGTATTACTGAAACTTTCATTATTAAAACTTAAATCTAATATTCCATAAAGTCCTAAAATGTTTTAAAATCACAAAGGGAATTTATCGATACTACATATTGTTCTGACCCTCACAGATGTATTAAATGAAGTAAAAATACTTGAACAATTACTGATTGAAAAACAACAAGATATATTGAGAACTGACTTCAAAATGAACTGACAAAATTGAAATTGTAAAAGGACTTTATGGACACCCTGTATAGTATGATAAAATACAGTATTTTTTATATTTTTTCAGTATATCAATATAGTTGAATTATATTGTTTAATATGTATAGGTTAATTGAGAACTTTAGATGATATTTAAAGGTACATTAAAAAAAAAGGCCATTGAATTCATGCAATATTAATACACCTTCGCTGCATAGTATAGTAACTAAAAAGTGAAATCAGCATCATTTTATGATAAAAATATTGACTTACATTTGCAAGATTGCAGTTTAGGATCAGGCTGCCATGTACCATCATCAGAACATTTTGAATCAAATGTAACAGAATCACGACTGAAAGCCATATGTCCATCGCATTCATATGTAATTGCTTTAAATACTGAATTCTCAGTTGTGTTTGTCTCATTCAGAATTGAATATGAAGGAGACTGTGTTGTGTTCGTCACATTTGTTTCAAATGTATCATTAGAATTGACACTGGCTATTGTAGCATTGGATGAACGAGTGGTTGGCAATGTTGAATTGGAAATTATAGTAGGTGTGAAAGTTGCGTTCATAATTTCTGGAGGATTTCCACAAACCATATCTAATAGGAAAAAGAAAAAACCGTTCATATATATTTGTGAAGCACAAATTGAAAATTTATAGCACTGCAATGACTGGATGTTTCAAAAAACATTGCTTTTATTCTTAGATTTTCATTCACTCAGAAACAGCCACAGTTTAGAGACAGGGCTAAAGTGGTAGACTTGATTAATTGACATAATAATATATAGGCTGGCTGCGCCTTTGCATTTTGATATCAGAGTCCATTGAATTGAAAAATAAAATCAAAGGCAATCATGCTTATTCAAATTTTTCTGTATTATAAATTTCAAATGATATGAACAATTAATGCAACATTCATGCCAATTTTGAGAATAATGCATATTCGAAACAAATTTTCAGAATATAAAAAAATATATAGTAGACTAGATCAGTGATTCCCAAAGTGGGCGATATCGCCCCCCGGTGGGCGAAAAAGTCGAAGGGGGCGATAGGGGGTGATTTCGCGAAACCTGTTTTTGTTCGGCGCATCGATGCACTTGATTACTGTACTCTGCGTGCTTTCGTATGTTTGAATCACGTGGGCGATTATCACATGCGAAAGGATTGCTGGACTTGTCTTCGCAGTAAGGCACGGCAGTTTGCGTATCCAGGGGTCGGCAAATACGGCCGGAGTAAAATATGTCTAAATAAATACATTTTATCCGCCTATCTCTTCTAATTGAAACCATTCAACAATTTGTTTTTTAAAAGTACCGGTAAAGAATTTTAGCCTAGTCTATCACAGCTATTTCTATACTAATTTTTGATTACTGTAAGTAAACTGAGACTCCTAGGAAGACAAAGTGATCATTGACTTGTTTGATTTATGTCTGACCGGATGCGAAAGGGGGCATTGTTCCGTTTATTTTTGCATCTTGCTGATTGGCCAATGTCACGAAGTAAACAAGGAAGTCTATGCCCGGCGAAACACCCTAGCGGCGGTTTTGACTAAGTATTTTATTTATAATCTACGCAAGGAGTAAATTACATTTTTTTACGAAACAGAATTTATCGTGAGACACGTGCAGACTAAATTTCATTATATCTTAAAAATTCTACTGAACAGCTACTCGTTTAACGAGCCTACAATTTAATTAGACAAATGGAAACACGCAGAAAAGTTGATGCTGAGTGCAGGGGTTCAATAGCGCAGTAAATATTCGAATATATTGCAATGCAATAAGGAAATTAAATTCATATTCTATTCGAGAGATTTGTTCACTGCTTAATTTTTGTAAGAATGTGTTTTCTTAAAAAAAATCTTTATCAAAATTTCACAAACCATGCGAAAATATTCACTCCGATGTTTGGAAGTAGGCTACATATTTTTTGCGAACAGTTATTTTCGACAATTTACATTACAAATAACTAGGATTAGTGATGCTTATTTAGAAAATGTTTCAATCTTGTCGTCGTAAAGCTATCAAGCGTAATACGAAAATATTTAATAAGTTTAGGAAAATTAACTTTGTTTTCGTCATTTTAATGTGAAATGGAGTGAATTTAAGGAGATAATTGCTATAAGGCAAGAGTACATGGCGGGTTTTGAAAAGGTAAAACTCTGGAATTTTCCATTTCCGACCTCCTATATTGGCGAAAAAGGGATTTTCTGCCATGCTACTATTGCTATCAAAACAACGAAATCGCCTTTCCATCAGTAAACGGGGTAATTTTAGATATAATAATAAACTCGCTGAAGAACACCAAGCTCATCCATCTCATTAAAGAACACTGTAAACTATGAGTTGTCTTCTTGTTTGGTCTGTAATATATTCGTTCCTGGCTTAACATTTTTTTGTAGTGTTGGGGGGCGATGAAGTTGTATAAACTACTTTAGGGGGGCGACGCTACAAAAAGTTTGGGAACCCCTGGACTAGATCATGGTCATCTCTGGATTGAACCAAACATTCCCAACCAGAAATGCCAATACAAATGGCCGATTGATACTTGATAATGATAGCATTGCATTCAATGATTCATATTTATCCCGTCGAAATGAAAGATGATGAAAAGGCTTAATCATATGACATACCACAGCCTCCATCCGGTTACCAGTCCATGTCAGGTATGGGATTAGATGGAAAGTTATTTGTTACAGATACATGGACTTGATAGTAGAGGCAGCTGTAACCGACCAGCGGTTGCATACACCGGCGAAGAGTTCAACAATCCTCTTATACATAATTATAACCATGGGATTTAAACCTCACAGGGTAATCAGAGGTGTGATTGCAAGTTTTTTCATAACACTAAGCACAATGAGCCAACTGAATTTATGTTATATGCCAGTATAAATAATAGTACAAGTAACATCACTTCTCCCAAGCAAAACTACAAAATCATCAGTGACAACAAAGCCTTGATTACCTTTGCAATAATCAACATCAGGATCAGGATTCCATTCTCCTGTTTCATTGCAAGTTATACTTAGACTTCTGTGGAGAATTCTTGGTCCATTCTTTGTACTTTGTATGATTGCATATCCAGGATCACAAACAACGGTGAGAGATGAAGCGAATTCAAAGTTGGAAATATTGGGAGTAAGTGTTTCTTTAATGCTACCTCCATCTTTGATAATTGGCATTGAACAATTTATTTCTAGAAATGAAAATAATAATTTTTGCCCTAAATTTGACACGTTTTAGGAACAATATTACTTTTATATAGATTTGATAAAAATCAGTAGAAGTTGAAAGTTAAGACATTGAAAATAAAATCAATAATCATCAAAAATTGCATCACAAAATAAAACGTACATAAGGGAAACAGAATTAAAAAAAATTAAGTGTTGCTCAATTGTATATGTAGAAGGTATCACAACGTAAAAACTTGAAAGCATTTATTCTGCTTACCGTAAGTAAATCAATGCCATAATTATAAAAAAAACTTCCTAATGGCAAACAAGCGTGATTTTCTCACTTTGAAGTAATTTCTGGTAGAATAAATGTTTTGTAATAATGATTGTAATCAGGACATTTCACAAAAATTATTATTTAAACAATTTGGGTCGTATAACAAAATGGTTGGGAACCACTGCTGTAATGCATGCGCCAATGAGGATATCAACATTCAAAAAAATGTAGTATCCACAAACAGGCACGTAATAGTCCAATTTACCATTGCATTCCAAAGTAGGTGGATCAGGTATCCAACTTTCTGTGTCATTGCACTTCAGAGTGACTTTTCTTGTAATCATGGATTCGTTTGAATGTGACGAAAAATAAAATCCTGGATGACATTGAAAAGTTATTTCATTTTCATCCCAATCCCGCAGAAAAGCATTTTTGATTCTGTACTGAGAAGAACACTCAAATGCAGATACTGGAAGACAAACTAGGGAATCATCAATCCAATTTCCTCTATCAGAGCATGTTATGTTGATCTTTGTTATTCCGTGTGAAAAATAGTAACCAGTTTCGCATATCACTTGCATTTGAGAACCATAAGGCAAGTCAGATACTGGGCTGCTATCATTATTAGTATTTGAAACAAATGCATTCGGTATACTCAATTGAGTCGAACATTCAACAGCTGAAATAAAAATCTAGTATGAGAAAAAAAAATTACATAATTCACATATTGACATTCTTTGTAACAAATATTTGTGAAAATTTTTGCAATGATTTCTAAAAACAATTGTTTCGTTAGAAAATCCATAGAAAATTGCAATTTCACTTGAAAATAAAACCCCGCGCACATCATTGATTGCGTTTACCATAAAATGGTAAACTTTCCGAAGAGATCATTTTAAGTAGTTGATGTTTTAATAACAGAAACTTTCGATACAACTGCTACTAAAATAAATTGAGAATTTTCATAAACATTGCAAAATATATCAAGTATGGCTGTAGAAAGACATTTTTTTTACTAATGTACTGCTGAAAATGTAAGATGATGGGTAGCCAACGCTTAACCGGAAAGATCACATTGCTTCTATTACACATAATTCTCCTTCTATATAAATGACTGTATGAATTATGAGTCTTGTTCAAAGCAAGATGTGGGATAGTCACAAGTACAGGTGGGCCTCCAAAAACATAACCCATAAAATTCTTAATTACTTCCATTAAAATGAAAAATATTTATATAAAGCTTGGACTTCTGTTTTTACATGATTGTACCCAGAAGTTTTAGTAATTTGAAAGGCTTAACACAAAAGTTATGCTCTCTCTGGAATATGGTATGAATTACTGCGTTTTGTTTTTTCAGGTCTTCTTGTATAATAAACACTGGTCAATGGTTGAACTGCAATCTAATATCAACTGTCAAAGTTCGTTATTTCTTAAAATTTCAAATAACTTACGTAAACATTTGAGCGTTTCAGGAAGTGGACTCCATATCCCATTTTCATTACAGAAAATTTCCCCTGCAGGTGAAATACGATAACCAGTATTACATGCATAAGTTGTTTTATCAGTTGCAGTCAGGCCAGTATTTATAAATGTTCCATGTTCAATTTCTGGAGGTTCATCACAGGTTACTCGTATACAAGCAATAGATTCTATATTTATTGACCATTGATTATTGGAGAGGCAAGAAACTTCTTTGACATAAACATCTTTTTCAAACCAATATCCTTTGTTACATGAGAATGTTACTGTCGAATTCTACAAAACATATCGTTTGGTATGAGAGTAAGTTTACACTGATAAAAGATTATTTTTAATAAGAAACTTATTAGACAGTACCACGTGGTGAGTTGGCAAATTAACAACTGTCCTGCACACTGGCGAGCACCTCAAATTGTACATTACAATTTCCTCACTTCTGCAATTTACTAATCAGTATGCTGCACTAGGCTTGCACATAATTAATAAGTTTACGGAATTACAGAACTTATTTTCTGTTACGCCGGCAAATTTTGAATTACGTTAAGCCATAATTATTGACTAAACTCACTGTGTTTTAGAAACCAGTCTTACAAGGTGTATACTACCGTCAGTCTCAATCTTGTGCTGCAAAACTATTCCTATACCTCGCGAAGAAACGTTGAAGTAGAGATGCGAGTTTTCAAAAAGGATTTATGCGTCTTCGTGAAATGCCAAATGTCTGTAGTACTATGCAAATTGGAGCACCAGAATAGCATGTAATCTTATGAGTATTTAGAAATTGTGCAACTCTGCTTGTTATTATAATTATGTGGAATTCTAATTGTGTACCCAGCGATGATTGGGTTTAAGCAGTGAGTCAAATTTATCGCTTGAAATCTTCCGAATCAAGCAATCTTGCAATCAGGGGCAAAGCCAGGATTTTCAAAAATCGGAAATTCCCAAAGAATATAGTTTAGCATAGTATAATATAAAATTGAATTAACATACTTTACATTGATTAGCTTATATCATTATAATATGGGAAAAGCCAAGTGTTGCTGTGACGGTAATTTCCAGTTACTATGGTATAGTTTTTATAATAATGTCTGCCGCCGGAAAACACGATATTTTGGCGATTTATATTGTCTATAATAGTGTTTGTTATGCGTCGTGTGGCTGTTGAAATGAAACTTGTCCATTTTTGCAAGTAATAGCTCTTCATTTCAACAGGATATTCGTCAGTTTGTTTATCAGCTAATTGAAATAATTTTATTTAACCGCAATGCTTGCAAAACGTTTCGTCTTGATACCACATTTTTATGACTGGAGAAATGGGTATTACAAGATCATTATGTAAGCAATTATGCTGTAAGTACGAAATTGATTTTGGTCGATTGCATGCAAGCCTATGCAGCACATACCAATCGAATTCAATCATAACACAATAGTTGTGAGACATTACAACAAATTTACCACTGAATATCCTTCAGAAGATGTTGCCATATTTTCGATAACTCGTCCAAATAAAATTCCAGAAGGTGGTTCACATATAATATCACTACATGACATGGTAGTAATGTCCAAACTCCAGAATCCATCTTTTCCACATGTTGTTGAGATGTACCTTTGCTGTCTTCCAAATTGAAGACCCTCTCGACAATAATAAGTCAACTGGGTCTCATAAATATAGTATCGGTTACCTTATAAAATAATATAGAACATAGAACAGTTTGACTGAAACTTGAGTATGTGCAAATGTTCCTGGGTGCAAATGTACGTGGGTGCAAAATGGGTGAAAACGTCTATGGGAGCAAATGTACGTGGGTGCAAAATGGGTGAAAACGTCTATGGGAGCAACTGTCCGTGGGTGCAAATGTCTGTGGTTGCAATCTATATGTGGGTGCCAAAATCGATGGGTGGAAACGTATGGGTGCAAATGTCGGTGGGTGCAAAAGTATGAAGGTGTAAATTTATCGGGTGCAAATGTAGGCTACGTGGGTGCAAACATGCTGTCACCATCACAGATTTTCTCAGCGATACTGCTTATAAAACATTCAACATTTCAAATATTTGTTATTTTGAGTAATTAACGAGAGTGGTCTACAAAAATTTGAGTGTTTTTCCGACAACCTACCATACTCATCAAATAAATCAGATGAATCAGGTGGTGAATTTGCAATTTCACGAGTGGTTCGAGGTAAAACCCCAGGATCTGCACATTTCACAGCTGAAATATTATAAAAAAACAATGATCTTTTGTCATTAATATTTTCTTATACGACTACTATTCACACTTACACTCCGAACAACACCCAACACAAGAAGCCACTGATATCCAACAATATGTAAAGAGCTACTATTATTCGAGAAGACTGTAATCTTTCTAGTTAGGCATAGCCTACCCAATTTACTACACCCTGGGCAAAGTGGGAGGTGTGGGATTTGAACCCGAAATATGTAATCTGCGATGCCAACAGAGTCAAGTCTAACGCTCTACCCGCTATCACTATACTTTCTATACAGCATTGAAGTTTACAAATCAAACATGTAAAATTAAAACAAAAGACATGGTATGCAATTCATGAGTCCGGCTGCACACAAACACAAACGTATTTCTGCAATTTTTTGTCTGACCAAAGTCAGACTTCAGAAGTATTTCAACAAAATCTGTATGGTTCATATTTTTGCTGAAATACATACATTCTATCAAAGACTCTACTAGCACCCTTGAGTGACGCATACCATATAGGCATAAGAACCGCAAATTTCTCTTATACTTCGCCCATCCTCGCATTGTATGCATACGAATCCACTACCATAAAGAAATAGAGGAAGGATATGGAGTTAGTCTCACGCAACCCAATTCATAAAAGTCATGGTGGTAAGAGTAACCTATACAAACATGATAAATAGCACAAAGAAATATCGTACAAACACAATATATATTCTCAGGAGCTGGCATCCAAAGACCTTCATCATTGCATAGAAGCATATAATCAGCTGCAAAGAATCCAGCAATCCAAAACCCATCATGACATATTAACCATGCTTTTGAATTATACTCAATAGAACCAACTGATAAATAAATCAAGCCATTTTCAAAAGTTCCTGGATGACCACAGACAACAACTGTAATATAAGTTGAAAATCATGGAAAATTAAAGGTATATAAGAGACAAGAGGCACAAATTAAGGGAATTGAGAGTTGATCCATAATGAAGCAACAAACAATCACCTGCCGATTGACACATTGTGCTAAGCAATGGAGAATGCTCACCATAGCACTCTATTACCTTGCGTAGGTTTGTGGGTTCAGATATTCTGAGAGATGATTATGTGCGAATGAATTGCCGGACTCTTCTTTTTTGTAGGGTGGTTCATATAACCGCTGGTCATTTGTCCACCATCAAGTCCATTCATCTGACACAAAATTTTTTTTTAAATATTTTCGCACCCGACCACAATTACTCTTTTGAATGGTCCAGTTACAGATAATAGACTTGGTTACTGGACCGGGCTCAAAACTCAATAGGAAAAACGATGGATCAAAACAGTTTATTTACAACAGCTAGGCTAACGTTTATATGATAATAAGAAGCACAAAGTAACAATCGGGGTCATAATGATTAATATAATATGACATTATTTTTATCGATATTTTCAACAAAAGTTTATCTCCATATAAACTATAGTCATAATTTCAGCAAGCACAAGTGGGCCGGATGAAACACTCCGCTCACCCCTGGACTACGCCATCTCATTAGTTTTTCTCTCCCTGGGATAAATGTGAATTCCTATCCCATCCACTTGAAAATGAAAAACACACATGAACTGGAAATCACATATACAGCAAAACTATATATTGAAATCAAAATAAGAGGACATTCTTCAAATACCTTCACAACTAAATGCAGATGGTTCCGGTAGCCATGTACCATCTTGTGTACATTTAGAAAGTAAATAATGGATTCCGGGACGAAGCCAATATCCAACATCACACACAAATTGTGCAAAATTATCAAGTAGAAAAGTTGATCCCAGAAGAGTAGAGTCTCGAATTGGGGTTGGTTTGCCACAAGAAATAGCTATGATATATGAAAATAAGTTTTAATTATGACAAACAATATACTTATCAATTCATTGTCATACTTTAATTTAAAGGTTCAAAAAGTTAGATTGGATATTTCTAAACCATTATTACTCAAAGTGGGCAACATTGCCCCCTGGGGGTAAAAAACTAGAGGGATGGTAGCGCATTTTCGAAAATGTCAGAATTACTTCGAAACTAAAACAAATTATGCAAATGATAGGTATGATATAATTAGGTGTTAATTTGATGGAAAATACCCGCTTAGTTTTGATTGACCAAGTTGAACAATGGATTGTTTCAAGTTCAACATCTAATTCGGTAGAAAAGGGTTTTCATTCGTGGTTACTGTACTATGAACACAAAGAAATAGCCTTTCCGGTAGCAATCAGAGTGATTTAAGACTGTACCAGACAAACTAGTTTAAGATCCCAAGCTTGTCTGTGCTATTTGAAAACACCATGATCTATCTAATTGGGTTTTGCAATAAATTTGTTTGTAACTGTACTTTTTTGTATTGACAAAGGGGAAGACGCTTCATTGGCGATGATGCTAAATAATATAATATTAATTGTGACGTTATTTGGTTTTGATTAAAAATAAATTATTCCTCAAAAGTTATCAAAGTTCCTATTTCTCAAAAACTTACGTTTACAAGATATTGAATTAATATTGATGTCCCACTCCTTGGTTTCAAGACAAGTTACCGGAGCTCTGGATGGTGAATTAAGGTCATGCGAGTTTATTCTATATCCATCGAAGCAAGTTATGTATATAATAGATCCTATTCCATAGTCAGTACCCACTAAAAAGGAATTTCTTGGCAATGGGGTGATTTTGGGGCACCCGATTTCCTCGCATTTTAAGTAAAAAGGATCAAGATGCCAGAGTGAATCTCTGTGACAAGATATTGCTAATTTTTGTATTCCTTCTGTAAACTGTCTGGCAGGTGAACATTTCAAAAAAATGATGCTGCCAAATGGATAACGTTCGTCTTCTTTTCTAGCAACAGCACCATCTCTTTTTGTATGTGCTACCTCAGGTGGCTCACCACATGAAGCCTCTGTAAACAAAGCACAAAAAAAATTTGATATAAATTTCCATGTGCACCTTTTCCATGTCCACCTGTATGTATATGACTTGGTTGTAGTGAACCCCTGGATTTATACGTCTTGGTTGTATGCGAAACCTGTATGTATATGACTTGGTTGTCTGTGAACCCCTGGATTTATACGTCTTGGTTGTATGCGAAACCTGTATGTATGTATGTATGCGAAACATGTATGAATTATTGGATGTAAGTGTCTTGGTTTGGTTGCATTTGACCCCTGCATGTATGTTCGATTCAATAAATAGATTGCAGAAGTAAAAGGCAAGATTTTCAACCTGTATTGAAAAAGGGTAGTAAAAGAAGCATTTTTTTTGCAAGTTAGAACCTCTATAGCAGTGGTTCACAACCTTTTATGGCCTGTGTGGCCCCCTTTCGGAGGCTTTTAGCACTCATGGGCCCCTGTTTATCATTCCAGTGGAATTTATAGCGTTGTTTTAATTGGTAGATTGCAAATCCCATAATGTTCAAACAATTCATGCTCAACAAAGTGAAAACACCCTGTGGAATTTCCTCATTCAGCAATGAAACTAGGAAGAACAGGGGATTTTCTTGTAAAAAGGCACTGTGTCCCGCTTGGGGGGCCATGGGCCGCCGGTTGGGAGCCGCTGCTCTATAACATGTGTTCTTAAACTGGAGTAAACATGGCCACATTGTAAAATTGCCGTTCTCTTCAATCCCAAAGAATTAGGCCTTTTTAATGGAACTCAAATTGCTAGTCCTATTCAAATTTCAAGTTCTAATTTGTAACATATTGATAAGTCTTACCAACACACACAAATGTAGTTGGATTTGGTTCCCAGAATCCAGATCTTTGACAAAAACTTTCTCTCCAAACTTGACCAGGATAATACCAACTTCCTTCATCACATGTATATCTGTGGTTAAATTAAAATAAATCAGATAGCCAATCATACAATATTTGGAACAACAAAAATATATGTTCCAATATAAACAAGACTTTTTACAAAGAACATATCATTTTAGCACATGGTAAGCATGTACGAACGGGATGGGAGACCTTTTTTACTGAGGTGGACACAAATGATATTTTGTCAATATTTTAGCCTGCTCTTCTCTGAGTTGTAATTAAAACATTACTAAAAGGTTATGTTATTGTTTTTTGAGCTTAGTTTGTGAGCTTTTTGCAATTTTGAATAGTGAAAACATTTTGTGAGACCCTCTGGGAAATGCTCCTTATGAAGGAGATCGCTGTACTTAACAGCGCAACAAACAGATGGTAACTCGTAGAAGCTATAAGAAATAAACAAACCGGTAAACTACACTAGACTCATATAAATTTGGAAACTCTCCATTTTCCCTTTCCAGATGAGACTTCATTTAAAAAAATGGGACTACATAAATCTGACTGCATGCAACGAATAAATGTTGCCACAGTTATTATTATTTAGGATTTACAGCACCTTCTTATTAAAATACTGATTTTCCAGAACAGAATTATTTCTGCGAAAACATATTTAACACTTGAACTTTGTTTGTGTATAAATCGTACTCGAAAGTTTTCAGTAACCTAGGACGCTCCACACAATGGTTATGTACTCTCTAGAATTTTTGGCAACATTGCTCCTATATTCACTCCATATCACTCTTACCAAAATCTTGCTCAAAACTGTTTTGCTTATACCTTGCAACAGTGTTAAATCGAAATTCTTCAGACGTTGTTTTGATTGTTGTATGTTTTACTTCAGTGGGAGGATCACAGAACAGTTCTTTGCAAGTATCTGCAGGATTTGAAGTTTCCCATCTTCCTTTAGCATTACATCTTGCCATCATATCAAATACACCAGGTCTGAACATCCAACCACTGCATATGAAAATAATTTGGTAATTTGTCGAATTAGGAAAGACATAGCAGAAGAAGGTTGTTTACTAGTTCAAACAAGAACCAGAAAAATTTCCCATTGATTTTATTCATATATACATACAGACAACATCTATCTTACATTTTGAAACAGCACAATTACACAGTGCACACTTATCATACAGTGCCCACTTAAAACTATTATGCAGGGTGACCACAGTAAAAACAGAACCTTATTTATTTGCTATATGGGATTCTTCCTTTTCATATTTACCTGAAGAGAGAAAAGCTTATATGACCTAATCATATGGCATACCACGGCTTCTGGTCGATTTACCAGCTCATATCGAGTACTGAGTATGGGGCTACGTGAGCAACCCTACAAAGGTGTGGAGTTCAGCAATACTCTCACACATAATTATTACCCACGCGATTTGAAACTGCGAACCCGTTAGAAATCGGAGATGCGATGGCAAGCTATTCCTAACGCTTAGCACGATGCACCAGCGATTAAATTATTTCTACGAAAATGATGGATAATTCTTGAATTTCTGTTTGTATATGATTATACCCAAAAGTTTCAGTGATCTAAAACCCTTTGCACGAAAGTTATTTCTTTCTAAAATATGTTCTAAATAACCTGGGTTCTATTTGTTTGGTCACACTATGTATAGGACAAAATATATAATACAGATATAAAAAGATTCTTGTAGTAGATTATTATATTCGATCTTTGAATCTCGATAAGAATACAGCATAAAAACAATTGCTATACTTTGGACATTTGACATGAATCTCGTTATTGAATTCATAATCATCAACAGATCCTTTCGTGATCAAACTATGATATGGAGGTTTGAACACGGGGCATCGAATCGGCCGGCATGGAAGTGATCTTGGATCAGGTGCCCACACTCCAACTTCTGAGCACCTGTCAAAAGAAAGGTAAAATTCAATATTCAACATTAGATTACAGTTATATAGTATTTTGTTTTTCCATTAGTATTACACAAGTTCTAGTACTAAATATAAAAGTCAAAAATTAAAAGCAATATGCCCATGTTTTTTTTTTACAAAAGATTGAAATATGAATAGGTGTACGTGTGAATTCTTATGACCGATGTTTTCCAAAAGGCTGCCCAGGGACATTGATTTGAAAGAATACAAATTGGGAAAATAGAAGGTTAATATGGCATAGACAGAATAAACACAAAAGCTGTTGTAGGGCAGTTGCATTTTGGTTTTGATTGGCTTTTTCTGAACAGCTGGTCATGCGCCTGGAAATATGCTGCATAGCTCTTCCGAGATGAAAATTCATGTCACAGAGAAAGATTTTGATTTGTGTCTTGCCTCGCCTCTCATTTTCGTTGTGAAATAGTAATTTTCGTGTGCCTCTCATTTTTTGTTGTAGAGTGGTAATTTTAGTGTACTTTGGGAGTAGGGCTTGACTAGGTCAATATAACTTTGTCATTAAAGAACAGAAACGGTTTAATGTTAGCACCATATAAACGCCCACCTAAAGTAAGCGCTCATGGTTAGACTAATGGCTTGGCACCTGATAGGATGACAAAGACAAACTCCATGCAGGATACTTCACTGCCCAAAAGGTTTATCACATTAGATCCTAGTACCACCTACTCCACCAGCAGTCTTTCTCATAAAAAATGAATGAGACAAAGCTGACAACTCACAAAATCAGTGATTAAATCTTTAGGTAAATTATTATAAAAGGTAGCCTGATCATACAGGCAGATAAGCATATTCTGGCTCAGTGGTCACCAACCCTCTTTTATGCAACCCCAAATTTTCTAAAAACTAAATTTCGTAAAATCTAACAACCCAAAAATATGCTCAAATACTAAATGGCATGTACTACTTTTGGGGCCACAAAATTGGATGACTAATATTATAAAACAAGTGAGAAAGCTGCCTAGTTTGCCCTCAGCAAGGTTTTAAAGTTGTGGCAATGCTTTACTTAGGCAAAACAAAATATTGCTACAAAGTTTTTTCGCTCTGATACTTCTCACATATACAATTACTATTGAGCAACACTTCAATACCAATATAAAATAAACAAAAAAATTCAATAGGAAATAAAAATAGTAACTTTTGAAGTTGAAAAAAGCATAGGTTGGGAAACATTGCTCCAGTCAGAAAAACTTTTTGAAATGCAAGACTTCTTACACATTCTAAATGCTATCTACCTGGTAACATAAGAAACTCTCTCTGGAAGATATTCATAGCCTTCATCGCAAGTATAACGAACTGCAGTAGAAAACGGTAGCTCAAAAATTTCAGATGAACCTGACAGTATATGAGTGGCATGTGGAACATCCGGTAACACAGAACATGTTATTTCCTCACATTTGATACTTTTCATAGGATCTGGAACCCACTTGTCATCTTTATAACAAACGGTTTTTTGCTTGTTTGTAGTTGATTTGAATCTTAAAATTAATATAAAGAATATAAAAAAATTAACAACACCATTTTGTTTTTAATTTTTACAATAGTTTGTTGATGAAATATATTACTATCACACTTTTTAGATATCAGTAATCAGTAATTTATTTTTCCACCACACTAAAGTACACATTGTGAATAAACAATACAAAAAATGAAGTAAAATGGTACTGCAGATAGCATAAGACTGCACAAACACAAAATAAAAAAAATACCTAAACTTAGTGGCGCAGCATTGCATCTTTGATTCTTGCAGTTATGGAATGAATACGTTACGCAACAGAAAAGTCATTATATACCGAAAAAGTCGGTTCTTTTGTATCAGAAGTAAACACGAATTTCCGATTTTGAACCCCTTCCCCCTTGGGAAATCCTGGCTGCGCCTCTGCCTGACCTCATGTTCAATAACACCCCTAAAAGGCCCAGACTCTATCACAGGTTCATTCCAAGCAGCACCCCTTACAGTTGCCTAAAGAACATATGTGAAGCCACATGTGCCCTTTGGTAGATTAAATAACAAGACATGAAAATTGTAAGCTTCATTTCTTCATGGGCCCCTTAAAAATTATTTCTTGGACACTTTGGGGGTTCGTGAACCACATTTTTAGAACGCATGTACTATCAGAAAGCAATTATTTATATAATGCTATAAAACAAAAAACAAAATAAGCCATGGCAATGTCAAGAATGAATAGAAAATTTTGATATTTTATTACATACTTGCATACGTTTTGTTCCAAAACATTGCCCATTTCAAAATAATCAATCCATTCCAACCATTTTAAATGGTCTATGGTAACATAAGCAGTATTTCTCAGTCGTTTCACGCCAATGAATGCAAGTACAGATGAATTAATTCCAAGCAATAAATCACTTGTACCATGTTCATTACAATACCATTGTTGGGAAGCATCAGATTCATTACAATTCTTCATAACCAATTTCTGCGGATAAAAAACAAAATGAACATGGTATTGTGTGGATGTAGACATGATCTGTAGTGGTCACCCCAATGTGATTGACTAAACAGGGTGTCCTTGTGTGCCATTTGTATGTGTCTTTCATAAATGCTAGCAGGATTTTCCAAACTGTGGGTCCCAACGCCCCGCCCCGATGGGTAACAAGGTGTTTTAGTGTGCTATTTGTATGTACCCTCCATAATTCCTACCTGAGCTCTTCAAACTGTGGATCCCAATGCCCCGGTAGGTAACGAAAGGTCTCAGTGTGGGTCACGGTAAAATCTCGTTCGACACTTATTTTAAAACAAAATATTGATCAAATGTGAAAGATTTGGGAACAACACAGAACCACTATCAACAAAATAAAGCCAAGATTCGACCTTTTGTGTGAGAATATGCAATCACATCGGTTCCATTAAAGGTACTATGTATTTTTATATTATTTCCTGTATTATTGAATTCCACTATATTTTTATTTTAGTTCCTGAGGATCACAAAAAAATTTGCCAGTGCCAGTAGTTCATGATAAACAAAGTTCTAAGACTACATAGACTTGTTTAACTCTTGACACATTTTAATCCTATAACATCGCCATATCAGCAGTATAACATATAACAGCCAAGCATGTGCCATACATAAAATTATAACACAACAGTTGCAAGACACTATAAGTTGTTCAAAAAGGACAAGTTCTGTCCAATGCGTCATACCGCGTTTCCCTTAAAATAAGAAGCCTTCCCCTTAAAATAAGACCTAGTCAATAACACGAATTCATTTTTTGATTTAGTCTCTCCTACACATTTAAAATGATTGATAATCCATGTTTTGCAGGTATTTTGAATAAAAACTTATTTATAAGTAAATGGATATCGGTTTTCATGTTTTGTATATTTGAAAATCTGGTAATTCTCTACTTTGTAATTTTGTTTTTGATAAATGAAAATATAAGACATCCCCCAAAAATAAGCCCTAGTGTTATTTTTTCCGTGGAAAATTGAAATAAGACCCAGTCTTGTTTTCGGGGAAACACGGTATATATAAGAGATACAAAGACCTGTATAGAATCAACAGCAGTAGGAACAGCTTCTGTGCTCAAACACAATTCAGTATCAACATCCTGAATCATTGAATTCAAATACCATCTTGTACTTAGAGCAGACGAAGTTCCACATGCACTAGAAGAAGCATACACTACGTCTTCTTCATCTATATATATAAGAAATATCCAAATCGAATAATTTAAATTTGCTTTGGCCTAATTATATTGGCATTGCTGGTGAATGATCTCGGATTCACTTCACCAAAGGCAGAGGTTCCCAACCTTTTTTGAAACATCGAGCGCTCTACCTTGGCTTATTTTAAAATTCTTCACCCCCCCTCCTCGTTACGCATAAAAACACTCCCATTTAATGTCTAATCTTTACTGGTTTATCAGCAAGTGATGTGCAGTGTTTTACAACCTTTTTAATGGAGCAGAACTCCAATCAACATTCCATAAGCTTGTGCAACAATTTAATCACCTTATGCTAAAAAATCATTTTTTGGTGAATGAAATTACTCATAAAGAAAACATAATACAACAAAACAAAATGATATTTGAAAAGTAGCAAGATTTATAATAGTGGCAAATTTAACAGGTATTTAATTATATTTAAATGATTAATATACATATAATAATAAAGGCTCTCGAATTTGAATGAAAACTTCTGAAACCATGGACCATATTGGCAAAACCCCAGGGTGCCGCAGAACCCCGGTTGAAAACCACTGCCCTAAATCAATCAAATATCTCCCTGGGAGGATAACTTCCCCTGGCAGGAAACCTTTCACTGTGATAAATTGGGTCTGCTATATGGAACTGGAAAGTCAGTTGAATGACCCCAATTTCAATTTACCTATCATGAGACAAACATCTTCAAGAGGATTGTACAAAGTAAAAGTCCATCGTGTTGAGAATCCAAGCTTGCAATGATATTCAACCGTAGAACCATGAGAAAATAACATGATTTTTGAATTGGCAGAATTTTTCGCGCCCTGTACATCAGGAGGACGTGTACATTGATATTCTGAAAAATATTAAAACGTATCATCCTGAATAAATTGGATAAAATAGATTTTAGTACGCTGCAAAATTTGACTTTTTGCAGACATGATTTGACCTGCAACCATAAGCACTCTGCCACATTCAGATTCCAGCTACAATTATCTTTCTTTCTTAACCTTATGTCATAAAATCAAAACCCATAGGTATTCCCCTTTTTTTGATAAATATCAAAGCAGTATTTTCATCTTTTATATACTACAATTGGTCATAAAATTGACCCCTTCTAAAAACAATAGACCCAAGTTTGATATAAATACTTATGTAAGTTCATGTTAAAATTGCAATCATGATCACACATTTTGAATAATCAAATATATCAGTAATCAGTAGTGTATTTTTTCACCATACATGAAATAAACTAAAGGAATACAGACCGTAGAGAGAATCAAAAACAGATATTTTGGGGTGAAAGGAGACACCAGTGATAAGTCTAACAGTTATTAACAATACAATGAAAAAGTCGAAAAATGATTTAAAGAATATAAGAAGAAATAAAAGTCAAAGATGTTACTGTTCTGCTTTATTCATTTCAAGCACTGCATTCTTTCACTTTCGTTTTGCTTCATTTATTATGTTCGCTCAGGCGTGAATAATTTTCTATTGTGTTTGGTCTTCTGTTTTTACTGTTTGGGGCAGCATGCTCATTATTAGTGTGTGGTTTTGTTAATCTGTATGAATCGATGTATTGACTTTGAACTGAGTTGTATTGTCAACTTTACATGGTAGCAGAGGAAAATGACTTCCAAACAAATACCACCACCAAGGTTTGGAGGCGGTACTAGCTATGCAGAATGGAAAAATAAGTTGGACATGTGGATTTCCATAACAGAAGTGCCAAAGGAAAAGCAGGCAATTTTGGTGCGTCTGCAGTCGCTTGATGGAAATAATAAAGCTGAAAAAGCTGTGTCAGAGTTAACTAGTGAACAGTTGAAAGCTGATGATGGGTTGGACAAACTTCTTGGAAAACTTGATGGTGCATTTCAGTCAGAGAAAACTGATGAGGCCTATTTAGCCTACACGCTATTTAGTAAATATCAGAAAAGTTCTGATATTTCAATGGTGGATTTTATCCTGGAGTTTGAACACCGGTATGCTAGACTTGTAAAATATGACATGAAGCTACCAGATACCATTCTGGCTTTTAAGATATTAGATGCTGCAGGCCTAACTGCTGAACTGATCAACAGCGCCAAATGGTTCTTACTGTTGGAAGCGACTTGAAGTTCGAATCTATGAAATCAGCCTTAAAAAGGATTCTTTCAAAGCAAGATGGCGATGAAAAGAATTATGATTTTGATGAAGATGATGTTGCATCGAATATTAAAAAGGAAAATGCATTTGTGACTCGTGATACGGTACTGGTAGGCCAAAATTTAAGAAAGAATTTTTCAAAGAGAGATCGAGATACGCCACCGGTAGTGGGCGGAGGGGCAAAGCAGCGATACAAGCATCATGAATCGACAGTAAAAGCTCAACTGAATCCACGGGACAAATACGGAAATATATCTAGATGTGCAATTTGTGAATCAAAAATGCACTGGGCCAAACAATGTCCACATAAGAAGAATCAAGTTTATTGTTCCGATGCGCAAGATGGTGTTTTGTGAACAAATACAAATGGTTTTGATAACAGATGAAATTCTTCAGATATTTTTGAAGTTGAAGCTGCCAAGGCTGCAATAGTAGATACTGCTTGCACGAAGACAGTAGCTGGTAAAAAATGGTTCAGGAATTATCTTGGGCTCTTAAACGAAAACTTGTCGAGCAGAGTTGAGATTTTTCCTTCAATGAAGAGATTTAAATTTGGAGATGGGAAAGAAATTCAAGCTGAGAAAAAGGCTATAATTCCTGTACAAATTGGCCGAACGTTGCTGAGAATGGAGGTTGAAATTGTGAATGAAGAAAACTTGCCATTGTTACTCAGCAAAAGCACACTAAAGCGTGCAGGCACTGTACTTGACATGCAGAACGATCGTGCGGTAATGCTCAAGCAAGATCTTAAGTTGCATTTATCTACCAATGGACATTATGCGGTAGATATACTGCCTAAAATGAAGGCAGAAGTTGGTTGTCGTAATGAAATCTTTGCATCAGAAAGCACTGGGCATAAAGAATTTGGGAAAGCTGAAATTACAAAATTGCATAAACAGTTCGGCCATGCGTCACAAGACAAATTAAAGAAGCTCATTCAGAATGCAGGAAAATGGGAATGCAGATCTTTCGAGCCTGATTGAAGAAACAGTCAGTGACTGTGAAATATGTAAAGTTTACAAAAAAACCTTCGCCACGTCCAGTTGGTAGGACTTTCATGGGCAAATGATTTTAATCAAACAGTGGCGGTCGATCTACATCAGCTAGGTTCTGATATGTGGTATTTGCATATGATTGATCACTTCACTCGATACAGTAGAGCTGCCATTGTGAGAAATAAATTTTCATCAACAATTGTAAAGAAATTCATGCAAAATTGGATCAGCATTTTTGGAAGTCCGGCTCGTATTCTGAGTGACAACGGCGGAGAATTTGATTCTGAAGTGTTCAAAGATATGTGTGGAAATTTTAATATAACGTTCACCGACGACAGCTGCATACTCACCGTGGTCTAATGGACTCTGCGAGCGACACAATAGGACATTGACAGAAACATTGATGAAGATTAAGGCAGCCTGAGAAATGTGATATGGAAACTGCATTTGCTTGGGCTGTTAGCGCAAAAAACTCACTTGTGAATAACCAATGGCTTCAGCCCTAACCAGCTCGTGTTTGGAAGAATCCCACTTTGCCATCAGTTACTCATGATGACCCACCTGCCTTGGAAGGTGAATCTATAAGTCTCACTGTAGCCAATAATATATTTGCAATGCAAGCTGCCAGGAAAGCAGTTATTGAATCAGAATCTTCCGAAAAAAATAAGAAGAGCATTACGAACACAAACCCGACAGACTCGGGATGAATTCTTCACGGGAGAAGAGGTTTATTATAAGAGAGAGGATCAAAAACGTTGGAAGGGCCCTGCAAAAGTAATTGGGCAAGATGGACCGGTTATTTTTATACGACATGGCGGACAGCTAATCAGAGCACATTCATGCAGAGTCCAGCAGGCCAACCGTCATCTTCAGGATTTTCCTCAGACAAAGGAGGTTTGCATTCCAACAGATTCTAATGATGGAATTGACGCTTCGTCTAATGGTAATGATCATATAGAAGATGAGGAACAGTCTGTTCCAGAAATTTCAAATGAAAGCAATGATTCTGAAATATGGATAATGACCCAAAGTGCAAGCAGCAACTGGTGGCAGACGTAATCTCAAGTCTCAACTTGACTAAAGGCAAAATTGTCTCTTTTACATTAGCTGGTGAAGACTATGAAGCCAAAATCCTTAGTCGTGCAGGTAAATCAACCGGGAAATATGGGAAAAGCTACAATGTTGAATATTGTAATCCAGAAAGTTTTAGAGGAAAATCTGGGTACGTAGATTTTGATACAGTGGAAAATCTGAACGAGAAGGAAATGGATGAAAACACTCATGAAGATGTGTTGGTCTTGGAAAATGTTGACTTTCTAGAAGCAAAGAAGTCAGAGTTGAAAAGCTGGAGACAAAATAGGTCTACAATGAAGTCGAAAATGTTGGTCAACCAACAATTTCCGTACGATGGGTGTGTTCAATGAAAGATACTGAAGATGGAATCATTCCCAAAGCCAGACTTGTCGCAAGAGGCTTTGAAGAATAAACTGACGATATTGCTAAAGAATCGCCCACCTGTTCAAAAGATTCACTCAGGGTTCTTATTGCCATTGTCGCACAAAGAAATGGAAGCTTCATACGATTGACATTAAAACAGCTTTCTTACAGGGAAATTGTGTGGATAGAGAAATATTTTTAAAGCCTCCCAAAGAGGCTGGAACTACCAAGCTACGGAAACTGAACAAATGTGTTTATGGGTTAAGTGATGCATCACTCAAATGGTACAATCGACTAAAGGAGTTTCTCGTTGACCAAGGAGCAAAAGTATCAGCATCTGATTCAGCAGTATTCTATGTATACTGCAATGGGGAATTACAAGGAATAGCTGGGATTCATGTTGATGATATTCTGTGGTCTGGCACAGAGTATTTTGAGAACAATTTGATTTCGAAACTGAGGTCAACATTTCTAATTAGCTCGGAGAAAAACGAGGCATTCAAATATTTGGGACTAGACATACAACAATCAGCCGATGAAATATTGATCAATCAAGAATTGTATGTAAAAAACCTTGAGACCATAAAAGTGACCTCAGATGATGCAGAGTGTCTTTCGTCTTCTCAAATAGATATTTTAAGAGCGAATATTGGCCGTCTTCTTTGGGCAAGCAATCAGACACGTCCTGACGTGAGCTATGATGTTTGTCAGCTTGCTTCTAACCTTAAAGATGGGAAGAAAAAGATTTGCTCTATATAAACAAGATAATAAGAAGACTGAAAAACCAGCAATTATCATTGAAATACAAAAATTTAGGAAATGATGAATTATTAAAGATTGTCGTCTTCGCTGATGCTGCTTATGGTAACCTGAGAGATGGTGGAAGCCAAGGTGGCAATTTGGTGTTCTTGGTTGGAGAAAATAATGAATGCTCTCTGCTAAGCTGGCAGTCCAAGAGGATTCGTCGCGTTGCCAAAAGTACTCTCACAGCGGAAACACTGTCATTGTCAGACGCAGTTGACAATGCTGTTTTTATCAAAGATATGTTTGCGGAGATATATTTTGGAAAACTCAAAAGCCTACAACTCGATGTCATAACCGACAATCGATCACTATGTGAAGCACTCCGATCCAGTAAAAATGTTTCCAACAAACGCTTACGAGTTGAAATAGAGATGCTGAAGGAGATGATTCAAAACAAAGAAATCAACAGCATAAGCTGGGTCGAATCGAAAAAACAATTGGCTGATGTTCTTACCAAAAAAGGGGCATCTCCTGAACGTTTACCCTCGGACAATTACGTCTTTCCTAAACTTAAAATAAAACACAGTGAATTTGTTACTGTTCTGCTTTATTCATTTCAAGCACTGCATTCTTTCACTTTCGTTTTGCTTCATTTATTATGTTCGCTCAGGCGTGAATAATTTTCTATTGTGTTTGGTCTTCTGTTTTTACTGTTTGGGGCAGCATGCTCATTATTAGTGTGTGGTTTTGTTAATCTGTATGAATCGATGTATTGACTTTGAACTGAGTTGTATTGTCAACTTTACAAAAGAGACCTGAATTTCCAGGAGACGCCCGATAGACAAAGAAACTAAAAACTACTTCTAGCACCACGATGACCCATTCTGTCGGGCCATAGAAATCAAATATTTCTATCATTCACCAGAATTGTGGATGAAATGTGCCATATTCTCACCTACACACTTATATTCTTCAGGATTAGGATGCCAGAATCCATCATCTTCACATGTTAATGTCATGTTCCAATCATTATAATCTTCAATTTTTCCATCAATGTGTATTGAATAGAACCCTTCCATACATGACATGTCCATTTTTTTGACTCCAAATCTATTCCAAACTACATTTGGAATATAGGGGGGAGCTAAGCAAACAATTTCTAAACAAAATAAGATGTTAATATTATTTGAGAACCTCTTGATTCCAAAAATATACAAAAGTATGAAAAATTCCACCAGAATATCAAATTTACATATACCGTTAATTAAACGACATTTGACTCAAACGGAAGATGGCAGCTTTATATCAGATTTAAAAACTGTGCACTGAGTATTTACTGATCAAAGCAGGATTCCTCAAACTGAGTGTCGCCATGGGGGTCGAGATAAAAAAATTTCGCCACTAATTACAACAAAATATTGATCAAATTTGAAAGATTTAGAACCAGTACTGAAACCCATCATCACTGGTATAAAGCCAAGATTCGATCTTTTTTGTCCATTTCATTGTTTTTGTTTCAATGTTTTCTGGAGGTTCCTGAGGGTTGCAAAAAAATTTGGCTGTGCCAAGTAGGTTGTGATGGAAAAAGTTTGAAGAACACTGAATTAAAGCGATAATTTGTACACACGTTTATTTATCTGAAAACTTCAACTAAATGCAGTTGATGTATGATATAGCTACTCATGGTTATTAAACGATATTTTAATGACTGTTTTCGCAATTACCAGATTCCGAATGCAGGGTGACGCAAAAAAACCAAACCCATGTCATTTGGAACATTCTAGAAAGAACATATATTTGTGCTAAGCTTCCTAGATTATGAAATCAGAGGTATGGGAGGGTCTCGATATCGGAAATCCTGATGCAACGCCTACTGAAAAACGGTGAAATCCACATGTGTTATCAGCAACTTTTTCAGTTTTCTGAAAATTTCAACAGGAGAGGGTTCAGATTCCAAAATGGCCCCATGGCTGTGCCAGTGACTGTAATTTCTGGGTACAATCATACACAAACATAATTTGCAGCGTTCAATAAATTTTCTTTAATTTCATAGAATAAGAAATTTATGCGCTCTGTTTTTTTGGTCACCCTGTATTTCACCTCTTTTTGAGACTTCTATAATCAAAAAATCAATCAAACCCCAACAACGTAAAGATTCAGGTTCCGGCTTCCATCTGCCATCACCATTGCACATTGAATTCCATTCAGATACCCCAGGTTCGAACCAATACCCAGGTTCACAGGTATAAGTTGTATTGTAAGGATATGATAATGAATATGTTACATGGGTAGCATGCTTCACACTTGCTGGTGGTCTACATGTTACAGCTGAGGTAGAAGGAAGATATTAGTAAAAAAAAATTTCTTAGTTCTGTAATAAAATTGTAATACATATTCAAACACCTAATATAAACCATTAAGCTAAATTGGACGTAACGCTAGCGAAAGATCCATTAAAGATTGAACAAATAACGAAAACAGAGTGCTTATGCACAATAAGGGGAAAATGAAGTGTTTCATTAAAATAGAAGGGAATAAATCATCACACAATATCTTTCATATACTGTATATCGCATATGAGTCGAACCCCAAAAAAAAGGCCTTAAAACGATGAATTTATAAAAATTCGCATATAAGACTCTACAAATCGCAACACGCCGTACACACTTATCACAGCAAATGGTTGCAGAAGAGAATTAATGAAGATGTAACCATAATTGTTATGTCTTACTTTTAACAACGGTAAGAAGGTGTCTCAAGATCCATCAAATTCATCCTCACTATCAAATCCCCAAAGAGATTTTTTTAACTTTTTACTCCTTAAATGTTATGCGTGTATAAGCCAACCGATTTGACAAATTTTTCTCAAGTTAAACTTGGCTATATAAAAGGATATAAGGTACTTCAAAACACATTAGGCTATATATTTTATTAGCATCTATTTATGGTCAAGAATATTTTCCAGGCAATTCATTCCTTAAGGATTGAAATAATGAATATGTTACCTGTACATTGTTGAGTAGCTGGTGATGGATCCCAATATGCATTAGTTTCACAAGTTACTTCCAAATTAAACAGTGACCATCCAAATTGATATCCAAAATCACAATGATATATTGCTTTACCATGAATATTCACAGATTGAACAGTCAAATTTGCATTGACTATTTCTGCAGGAGGAGGGCAGTACAAAGCTATCAGAAAGTAAAAATATAAGTTATAAGTTACCGGTATATACTAGAGATGTACCAATACCACTTTTGTCGCCGATACCAGCTAAAAACGCCGATACCGATACGCCAATATTTGAAAAATGTCGTTATTCCGATACTAGGTAATTATTACCTCAATTGATGTTTGGGATCCAAATGCGTTAATTGATTCAGATTCATTGAGCACTGGCGCTAGTAATCTGGTGTTCAATTAGAAAACTAATAGGATTGGGCTACAGTTGGTGGTAAAATAAATAAATGTTTAGCCCACTTATCCTATGAAACTGATACATTGAGTTACGTGCGCAGCATTATGTGCCAATATAACGTCGAATTTTATATTTTACACATCAGAAAATCCAATAATATTCGATTGATATACTTTTTCATAATTACCATGTAATATTGGGAATGTCATTATAAAAATTTGGCAGCGAAAATAGCCATATTAGTTGAGCAAATTTGGCTGATAAATCGCTAAAAACAGGTCAGAATCCAATTCGCGTTCATAGTAGCGGGGTGGGGACGTGTATGGCTCATAGTTCACGATCTATCCAGACAAAAAATAATTTCAAGATCAGTATTCTAATCTAATTTTAAAACATTCTAGATCATATTGAATAGCTAAAGATATCGAAAATATCGGTCTACATTTAGTCGATACCGATACACTATCGATAATGAAAAATTGGCCAATATCGCTGACACCGATACGTCTCTAGTATATACGACATTATTTAAGACCCAGAGACCCGTGCAACCCCAGAGCTGTATGCAGCTCTTTGCTCTCTGAGCTCTGGCCCCCTTTAATCGAAGTTATCACAGCAGTTTTTTGTTAGAAGCAGTGGGGATTCAATGAAAGGGTTCCCAAAGTATGAACGTTTCCCCAAGCATTGACTTAATTGTTTACTTCCGCAACATTGGATAACCAGCAAGATGCAAAAAGTGCCGTAACAATACACGTTTTAGCAGCCGCTCCGACACATTGTCCTTCTGACAGATTTTCAGGCATGGCAGTAAATCAGAACAATACAACAACTAAAGTAACTACACTGTAACACCTGACAAATCCATATTTCATTTTTATAAGAACAAATTTAAAGACTTTTTTAGGAAATTTTACCCACGTTCACATGACAGGTCAGCTGGATCAGGTTCCCAATGTAGTTTATATGTACATCTTACAACCTGCAGATATAAAAACATTATTATCAGTTGTTGGCATCTTCATAATAGCAAAGGCTTTGAATAATTTTGAGGTTGAAAGTAAGCAGCAAATAAAGCATAGTAGTAGGATATTTTCTTCTGACAGGCTCAAAAAAGCTCAATCATATGGTAGACCACGGTCTTTCATCCGATTACCTGTCGTGTATGGGATTAGTCAGTCGGTTATTGGTCTTCGGATGCAGGGACTTAATGGTGGAGGAAGCCATAACCTACCGGCAGTTATGTAAACCATCTTAAGACGACGACGAGGAGTCCAGCAGACTCTGCGTAAGATTCGAACCTGCGAACCAATGCAGGGTAATCAGAGATGCGATGGCAAGCGTATTCAGAACGCTTAGCATGATGAACCACACCGCTGAGCCATTTCCATTAAACTCAATCAATCATTCATAATGCATTCATGTAAATTTGAATTTTTGATCATAACTACAAAAAATGACATTGATTTAAAATATATCTAGAATAGGTCATCCACTCATAAGAAGATTATTGTTGATGACATAATTGCTGATCAGTGTCACCATAAAACAAGTTTGAATTCTATATTTGATGTTAATTCATCTATTGAATCTACTAATAACTTATCAGATAACAGGCATTATCACTTATCAGATTTAGAGACTCTGATTAAAAGTAAAACTAGTCAAACCAGAGAAATCTACAGGTAATCATACATACTTTGCTAAAAACTCCTCTTTCAAACCAAAATCCTGCATTGCAGGTGTAAGTAGTGAATCCTAGATAAGAGTAACTTGTCTCTATTGTCTCCATAATTTTAGCACGAGGTATTATAGGTGGTGGAGGACAATGCCATCTTGCTAATTTCCTTAAAAAAGAAGGGAATAATCAGAATAGAAAATAATAATGTAACGATTTCGAGATGCATTGCTGATTCGCTTAGCAATTCGTCCTTTTTTCTTTTTTTTTGCCATGTATAAGCTTATTTATCGAATAATGCAAGTAGATTGTAGTGATCACAGGGTCATTACATAAAGGATTTTATTGTAATTACAGACTTTATTTTGGTTGATTATATGCAAGCCTAATCTACAATGAAATATTCAAAGAAGCTTAATTTTAAAACACAACAAAATGTAACCAGGGTGCAACAGTCTGCAAAGTTAAAGGCAATATTAACTGAGTTGCTGGAGAAACACTTGAAGTGCAAATACAGTACATCACAAACCAAGTTGTGCCACATGGAAATACAAAGCTAGTTACAGGAAACATTTTGTAGAGATTTTAACATACCGACACACCAACTTATGCGGTTCTTCAATGGGTTTCTCCTGCAACCCTTGTCGTGTTGTATTCTCTAGTAACAAAGCCAATCCATAAGGCATATCTAATGCATCCATATCCTCCCCTATGAAAAAATGACAGTAATAAAATTCAAAATCGAGCACTGCTGTTCAATTGAACCAGTGGTTTCCAATCTTTTTCATCAAATCCCTTCCTTCATGTATTTTGGTACTATTTATTCCTCCCTCCTTATGTATAAAAACTACTTAATTCATTTAATCTTTAATAAATCCTTAGCTACTGTTATGCGCAAATCGCACTTTTGGTTTTGGTTATTTCAAGTAGTTTATAATGTGTACATAATTAAGAGCATTAGCATACTAGAAATACAACAGCAAATATAAAGCAAAATTCCATCCCAAGATCAAGTAAATTCATCTATGGTTGGGAAAACATAAAATTAAACAATTTGCACTCTTATAAATAATCCGGGACATGAAACAAAATATACAGGACAAATTATTTATAGAAGAACTACTCCATAGCGACTAAATTTCAAAAAAATTCAACGATGCAAAAAATGGAAAAGCAACAAAAATTGGATTAATTTTAATTAAAACCATCCCAATTTGAGTCATTGTCAGACAAAAATATTCCAATGTCGTGTAAACTGCTAAAAATTCAGTTTATTTCATTGAAAATTGCAGCATAAGCATGCACATTTAAAAAATTGAAAGAAACATATAATTACCTCTATAACAGAACACATCTGCTTTTGACTGTGAATTACACATTTTAACTCCAGGTGGATTACTTTTATCACAGCCTTTCGATTCTTGTCTGTGAACACTTATTAATTTATTTCCATCAACCCAAGCACACTCACATGCTGATACATCCTGAAATCAAAATCATTTGTTTCATAATTTTTGCCACAAGAGAAATTGAAGCACAAGATACCAAACAAAAAGCTGGTATCAGTAGATAGATGATCTGACACAGGGTGGTCCAAACCCAGGCCCGCAAGCCACATGTGCAAGCAAAAAGATTGCTTGAGTCCTGGCCATTGTGGAATGGCTCTCATAACCACTGGTCGGTTACAACTTCGGCCACCATCAAGTCCATGTATCTGAATCCAATAACTGGTCAACTATTTTCATACCTGACTGTTACAACACAGAGCTGTTGTTCGCCATAACATAAGCCCTTCCCCTGGGATGAATATGCAAGTCTGATCCTATCCAGAACCCTCGCACAAACATGTACACAATTGCTAAGTAATATTAAAGTAATAATAAATAATAAATATAATGAAGTTGGGGTATAACAATCAGACCAAACAGTTATAAACCAAATCCTAGTATCATTAATTTTATTCAATCTGACTGCTAGTGGATAGATTTTCCAGCCAACCATACTTCTGATTCACTTTTTTTATCAACTTCTTCTTGAGTAGCAATTCTCCCTCCCATTTCCTCGCATTTACTTTCTGCTTCACTGTACGAGTAACTTGATCCTGCAGCTTGTGTTCCCTCCCAGATGAGAAAAACATTTCCTAATAAGATCAAAAATTAATAAAAATTGAAATGATAAAAAAATCAGTTATATGGTTTCGACTATATTTAAAATAACTATGAAACGATATTAAATAATATCAAGTATCATATTTCCATTATCAGTATTTGTAAAAAACAAATTTGACAAGAAAGTAAAGTGTTGTTTTGTTTTGTACATAATATGAATCCTAATTAAAGTTTCTTAATTAAAACTGCTAGATTAGACTGTATTGTGCCTTGGATGGCCAATTTGACTAAAATCAACATCTCGTAGTATTTTGAGGAGCCAAATCCTTGATTGCTTACTTTTGGCCCAATGGCTGTTTATCGTCAAATATGAATAAGAAACAAAAACATTCCCACCTATCGCTGGTCATTATACACTAAATCGGCATTTGAGCTAAAAATGGAGGGGCGCAAAAGATTATGCCCACCATTACTGGGGCGTGTCAAGAAAAAGACTAAGAACCACTGGTTTATGGTATTAATTTGGAGAAAAAATTTGACAAAATTGATAAACCTTTTTTTGTTAAACTCCAATGACAAACATCCACCTCTCTTTCATCTATAATCCAATGCGACATGTTGTTACCATACTCACTGAGAAATAAAAAACGTTGATTGATTATAATGCAATGTAGAATATAAGCGGACAGCTCAATGACAAAGACTAATCAAAACAATTGTTACTGATTATAATAATAATAAATGATTATAATCAGTTTAGAGAACCGAACAAAAACAAAAAATTTTGATGATAGTAGCATAGAGATAAAATGACATACTCATCTCCCATGACTACTTTATCCCAGTCTTGTTCTCGGACATCATCAGCGAAAAAACTTGCTTCACTAAATCTTAATTTTAATGAAGCACTTCCATGTCTTCTGCAAGTAATATATTGATTTTTGTTATTTCTTTCACATTTCTTTAAAGTAGCTGCTACCATTTTGTCTTTTTCAGTTTTTGAGTTTGCTTGAGATCCTGTAAATTAGTACATACTGGTAACACGACAGCGATTTTTGAGCAGACAAAGATCATGCAAAGTCAGCAAAGCAGTCTTTTACGAAACATTCAATGTTAGTTACAAACTTGCTACCGTTGTATACTACTCCAAAGATTAATACTCTGTGCAAGTGGTAATGGACTAAATTTTCCAGTTTGAAAGATTAATTTTGAATCACAAGGAAGAAGTTTCACACTAATGATAATATTTTGGTACTCCCGTAGTATATGTACCAAGTTTGGGTTAGGCCATAATTTTATTCCGGTTTTTCTTATTTTAGTTCTATTACGAGTTCGGGACTGTCTGTGTTAGCCAAGTGAATATACCCCCTGCCCATAGATTTCAATCCCTTTAAACAACTTGATGTAAAGTAGGCGAACAAGATTAGTTTCCTCCATATTGGTAAATACACTTCTGGAGCACCAATATTTGATAGAGAAGTGTTCGTGGATGGCCATCAAAAAATATCTCAACTTGAAGGATTTTTACCTCTATATTACTCTTTTAAAAATACAAATATAGATACCAGTTAAACACTTTTTAGTAGCAACATGATATAAATGATAAGGTGTTATCCATGTCCACAACATTCTTCTGTGCATGTAATCACTACATGAACGTGATACTATGTAATCAGTGTGGTCATATCCAAACATGCATCTGAATTGAAGAAACAGAAAGTGGTCACAAGTAATACAGGGGACCCAAAAAAAGAAAAAACATAAATTTCTTAAATATTTTGAAAAAAATTTATCAAACACTTTTATTTGCGTATGATTGTACCAAAAGTGTGCTGAGTGTGTAAAGAGAAAATTATGATAGTAAAATAAATATGTATACTTTTTTGTAATCACATCCACACCACAAAGACTAAATTATTATAACAAAAATGAATGCTATTTAATGACTCTTATATGCCTCACCTCCTATCATATGGTAATATGTCCATGAATTCTTGGGTTTTTCGACCGTGAGAAAATTGCATTATTTTGAAAGTTATGTAAAGCATTGGTAAATGTCCAATTCCTGCTTCTTCATCAGCATTTGGATCATCAATGTAGTTTATTGATCTGTGAAATTAAGATCGTAAGCGAGAGATTTCAATGTTCTTATATATAAGGGATGTCATTGAATGGGTCAAAAATTATATTTTTATTATGGAAAAGCAGACTGTGGGTCACAGATATTAGAAAATGTCTGAATCCATGAAAAATTTTCTGTTGCTTATTTTCAGCAAGTCTTATGATACTTAGTTTGTATCGTGTAGAGTAGAGCTGGGCCCATGATTCTCATCTGCTATAGACTTTATTGTATTAAATACTGTAAAACACAGGGTGACCAAAAAACAGAAACCATAAATTTCATAATCACTCAAAAAAAAATTACTGATTTACATCTGAATTTATCATTGTGTATGCTTGCACCCAAAACTTTCAGTAATCTAGTACGCTTTATATAAAAGTTATGTTCTCTCTACAATATATTTAGAAAGACATGGGTTCTGTGTTTTTAGGGGTCAACCTGCATAAAAATATTTGAAAAATAAAAAAGGGAAATTGTTCTTTTTATTTTAGATACAAATGACAAGACATCTTACTTAAATCGAGACTTGGTAATATCAGAAGCACCAGATTTTTTATCCCAGATTGTTCTGATACCAGTCCAGTAGGATATGAATTTACTTGGTTCATCAGATTCCCATATGATATCACGTAAAAAATCATACATTATTTTATCATCTATATCTGGCAATGTTCCATCCTGAAATGCATTAGAAGTATATTATAAATATATAATAAAGTAGAACTAAACAACTTAAAAGTATTTCCTTTCGAAAAAAAATACAATTCTTATAAGGATGAGAAACAATGATATAAATTATTCAAATAAATTTTACCAGATCTTGACAATATGCCAATGCATCAGTGAAATTGAGCTTCTGATCAGGAAATGTTTTGAAACAATATTCTCGGAATTGAGTCCAACCCTCATCACATGAATTCACACATTTCTGCTCTTCAGGATCTTCTTCCTCCCAATCCCCAAATTCATTACAACGAAAGGAAACTGGAAAGAAAATGAAATAAACAAGTCAAGATAAATCTGTCATCACTTGTAAAAAAAAAATCTCCCTGATTTTATTTTAATCAAGAAATTGGCGATATTGATTAGGTTCTTAAACTCTACACAATACAACTTGAGTCGTTGAGAACAAAATTTTATAATTAGGCGGAATCCATTGTTGAAAAGAGCTCATTTTGCATATATAGTCGGAGTAGTAATTTTTATACAGTATTTGCAAATTAAATAGTGTGACGTGCAACCTTTATCAGTGTACAGATGATATTCCTGTTGCCTACTGTAAAAAGTTGGTATTGGGTAAAGACACAGAAAATGCTTTTCAGCACATTCAGCTATATGGGATGAGGTTTTTAAATCCAGTGAATAAGCAGATTGACCAGAAGATAAAGTTTCGTCAAGAAGACTATTGGGCTAGGATTTAGAAAATATGATGATTTGTTACCTGCTTCCTGTAGCCCTGTGCAAAAAGCTCGCAATAGTTGCAAAAACCAGTGTGTTTCTATTGCTATTTTCATAATATATGTAATAGGTAGTTAAGACATTTTCGTTGTTGTTAGATGGATATGGAATAAATGTTGCAAGTTCGCCATCCAACTTTGATTACCCTGCATATCATTTATATCGTAATATTGTGCCAGAGGATTGCTGGACTCCTTACCATGAAGTGGTTCACGTACCTGCTGGACTAAACCAATCACAAATCCTGGTGAGGATACAATTTTTAAAACTAAAAACATGTATGGAAAACAAAACACAAACCTTTAGATTTCCCAGGTCCTGCCAGGGTTCCAGTGTGACAAGTAAAATAAGTATATTGATCATATAATGAAGATGATGATGCTGATAGTGTAGCACCCTCTACTGTACGACTGAATTCTGAGCAAGTAACCACTGAATGAGAAAATACCAAAATGTTGACAGCCATCATTCACAGATACTAATTTAATATGGATACAATTAGTATAGGATAGGATTTGCATATTTATCCCAGGGGAGAGGAAAGTTGATAAAACCGTATAATCATATGGCGAACCACGGCCTCTCGTCCAATTACCAGTCCACGTCATGTATGGGAATACTTAGCCAGTTGCAGACAAATCGATTGTTTGTACGAGATGAGCTACAGATATGATAAGGTATCCTTCTATGATTCGAACAGAATATATAGCGTGCTTTATCTGAAAATCTTATCAGCTGTCCTCTCCCCCAGGATGAATATCTTAATCCTGTCCTACTTCTCAAATTGTGAAGTACCCAAAAATTTCACTCTCATATTTTTTTCAAGTGTTTGTATGCTGTACATGGAAAATTCTCAAATTTAAAGCTTTCATAAATGAAGAATTCATTGCAATTTATTGTAGATTACCGTAGTTCATTCAAATACGTTTCAGATAGAATATACTAAATTTTTGTGATTGCTCTCAGATTTTTCTTGTCATAAAAAAGCCTTGGAGCACACGATAATTGGGTAATCAGATTTCACTGTAAATAGATGGAATTGCACAGAAAAATTACATAAATATTTGGCAAATAATACAAACTTTTTAAATTAAATTTTAGAAACATCTTAAAATACAACTTAGCACCAACTTTTGCATGGCAATAGTTCAGGAACCCATTTAGCATCGGAACAAAAACTTTCAGTGTTATATTCATTTTTTCCAATCCAATAGCCTTTGTGACAACGCTTCGTGATGGATGTTTTCTCTTCAATCCCATACACAGAAGCCGATGTTTTTAATTCAACCACCTCACTGTGATAAACTTCTTCAGGAGTTCCTCTGCAGGTTTTGTCTACAATGTAAATTGTAGAATAGGAGCACTGGTATTGAATTTTACAAGATGATGGAATAACTAGGATATTATTACAAAATTTCAAAACGGGAGACTTTTTAGTATTCCAGCAAAGCGATGGAGAGGATAAAAAGGAAAGGATAAATAGGTATTACATCAAAACGAATATAAAAACTTTCATTGTAAAAAACTGTTCTTCATTGCCATGTTACGAATACTCAATACTGAAACCCTGTATATTAATCATAATAACACACTAAAACTCCATCAAATTGACTTTTCCTATCAAGACACAAAATTCAACAAACACCGAAACAACTCACGACATTTTGGAATCGGGCATGTTTCTCTGCTTGTCTTAGTCTTGGAAGTATAACACCATGGCCCAGAGGTTGCACTGAAATATTTTAAAAGGTAGTGGATTAGTTATTACACAATAGATAAGAGTGGGCAATTATGTCGATGATGTTTCAGCGTTGTCTTCCTCTGTTATGATAATATACACCAGTATTTTTACATATTCAAAATTATATCAATTTATAAAATCTCGAGAAACACCTCTATGTCGGAAATCTGCATTCCAGCCCCTTCTCCCTATCTCACAGGTATCCCTATTTACATTATACAAGTATTAAGTCTCGTGCAACCGGGACATCGTTGATAATTTTTTTATGCTTACTAAACTATATGTTAAGTCAGAAAATCGGAAAATGTTAGTAGGTGAACATTGACAAGTTGACGCTGGAGATAATCAATTAAAGTAGTATATCCCCAACATAAATAACTGTCAAAAAAGCACTATTCTTGGTATTAAAAGTGCTAAAATTCACTCGATCTGATCCTGATCTTAATCTTTCATGCAAACTGTGATCGCACTTCAATCTGCTTGCAAATTAACCCCACAAACTCAAGTCGAACATCTAGAATTTGCGCATTTTGTTCACATACAGTTATAGGCATAATGTACACCCCTTATTTATTGTAGGTGTATTGCCAAGGCTTTACACAACTATTACGGATCATGTCGAAGTATTGGATAATAATTGCAAAGTATATTCAATTAGAAAGTCCCCCGACAGTGCCATCACTGTGGACGAAAATTAGCCACGAGGCGCAGCTGATGTGTTACCAAATAGTTGAATACCATTTTAATATCATAAAATTACATTTTTTATTCGAATATGTTGCCCATTCTCAACATTAGATATTCTCTTGCTAAAAATACAAAAATTCCCTTTTTCAAACACGACCAATAAATCAAAGGAATCGCGAAAAGATCAAAAATGTTTAATTTACTCATTTAATGTTATCGGACTTAAAAGAAGCTTCAATGAAGTTAACCAGCAATTTTGTACAACCAAGGAAGATGAAAGTAAATAGTGTTAAAAACTAATGTCCTATCAATCAATATTAATTAGCACATGGGAAGTTACACAATTGACATTTTAAAAATATAACTGTAATAATTCTGTGTAACATTGAATTATTGAATATTATGAAAACCTGTTTGGATTTCTACAATAGTTTTTTTCAAATCCTGATTCTTTATGATCCTTCCAAAATGCACAATATCCTTTTCTTGTTGCATTCCATGATCCAATGTAATCTAATCCTATCCCTCGATAACATTCTGGTTCTAAAAACAGTTAATTAGAAACTACACAATGATAGTTATATTTGATGAAGAGTAGTCAGGACATTCTGTCATTGATGATTCAGTATTCACAGTAAACTATATTTTTCTAGTCTTTCATGATTATTGAACTGTTATGCCAGATCCCAAGTGTGAAGACTACGGTAAATTGGGTAAAATCATGCGACAAGCAGAAATATCAGTATCTTAGCAAGTGTTTTCAATTTATGCTTATCTTGTACTAGGAATTGAAACAAAATTATTTTGTTCTTACGAAAATGTAAACATTTCACTCGGACATACATGGTGGGTGGAGTGTAGGAATCATAACGCAAAATCAATCGTGAATTTCGATGTAACAACGCGCGCTGTCTCGTTTACGAATTGTTGTATGATTAGAAATGATTACATTCGTTATGTTCTGAGCAGTTTTGCATTAATAAATAAGGCATGACATTATCAAAATCGTCACGAGAAGTAAAAGAGAACTTGCAAATTCCGTGAATAAAATTGTGAATTACTCGGTAACGAGCTATTCACAATTCTCGGTAATTAGCTATAATGATCGCGGGGTTTGTTGAAAGAAAACATCGGAACCTGAAAGAGTTGGTTATAAATAGCGCCTGGCCATCTATTAGGCACAAAAGTACAAAAGCGCAATTTTTTTCAGCATTAGGTCGAATATGTAAATTATTATTCAAGAAGCGCTGTTTATTAACGCCATCTCGTCATATGGCCATGCAGAAATGCCTTTATTGCCGATTTATTCAGTAACCATTTTCGGGATTGACGCAATCGCAGCTTTGCGAGGTTTATCTGTAAAGTAACATAGACATCATAGAAAAGCATAGCAAAGTTACGGTATTGTCTTAATTATTATCTGCATCCCGGTATCGATAATAATATCACCGTTCGCTTAATATTGTGACGGTAAATTTACAAACATTGATAAGTAATATGAAAGCCAACGAAAATGATAAAAATCAGAATAATATTAAATATTAATTTGGGTTTTGAAATCGATCCTTAATGAAAACAGCTGTTGTCGACGTGAACGCACGGGTAAACCCGAAATATAAACTTCGATGTCCGCCGACCCGAAAGAATTAATACTTGCAAAAAAACAGAAAGGGCGGTAATATAGATTATATATCCCCGCAAAAACAGTCACGTTGACAAAAACAATCAGCGATTATGACGAAATTAACCAGTAAAATACGCTTTGTATCCGATTTTTCAATATCTTTATTAATTTCCAAAGGGAGTATCGACCGACGTTCTGGACCTCATGTTGTGTATAAAAAATATTCGTTATTCGACTATTCGGTATTAGTTAAAAATATTCGAATTATTCTATTCGAAAAAAATATTCGATTTTGCCCACCCCTAGTCCTGGACCATTTCTCGAATCTCATGGAGGTCTGCGGACCCAGTTTCAGAACCACTGTTATAGATTATTACTTATCGATTTTAATCTGTAAGTATGTTGATAGGTATTTGTCTGTCTGTCTGTTAGATGCACGCGATATCTCACGAAAGCGAGATTGAATCTGCTGCAGATTTAGCATGTGCATTCATCATATGTCGGACCAGAAGCCTATTGATTTTGGATGAATTATGTCGTATAATTAGCGAGTTATCAATTAATTAGTGATGGGACACAAGGTGTCACTATGGAGTAAGAGTGCTGTTTTGGGGGATCCCCTAACTTTCGATCGATAAGTCTTCGGTCTCTGACCGATATTCTCGTTTCATCTATTATCAAGATCCAATCGATGTAAAAATGCACATTCGTTTACATATGCTAATGGATACTACAACTTCACCATAACTTATTCTTATTCATCTCATATTCCACTCATCTGCCATATTCCAATGAAACATATCCATGTAGTGGGGATGTGACTAGGAATAGGGCAATTTTGAAAATCAAATTTCAATAGATTCCATAACAGGATTCAGTTTATTTTTTCTCGAACTTGTGTAACAATTTTCATATATGTGAGATGAGTACACATTTTATTTATTGACAGCTAGCGTTTTTTTCTTGATGCTCATGCACTTCATTCAATTTTTTTTTGTATGCAAAATACATATAAACGCGGCATAAAACATCACAAATCACGATGCCATATTTCAGAATAGCAGAGTTAAAACACTGATTGAGAAAACATAGTTAAAATAGGCGATTCCACATTTACTAAATTACCAGATTGGCATATATATGGTAGCTTCTCTTGTCCACTACTTGGCAACCATTTTCCATCTGCATCCGCTTTCACTTTCACTGGTGAACATGCTGGTATACCACAATCCTCTTTCGTTGGTATGCCATTCTGAAAAGCACATAGTATCCTATAATAATTCTAATTCTCAAATGCATTGGAATATACAATTTAAGAATGTGAATTATTCATTCTTCCCAATCCCTCTATACTATGCCATATACTTATTATACTAGGCTATTGGTAAGTCTTTAGTGGTCCTTGCAAACTCATCTAGACATTTGCTAACGATTCTTTTTTCACTATTACTTTACCACCTAATATCAGAATTTTTTTTAGCGTGACACCCAAGCTGGTAGCAGCATTTTTCTCATTATCAGACATCAAATAGAAAAAACAGGTAAAAATTAGATGTCTTTATAATCATATTTTCACATTCTTCAAAAATTGATCATTAAAAGAATTCCAAAAAAGCTGAAGAGATTTGAATGATGAACATCCATACCGCATTTAACACAATGCACCATGGTTCCATTGTTGCTCTCCCTGGATTTCTACAATAATTTTCTTCTAGGTCTGGAAATACGGAACCATACCTTGTATCTGTCCATTGAACACATCTGAGTTAGAAAAACAGTTAAAACTGAGTTATCTTTTTCACAGAAAGGAACCATATTTTTATACCAGCAGTGAAATATATTTGTAATATATTTGCCATTTGTTTCATAATTAGTGTGAGCGAAAGCACATACCGCAAGTTGTTTGTCATTTACTTCCCGAAAGTGCCTACCATTAGTGGTAAAGCATAATTTGAAGTTTAATATGGCAATTGTCAATAGGCGAAAATAAAAGTGGCTCGCACGTGTCAATGTGCATATTTGATGGTAGTAGTTTCATTTTTCCTAAAACACAGAACTAATTTAGTAATGATAACGACCCAGAATCGTGAATTTTTTCAATACCTGCGACCATACTTTGTAACCATTGTAGTCCCACCATAATATATAGCAGATGAAGTATGTACAGCACAATCTGTCTTGGAAAAAATTGAACTTCGAATTCCTGACCTATATGAAATATTAAAAAAAATATATTTTGAAATTTTGATAGACATACTGAATTGAATAACATTAGCAAAATTTTGAAAACTTTAATATCAAATTACAAGACTTCATACCCGCCAAATGCATCCCAGTGCACAGCAGTACTATCCCGCAATTTTAAAGCTGATGTTCTTCCATCAATAGCTATAGCAAGACTAGGATTAATAACAAGATGAAGGCTGAAATACAACAAAACCGAAACTTGACATTTACAATACTAAATTGTGGAAAATAAAAACTAGCAAACATACTAGTTCGAGAAAATGCAATAAAGGTATTACTAGGACTAATTTCCAATTTTGTATTAAAATTTAAGAACTAAGCTCAGTGGTTGGCTCATCATGTTATGCATTAAGAATATGATTGTCATTGCAGTTCTCTACCCTGCATGAATTAGGGTTAGCAGCTTTGGATAATTATGTGCAAGAGGATTGCTAGACTCCTAGTCTTTGTGGGGTGGTTCACATAAATAACTGCTGATCTGTCACGGCTTTTTCCACTATCATGTTTATGCATCTGAAACAAATAAATGGCTAAAGAATTCCATACTTGATATGGACTGGTAACGATAGGCCATGCTAATAGGCCTTCCCCTCCCCTTGGGCTAAATATGAAAATCTTCTTTCCTCGCTTGTGTACCCCCAAAGCCCAAAGTTGTACCGTGTGTTGTGATTAGTTATGTGAACCGAAAAAGTAGACTTGGTAGTTACTGTAGTTGTGGTAAGGATGTGACTTCCTAATGAGTACTTAAACTCAGGACTTTAAGTTGTTAATATCAAGTGATAAAATAATAAAAAGAAATATTAGAGGTTACGAAAAGAATATTTCCATGCTTAATCTAATGTACCCCTTCAAAAGTCAAAATGTACCCCCGGGGGTACATGAACCCCAGTTTGGAAACCATGTGATAGAGAATTAACTGCCTTTCAAACCATCTGTACCGCATCACTGAGTTCAATTTGAATAACATAAACGAAAATGTGAAACACCAACCAGTATTCGATGAAACGACATACCGTACCTGTAATAATGATTATGCTCGTCAGTGTAATGTTCGGGTGATGTTGAAAATATTGTCCAATGTTGTAAAGCATCCTGTGTGCTGCATCTATAGCTCATTATCGTCCCTCCAGAAGTTGCTAATTTAACAATTATTATAAAAGTTTTATAATATTTTACTTCAAAATTATACAAGTTATAGAAACAAACTTCTAGAAAGACCTTTCTTCTATTGACTAGAAATATTTGTTCAAAACTACATCCTGCTGTAAACACTATTTATTAAGAATATTCATTTATTACTCTAATAAAAATTATTTTGAAGTTATTATCAAAATGTTGAAGGATCATGGACAGATCTTCATCTATTTGGAAATTTTTCTAGAATCTACAAACAACCAATCTGTGTGGAGAGCTAAGATAAATATCACATAAAAATATATATATTATTATGAACTATTAAGGCTAAATTGAATTGCCTGAGAATGACCCTTTTTTCGTGGACTTAACAAAGTGAAGGGGAAAAACACATTGCTTTGTTTTTCTTTTTTTAACAAACTCATCCCTGAGATCTCGCTATACTTTCAGCTGAGCATAAACTTCCTTTCAAAAGAATTGCTACATACACACCTACAAAAAACATCATTACACGCACTACAGCAAATTTGAAGCTAATTTTTTTGGATATTCCTGTTTATCAATGGAGGTATAGCGCCTTCTAAATTGCAGTTGATAGCCAATACACCTCTCTTTTTGAGATGCAAGCATTAGCTACCTTACTCATGATGTGGGACGGATCCGGCCCACCAAAGTGTTTCATCATCAAAGTGTTAAAATAAATATTGTAATTCCCCACGCTTTGAATATAATCTCGAAAACGAACCACATATACTTCACACTCACACATCCATATTAGCACCAGCAAAGGAGGATTCAAATTTTAAACTTATAAGAGGTCTAAGGATTGGCACAAGCAGCTTCGAACATGATTTAAAAAAGGGTTCGCATGGATGCAGTAGGCTATGTTATTCCTCGTAATCACTGTGCCACTTGGCACACTAGATGTTTGTTGAACATAGACTGTTACGCTACTTATTTGTAAATAAACCGTTACATATATTGTTTTATATTGAGTTTTGAGCCTTCGGCCCAGTAACCAAGTTTAGTAACTGTAACTGGCCCACTCAGAAAATTAATTGTCCGCCCCTGCTCTATCTGAAATCTGAATCACATATAAAATTCAACTACCAGATCCAGCTCGAATGCATTTTCCTGTTTTAATATGACGAATCATAGTAGGTGCTCGAGTGAAACTCCAAACTTCATCTGATTTATTTCCTTTCTCAACACAATCTTTCATCACAAGATTTCCAACTTTATCAGGCTAAAAGCAGCAAATGCTAACTAAGATGATATATATCAAGCTTCCTATATTTTGCAAAAACTTTTCTGGCCCCCATCCTTTACATAACATGCCATAACCCAATACTGAACTGTTCTTAATACATCCTAAAAGTTTTCCAAATCTGAAACTTCAAATACATTGTAAAAGACAACATAGGAAATAAGTTTTAATAATGTTGTTATAGTAAAGCAGATATTAATATAACAAATGGCATGTATGATAAGAATGAAATCTTTTTTCTTTTACTGTGAAAAGAGAATCAGGAAAGACCACAGTGTATAAATTTACAAATTGTAGAAAGCGCAGAAATAGGAGATAATAGGAGAGTTAAATGTTTCAAATGATATTTCCAAATCAAAATGTATGCTATTTCCTGAAATCCCCATTTCAAATAAAAACTTACAAGTAAACATGTTGGAGAACGTCGATTCTTGATTGCAAAATTACTTCCTACAGGTAAATCCCCACTCGCAACTAGAATTAAAATCAGTAATTGTAAATCTTTCATAAACATTGAGCAAAAATTATATATACATAGGCTATAAATGCCAATACCTCTAAATTGGCATGTAGTTCTATTGGTTGATCCCCAAGCAATCCATAAAGTATTATCTTCTGATGACGAGCTTAGTTTCTGAAATACAAACGTGATTTTGAAAACAATAACAGTAATCGGTATCATAGTTGATAATTGTTTGAAATTATAAAAACAATTATTCTCCAAATCCTCTTGCTTGCGTTAAAAAAGTAATAACAATAAAGATCTCGCAGAAAATAATAATAGTATACTAATACTAAAAACAAGAGCGATGCTCAAATATAATATGGAAACAACGGGCAAAAGGAGGTATGCAGGTCTGTCACAGTAGACTACCAGTACTGCAGTTATCACAACTTCGTCTGACCACTAACACAAACAAGGAACACCACAAAATACACTATTTTTAATTTTGATGACGACATCGCACAGAAAAAATAAATTCCATACAGCTCAGAAATTTTTCAAGTAATAGCCCTCTAGTGAAAAATACTCCACCACTGAAAATTTTAGAGCAATTGGTCTGGAATTGATAAGAAAAGTGATTTTTTCACAACAAGAAGAAAAGAATGACTAACAATAACAACAACATATTAACAAAATGATCCATATGTTCACTTTGTGTCCGATAAAGGTGATGGACTCCTGATGGAGTTTCCTAGTTGATAATGCAAGAAAAATAAAAAATACCATGCTTATGTTAAGAGATCCCACTACTAAGTTCCTATCAGATTGGAGAGCAATATTTTGTCCCTTGTATCCTGAACAAGTCCACCACTGTGAATTATCTTGAACTGAACACTTTTTCAGCCAAACTTTTGCTCCCAATTTCTTGGTATCAACAGACAAGCACAGTGCTAAGAATGAAGAAACAATATTATAAAGGAATGGTTTATTTTTCAATAAGACTAGCAACTCATAATTACTAGTATTCTTACTAGTTTGCTCCAAAATTTCTAAAAAAGCATTCAACATCAGAGCTCAGAATAAAAATAATAATACAGAAATAAAATATTTATGGTTTTCTTGGTTAAAAATTAAATTTGCATGCATGTATGTGCCATGGGTGGTAGAATTGTGGCAACTGTTTTCCAGTAGCCTGGTTTCTTTTAACCCCTACATCATTTGAAAATCCTGGATGCGCCGTTGTGTGCACTTATATGACAATCCCATAATATAAATTATAAGTTACCGGTAATAGTTTCTACTTTGGCAACCTGTAAAATAATCCAATGTCAAAATCGCAGAATCTGAGATATTTCTTCAATTGGGATATACCGTGTTTCCCTGAAAATAAGACCTAGCCTGAATTTTATAAATGATTTTATTACAAGCCCATCCCTTAAAATAAGACCTAGCCAATAGCGCGAATTCTTTTTCGACCTAGAATTGTTTTGTTTTTCCTTTTTTGAACGATTGTGTACAATTAAGCCAATGTGTATTAATAGGTTTTATTTATTTTTTTGTCCTTCCATTTCTGTATGATCGTTTCCAATTAAGTTAATGTGTAATATTGGGTGTCCTGTTTGCTATATTTTCTGCTTAATTTAAGCTGCAAGGTGTCGCTGACTAGATGACTCTCCGAGTCTTTTCGCGACCCCGCGTCAACTGCAACAAGCCGATATCTGTTTGTCATTTTGTTACATTATATTATTTCTTCATTTTTCATATCGCGCATTGTTTTTTGCATGACGAAAATAAATATCTGAATCTGTATCCTAGTCGATAGCAAGAAATGTCTCCTACACGTGCGTGAGAGAGGAAAAGGTGTTATTTATAAGTACAGTAAACGGGTATCGGTTTTCACATTTTAAATCTCGTAATTCTCTACTTCGTAATTTTGTTTTTGTTAAATGAAATTATAAGACATCCCTCAAAAATAAGCCCTAGTAGTATTTTTCGAAGGAAAAATGAAATAAGACCTGGTCTTATTTTCGGGGAAACACGGTATATATATACAAGGGGAAAGGAATTATCATAAATAGGCTGTTTCATAATAGCAACCATGATGTGATAACCTGTTATCAGTTCAGGTCAAGGAGAAAAAGAGTCGGTTAACCATTTACAATATTCAATTCATAATAAAAGAGGTGGATGCAAATAGAAGCCTGTGATCGTGCAATTTTTCATCTCATATTCGTCTCAAAATTATGAGTTGATTTGACTTCCAATATATTCCTTTGGAAGCTTATTACAATTGATTGGCACTAGACAGGTTTAAATATAAGGAATGTATGCAATAAATCTGAAAACAAATACGAGTTGCAATTTCAAAGAAGGAAACTGCTCATCAAGGTTTTGACTTGGTATATTTGAAAATTTTAACCCAAAAAGACGAATGTTGAAATCGGTGGCAGAAAATTAAAAAAACGCATCTTTTTGAGCTTTGAACTATAACTGTATATGATAATACACTGTTGAATACTGCTCCAAACTATGATCAGATATCAGCTTGAAAAGGGCTTATTCTTTGTAATATTTTCGAATAAAAATTGTTTTAACTAGGGCCCCCTTCATTTTCAAATCCTCGAATTATTATGTATCATCTCATTAAAATATAAAAATTTGAATGATTTGACATTTGAAACTCGGCATACAGCATTTATAAGCTCCTTATGATACATAAAAAAAAATCTCTCACATGTCTGAACATGGAGCAATAAGTTCGGAGATGCAGGAAACCTCATCCATTGAAATCGTGGAGTAGCAGAACAGGGAAGCATAGTCAGATATGCCGTTTCACCGACAAACAATGTACCACGTTTGCCCAATTTGTCACCAACATCCAGAGCCAAGCACTTATCCAGACCATAATTATAAAGTTCAAAGGATTCATCTGTAACAACACAATGGCTGAATTAATTTTAAGGTATACTTTTCAAAACAGCGAATATTGTCAAAATTATAATAAAATTACATGAAAAAGACAAGACAAGAAAAGAAGTTTATTTCGTCATGCAAGAAATCTCAAATAATTCAGATTCAGACACGAGGTTTTATACATTAGAATACAGTCTTTCATCGCAACTGACAGAAAGTCATGAAGGACCAGAACTGGTCATCATTCATGAGTCTTCGACACCAAGATTTAAAACAAGTCAAAAATAGAAGAAAAAAAAACTGACACAAAAATAAATATAAATACAAATGTAAAAAAATACGTTTTCACCTCCGTATGCTTTTCTTAATCCTAACCAATCAACTAAATGTCCACCAGCTCGAGAAGCAGAGAATGAGCGTAAAAGTACACTGCTTACAATCATATCATTGCCATTAATGTCCAAGTGTACGTTCTTTAAAAACAGATAGTTAATGGTAACAAATAATGTCAGATAAAACCTTTAGTGTCATGTTCGAAATAAGTGATCATAGGGTGGTTGGAGAAGTAATTCTTTAAGAAAAGTTCACACACGCCGAAGACTATAAATTTTAATTTCACCAATTAAAACTGTTCTTGACCAATTATGAAGAAATTACTTGTGATGGTCAATAAATTTGATTTTTTAGCTTTTTGTTTCATTTTTTTATTATTTATTCAATGGATGTAAGCCACAGATGAAGTGGCCGCTCCAAATTTTGAATACCGGTACTTAGTAGCTGAATAAATAAATGACAAATATTATGAGATATTAGTTAATATACCAAAACAAACCTCTTTAAAAAATATTGATAAAGTAAGAATAAGCAGCAGGTACAAACCTCATCAACATGAAAATAATCTAGTAAAACCATATTATCTTCTGTTCTCCATCTCTGTGTTGCCTTCTCAGCACTGCATGTATCAAGAAATACAGAGGATTCAGATTTCCCAGAAGTTGCTGCAATGCACAACTAAACGACAAAATATATGTTTCACAGAAAACAATAATCAAGAAAGCGGCTAATTCATATAGCAAACCATGGCTTCCTGTCTAATCCATGTATGAGAATAGTTAACCAGTTGTTTTGAATGCATAGACTCGGTGGCATAGACATGGAGGGCTGAGGGGACATGCCCTTCCCCCTGACATTTTCAATAATTTTTTTTAATGCAATTTTGCGGCATTTGCAGAAAGCAATTCATATGCCTTTTCCAAACCATTTTGCTCTATTCTTGAACGATTTACGTAAAAAGAAACCTGGCTTGCTATCTATAATCCTTTCACCAAATGACTCCAAACGCGATATATGAAAATGCACACTTATATGGATTAGATAACTTCGACAGCAAAGTACGTCTGTAGAGCGATTCTTTAAGATATTGTAAGACATCAGTGGCTACTTTTATCTGGCTTTGTTCGGAGCAAAAGGCACAAGTGAGCGTTGTATTACGTCAGATATCCACACAAGGAAACTTGCCATGGAATCAACATGAAGTATTCTTCTTCTACTGATGTCCCAAACAAATTTTTGATCCTCAGAAATACTCCCTTCACCAGTCAATTTATCACAACTTTTTAGCTTGAGCCATTTCCCTGTCGGTTTTCCTGATATACAAATATACTTGTAAAATTAACTCATTTCTAATATCAAATCTGTTTGTATATGAAACAATTACCAGATGGTCCATAATTTTTAACTCCACCGCTTGATAAGCATTTTTTTCCTGCAATACCATCTTCTGTGTTTGTGATGTTGTTATTTACTCCTGTATCAGATACAAAACCTCTCTCATGTTGTGCTATTTGAAAGTAATCTTTGTTCAACTGAATATGAAAATTTGTATTTTGATTTTTTCCATTCACAGTCAAGTCAAAATGCCACAGATGCCAACAAGAATGAGAAGAGTTGGGGTAGAATAGGATTTACATATTTATCCTGGGGGAGAGGAGAGCCGATAAGACAGCTTAATCAAATGAAGAACGACGGCCTCTTGTCCGGTTACCAGTCCAGGTCGGGTATGAGATTAGCTAGCCTGTTATTTGTTTTTGGAAGCATGGCCTTCATTATTTCCTGACTATGCAATATCATTTAAAACTTATAGACAATTAAAAGCTAAAATTAAGAGTATAACCTAAGTTGGGCGAAGTCCGGTATCTTTTTATTTTCAAATCAAATACCGTAAGACAGAATATAGGTCTAATGAATATTATATGTGAACTCGTGAAAATAAAATACTGTATTTTACAGACCACAAAGTGCATTGCATTTTGAATGACTTTTTATCAAAAATCAATCATGTGCCTTAAAAGCTAGTGCACCTAATGTATGGATCAGGTAGTGGTTTATGGTTTACAGTCTACATACAAAACCAGTACCAGTTGCGTAGTATGGTTCATAAACACGATTTGGTGTCTCAAATATTTTTCTGAAAAAAGTGAGAGTTTCTGGGAGATAAAGGGACACAGATTTAACCCTCGATACTTCATTTATCAATTTGAAAATCCTCTGAATATTGAATCAATCCATTTCTAAAGACAGTTTATAAAATAAGTAACTCTTAACCCAAAAAGTAACAACAATAAAATGACATAACTGACCTCAAATGGTGTAAGAAATTCAGAACATTGAGGAATATTACAATAGGCAAATTCAACATTTCGATCAAGCGTGTAACACCAGGGACCTTGTGGATCCAGATTTGGATTGCTGTGATAAAAAGACAAATTTGATAACCAGTGTTGTTCTTCAAAATAAGATACCGGTAATAACTTTTTAGTTCTCTTCGCGCCGGTGTAAGGTGACAAAAATGTCAGTCAACAACAAATGAGGGACAGTATATCAATTTACTAATTCTGATTCGCACAGATGCGATGACTGATTAGGCAGCTACAGGATGATGCCCAACAAACAGAACCCATACATTTCCTAATACCTTATATAATAAATTAAAAAATATGTTTGACACTTTAACTTGTACATGATTGTATCTAAAGGTTTCAGTAATCTAAGACGCTTCGTTAAGAATTGTTTTCTCAAAAATATGTTCAAATGATCAGGTTCTGTTTTCTGGGGGTCACCTTGTAATAATCCATGGTACCTTACAGCAAGCAGAATATCATAGAAAGAGAGTATGGAAAAGTTAAATTTCAAATTCTGTGGCTATGGGTAAAAGAATTCAAATGAAGAATAACAATTAGTGGAGATTGAAACTTCCCATTTTAAGTTTCTTTAATAAGTTTTTAGTTCTACTACAATGAACTGGCTTTGAAATGCCACAAGAAATATATTCCTGGAATAAGAAATAATATCTTACCGACAATAGTTATGATCAGAATCAGTTAAGGGCTTATGTTTTGTTTCATGAGGAGAGCTTGATGACCATGATTGACATTTTAACATGTTGCTGTTTACTCCTGAATAAGCCACATTCACCTTTGAAAATGCCAAAAGCTTGTTTTTAGCTTGGACATAATAGTTTTTATACCTTTGAATATCTACTTGTTCTATATACTAATTTCAAGTTGTACTGTGATATATAAATCTAAATTAGAAAGAAAGAAGTACTATTTTGTAAAGTTACTACTATTCCATGAGACCAGAAAATGCCAAAAGCTTGTTTTTAGCTTGGACATAATAGTTTTTATACCTTTGAATATCTACTTGTTCTATATACTAATTTCGAGTTGTACAGTGATATAGAAATCTAAATTAGAAAGAAAGGAGTACTATTTTGCAAAGTTACTACTATTCCATAAGACCATTCCATTTACATATTTATCCTGGAGCAATTGAAAGTCGATAAATTGGCCCAATTATATGGCTATTCTCGTCTGGGTACCAGTCCATGTGGGTTTGGGATTATTGTTTTATAAACATGGACTTGATGGTGGAGAAGGCCATAACCGCCCAGTGGGTACGCAAACCATCCAAACCAATTTCAAGGCAGCACTATTCTTCAGTTGTTAAAAATGTATATTATATATATTCTAATACCTTTCCTTTGTAATCAAAACCGGCACCTATAATACAATCTTCCTTCCATGGATTGAATGATCCAACAGCAGTTCCATCAAAATGAAAACGGAATTGATGGCCTAGCATAGACATTCGACTAAAATCTTCTGCAATACCTAATTGAAATACAATGAACCATTTCATTTTTCATTCTTATTATTTATTGCAAGAAATATACGAATAAGAAAGGCGATGAAGGCATTTTTGGTTTCTTGGTGCTGCAGAGTGACATTAATTAGTTCAAAGGCAGCTTTTGTAATTTATGAGAATAATGAAAATTATATGGATTTCTGCACCCTAAAAAATAAAAAAAAAGACATGAAATATAAATTATAATCAATACAGACTAGTGATTTTCAACCCAGATTGAGCTTGTTGGTTATGCTAAGACAAATTCTTCTTAACATTGTACTACTAATAGTAGTGGATATTGTAGCATTAATGATTTTGTATCAAAATTTTTAGACCAATCAATAGTAAAGTCACCAGATGTTGGCAACGTTACAGCAGGGATGGCAAACCTTTTTCAGTGAATGGGTCAACAATTATATTTTTTTGTTCGAAAAGGAACATTGGGAAGTGGGTCATATATAATCGATTCAATGTCTGCATTAATGAGAAACTTGCTGCTGCTGTTAATTAAGTTATTGTAGCAGCATTGTTGCATTATCAACATTGCAATGCTTTAACAAGTCATTGTGTGGTCCTCAATGGTTACATATCAATATACCATAGTATAGTAGTTCTTACTTTTTGAGGCGCGACCTAAATTTCGAACATCGAAAAATGTAAAATTATAATAGTTTGTAACAGATTAAATCAAGGACATACACCAGTAATCTGAATTTTAAAACTTTTTTATTGCAATGTGAAACCTTTTAAAATTGGACGAAATGGTAAAAATTAAAATAAAATTGAGAAATTCGCATACAAAATTTTTTTTAGAAAAACATTTAAACTCTCTACATGTTTTCCAGTTAGGCGTGATCTTAATTTAGTAGCAGTCAATCCTGCATCGTTCAGAGGATGCTGATGTAGCAGGTATACGTGAGTACCTCAATCAGTTCAATGCGATTTTTTCGAACAGGTGTAATAGCAGCATTACTCTTCCCCCATTCCAAGTATCTAAGTTGTTGGGTTTAATTTTTGTTTTTAAATAAGATGCTTTTTTTTTTTTTCGAAACACTAGCAATTTCATCATCATTTCGTTCATTTGTGTCTCTGCTTTCATCGCCACGACTCATAGGTCAACCAATGATTTTTTTTGGCAAACTCGTGATGCCATTCAAGACAATTGTTGATATTCTTGCCGAAACATTCATCATAAGCTTTCGACTGCTGTTGCTTAATGGAGATCATTTCTGATACCACATTGCCTTTTATCTATTAAAAATAAGAACTAAAAATTGAAGCAGTAAAAGGTATTTTTTTACAATGAAACTTGGTACTCGAATAGAAGCTAATTTTTTGAAATAGCACATCTTGTAGCTTGGGTTCAGCCAAGTCGTAATGCTCATGTCATATGAGGTTAGTTTTGGTCGAAAACAAACCCAAATCTCTATTAAATCTGGGTCAAAATCTTGGTCTTGTTTTGAATAATGCCAAACTTTGTGAATCTTCTTCGCAAGACATGTCTGGGATAATACTTTGAAAAATGGTATTACGCCACTTATTGAGACATACTTCTCACCTCCTAGGTAATCTGTTCCGATCTGTGAACAAAATAATATATATACGTTATAAATAAAATTATGTGACCCAAGTTATGTTTCTTTTAGTCGCACCTTACCTCAATAGGTTTCAGCATTTTTACAAGATTTTGAGTTAGTGCAAAGTGGATGTCTCTCAACTCCAAAGGAGACGTTGATATCAGTTCCACAATGAGCCCATTGCAGAGCACTTGATGAACACACGCTTGCAAGCAGCAGAGTCTCAGCACGTCAGCAGCATATTGCATGTAGAATTTCATCTTGTGGAAACATTATTCCACTCATATTGTGAAGAGTCATGCCAAGTAAAGGTTACATTTTTGCATTGCACCATAGATCTGTTGTTAATGCTGCATATTTTACATTTTCTTTCCCTATATGATTTTCACAGTTTAAAACATTCCCTTTGGTATTTCTTGTCAGTGTTCGGCAACTTGGAATTTCGTATCTGGCTGCTAACTTCTTATTAATTTTTTTGTTTAGTTTTCCCACTCCACTTAACCAATCGGTCCCAAATTATTTTCTATAGTAGGCCTATTCAAACTCAGTTCAGTGATCTTCTTGAATTTCGCAGGTGTGACCGGAGTTGGAAAATAAGACGTTAATTTCAGCTGCTTAGGTTATGGCAAAAGCGAGGTAGCAGTGCCACTTGTTTGATCAAGTCCAACAGAAACATGTTTTTCCCCTAAAACACTTCCTGTGATGTTGCAGTAGCCCTTGACTTTACTTTGGAACTTTAAAACAAAGTGCTCACAAACATTAGAAGTTTTTAGCTTTTCTGGCATTTTGTGCCTCAAAATTAGATGGAGAAATTGAAGTAACTCCATTTAAAAGTATATAATATGTTGATAGTAAATCTCAACAGCACAAAAGACCATCTAAGACGCAAGTTCTCCATTGGAATTTCGGAGTCCGATTCTTAACTTGAGATTCAGAAGGACTTCAACCGGAATTGCCAAATTGGGCGTTTACCACCCATCATTAGCGAGTGTCAACTATAAAGATTGTTGTTTGAATAAAAATCAAGACACCCATCATTGAAGATCTGAAGATGATGACCAAACAAAATATGATTGTGAAAAACTGCAAAATTTGTTCTAGAAATGGTCTTACTGATAAGCTACTAATATCATTATTTTAAAATTAGGGCTATTAAGTTTCGTAGCATTCGATCAATGTTTTTATTGAAGTTAACGCATATTATTAAAGTTATTGGAGTTGAATGAGAGGGTGTCCTGTGATAAGCAATCAATGTTTTTGTTATTAATAAGGTACGATCACTTTCCTCAAGCTGACAGAAAGACGCAAATAATCAAACAAAAAAGTATCTATGTGCTAGCACAGGCGAGAAAAAATAGTTTTGATGTCTGTTCAATCAATAATTGATTACTCCAAAGCGAGAAATTTGTTGCGAATTCTCATGTTAAACCTTGTGGGATTTGAATCCTCTGGATATTCTATATTGCCCATCCCAAGCTGTAGCGGAACCAAAGTCTTGTGTAGTAGGAATCTCGACAGTTAAAACTCTCAGAAAAGCACTTATAATGCAATCTTCCATTTTTTTGTTTGAGATGAAGCCAAATGAAATGCGTATGCCACAATAATCCAGTCTAATGGAATTTAAAGATTTGTTTCGAAGGAGTTAAATACCTTAGATGTGACCTATTTTTCGACTCTCTAGAGTCTCGATACTATCATACATTAAGAAACCCTGCCATAGTAGTTATTGTTAGGTTTAATTAAGGCTTCGTTTGTAAATATCTTTATCACTGAAAATTTTTGCATTAATTCATGACTTCGGGTCACCGGGAAATCAGGATGGGTCACTTTGTGAGCCGTGGGTCAATGGTTCGCCATCCCTGCTCTACAGCAAAAAGTGCTAACAAGAATCCTGTATTAGGGGGAAAATTGAAACATTGCTGCGTCTGAATTTTTAGCATATAAAAATATTCAAGCAAGCAGATTTACTTACCTAAATAAGCATGAGGAACAGTATAATTTTTCATTAAATCTTTTATAAATTCCTGACTTTTTTCCGTTTTCATGCTGGAAAGAGTTCCACGATGGTTTTTGCAAGACTCATCTGCTCCCTTGAACAAATAAAAGATTTAATAATGAGAAGATAGCTAATTCAAAAACATTCGCAAAGTTTATGAATATAACAGTATGAATCCATATGATACTCTGACATAAACATAGGGCTTCTGTAAACTTTTTAGTTACCGAATTCGAACACAACTTCTAAAATATGCAATTTTTTTGGTTTACTCAATACATGAATGATCATTCTTGCCTCAAACGTTTTTGGACTCAACATCCCATTAATCGAGTAACAAGAAGGATCGAGAACGTTGGTTGATTTTGCACGTTGTTCATTATCAAGCATATAAAATCCAGACCTACATTTGCTGTTCTGATTCAATCCCGCAACCTCTGTAAACAAACAAAGAAGAGAGGATCATTAAAGAACAGATAGGACCATGTGAATATATTCTGTATTGTGAATTCAACTACACTCAATTTTCTCCCAGAACGCAATCGTAGCCTTGAAAGGAATATCAAATGGAAATGAAACAATTTATGTGTATTTTTTTTTTATCATTTGTAAATACAGTTTTTTTAGATGTGTATGAAATGATTATAAAAATGTACTTTTTAGTTATGAGGAATAGCTTTGATAACTTGATTGAACTCGTAAAAAAATTTTGTGTCTTAATAAAAGAAGTACTTTTACATAAAACATCCCTATTACAAGGTTCACTTTTATCAGATAAATTAAATCAGATCAATTAAAAAATTAATTACATTAAAAATTAATTAAATTGAAAATTATCAATCACTTAAAAAAATAGTAAATTTGAATGTAATAGACATACTTTTACATGAAACATCCCTGTTACAAGGTTCACTTTCATCAGATGATCCGTCACATGGAGGAATTCCCTTCACACCATTAACACAAAATCTATTCTTCGTTCTCATCCCCGCACCACAAGTTAATGTACAATCAGTCCAAGTTGACCAATCTGACCAGTAAACTGAAAATTAAGATTAGAATATCAATTAGTAGCAGTAGGAAATTAGAAAATTTTCAAAGCCTATGCAGCTATGCTACAAGTTCTATAACACAAAACATCAGAAATCCTTGACCTCTGATTTTGTTCTGATTGTGTGTCATTCAATAAATACAGTACACAATTGATATATAGATTTGTAGTGGACGTTTCCCTCCCCGACACTTGACACCAAATAAATTCTCCCTATACTTTACTATTGCTGGATTCTTTATGCTCATTTAAGAATGTTTTCAATGCACTTATGAACAGGTTTACATGCTTGAAATCATCATTTTTATTAAAATTATTCAACCATGTGCCGCTTACAGGTAGGGTTGTCCAAGGGAACCGAATTTTCAAATCGCTACAATTAGGTACATAAAGTGGAAAAGGCTTGAAACTACTTTTGCAGGCGTTTCGAGCTTGGACCACTCTCGCTCTTGGCTTAATTGGTTTCCCGATATTTCTCTCGCCTCCATTTTGCGATAAACATATCATTCCTAATGCACAGTGGCAAGTGATTAGTCATTTCATGCATGGTCAACATTCCTTAAAAGTTATAATCGGTAATGACCTTTTTGAGAGTATACAAGGAGAAAAAGGCAAGTTATTATCGTTAGAAAACGATAGTTTTATAAATAGAATCGCTTTCATGATATTGAGTTAGTTATCATAGGAACATGGTAGAGGCAACTCAAAGCTGAAACAGGTATTGTGGGATCCTTATGATGGCAATATCTTTTTTTAGTGGAATTTGTAATTTCTCATGATGGCAATTCTATATTATCCATCTATTTACCAAGACAAGTAATTGCACTCCTGCATTTTTATTGCCCTTGTGTACACTAACAATATTATAGTCATCAAATAATATTGTCATCAAACTAGCTTCTATTTTCAAAAATTATACTAAAAAACATAATAAGACTAGTGATAATAGGATTAAAATAGCATCTACAGGCTTTACATGACCTATTAAAACTTTTTTTGAATTGTGCGATTTTTAGTCTCAACACTCAACAGTTTTCGAAACCCTAGTTTTGGAGTTCTCCATTTTTTTAGACCAGTTCATGCAAGCGAATGATCTTCTTTCATGAATCTGAAAACATGGTATCGCAAAAGACCAGCAGTAAGTCAGATGCACATACTTTACCACAACATCGAAGGGCAGGCGTTCATTGTATAATGGAGACAATTTAGGATTGCCCAATAATATTCGATTGTTTGGTTTGATTCGGCGAAAATATTCGATTCGAAACAAAAAATTATTCGATTTTGGACAGCCCTACTTACAGGTATTGATAACTAATTTTAGTATATCGCTGTGTTTGTGATACTCAATTTTAATTACTGTAACTAAACTAAAGCTCCTCAAAAGCCATAATGCCTATTAGGTTATTCAATTTACAACTATTTTTTAGAAGCACAACCTTAAACTGAAAAATAACATGCACAAAACTACAAAAACAAGGAAATGTTTGTACTATCATGATTGAATATCTGTCTGAGTGACAGAAGTGTCTGAGCACTTACAGAAAGTGCAATTGTTACGTCATTGTAGATTTTTGCCCGTTGGTCATTGTTACGGGGAAAAAACAAGGAAATCGATGCTCAAGGACATCTGATTAACATCCATTACTTCAACATATCATATCTCATAACTTTGGCTATTCAAACAATTAAATTACCTTGCAAGTCTTTACAAATACTTTCAGGAGGTTCCTTGGGTCCTTTATGCCACATTGATGACATTGTCGTCATATTAACAGAGAATATAAGAGGCCATCCCAGGTTGTCTTCCCCAAGATTAAGAAAACGTGGAGTATTTTTCTTTTCAAAAAAGAGCAAAAAGAATGAATAACACGATATTGCATGTAACAATAACATGATATTTGAACAGGAAATTAGCATAATTTACAAGTATTGAAATATTCCAGACAGAATAATGAGGGACCCACTTAGTCACCTTTGTATGAGTTGACAGAAGTCGATGAATAATGGTAAGATTTCCAGGTAAATTTAATAGTGAAAGTTAAATGTTTCTAGTATTTGTTCTACATCTAACAACTGCACACTTGAAATAAGGAAACAATGCTCAAATATATGGGTACAAAGGTTAAATGCCTATGTTAAAGAACCGAATTTCAGATGAAATATATTTTCAACAATGGCTGGAACCCTTTATCGTCCATGTGATGCTATTATCTAGTCCCTGTGTTGTATCACTTCCCTAGTAGGCTGATGGACATGACATTCAGCATGTTATCGGTACATAAATAAATGTTTCCATGAATTAAATTAAAACAGAGGAATTTTGGGTGCAACATTGGATTGCATAGGACTCAAGAATGTCGAGTTTGACATAAATAAAAGTTCTCATGAATTAAAATGAAACAGAAAAAATCTTGGGTGAAATATTCGATCTTGTAGGACCCGAAGGTTAATAAAAAAAAGAAAGAATAACCTCTTGGTGACTACCCCCATCTTTAAGAAATGAAAAAAACAGATTGGTACATTAGTTACGAAAAAGAAGCAATTTTCACTTCAGTAAAAAGGCGTCCCAACAACAATTTAGCAACAAACAACAATCCATATGGCCATGTTGTGTCCAGTACAATAGGAATTCTTACATTATTAACTTCCCGTAATCGTATCAATAATGTTGTGAGAGTACTGTTTTCACACATCCAATGCTGATTTGCCATGGCATCATTACACGGTTCCACTCTAACCTGAAAATAGAAAAATTATTTCAAAGATATTTCTTCACTGGCCCTGAGTACCTAAAAATAAGAACCATGTCAACTTACGGAAGGTTCAGAATTTTTCCTTGGATCATCAGCAGTTAGACAGTCACCGGAATACAAATTAATCAAATTATAGCCTTTCCACCATCGCCATGTATATTTTTTTCTTTGGATAAATAATAGAAAAATATATTAATTCAAATTTGACATTACAAATATAGTTTTCAATACCAATGCAGCGCAACTTGCAGGGTGACCAAAAATTAAACATACTCTAGACTAGAGAGAACATAACTTTTGTGCAAAGCGTCCTAGATTACTGAAACTTCATGACACAATCATACACAAACATAAGTGTCAGTGTTTTATAAATCTTCTTTTCCTCAAAGTAATTAAGAAATTCATAAGTTTTGTTGTTTTGGGTCACCCTGTATATGCATAGCAAAGGAAGCAAGTTGGCTATATTAAAAAATTTTACAGTAAGTACTGGTATATACTTATGTGAATATACTCTTTTGGAATTACTTTGAAATCACATTTTGTCATACGTTTCTCTTACTGTAATCAAACTTATGATATATTTGAGTTAATGTAAAATTTTCTTTTAATATAACTTAAAATACCTTTTGTACAAAAAAATACTGAAAAATAAATAAATTCCTGATACATTTACAAAAAACACACCTATGAGGACTGTAATCACTTGGACATCTTCGATATCCTCTGACACTATCAACAGGACCAAGTGGATCATCAGTTACCACTTCAAGACAAACTTGCATCAATTCATTCTTTATTTGAAAAGCTGATGCAAAATACAGTTTTAACATGTAAATGTGTACATTGGCAAACAAAAACTTTGGTTATTTGTTTTATGATCAACTTCTCAGTTGTATAGTTTTAACTTATTATTAATCTTCAGAAATCTGCATACAGTTTATACAGTTGACACTGAGTTTCAAATGCACAAAAATAACAATTCAAAATTTTTTTCACCAAGACAAGCAAATTATTATTGTGATCATGCTTGTTCTTGCGTGTAGTTTATATGCTATTGAACACATTACATTATTCAATTAGGCATGTTAAAAGAAATCATTCAGGTTTTAAGTCTTGATTAGTAAACGACATGTATAATTTTAACTGACTTATTGTGCAAAGCAAAATTTTCAAGAAGGAGGGTTCAAGAATAGACATTCAACGAATCAAAAACTCCCATGCAAGGACTTCTGAAACAGTTGTCGCGATTATACCACTAGTTAAATAGGCTTTTTCAGCTGACAATAACTTTTCTGCTGCACAAAATACTTAATCCATGGCTAATAGGAACCTTTAAAATGTGCCATATTAATTGTATTTAATGTACCGGTCAATTGTGTTTGCATCGGTCTGGTATGATATTCCAAAGAATACAATTTAGAGAATAGAAAACACAAAAATAGAAAACCGATTGAGCATCTTTACATTTATTAGCTTATATATCAACATAAACCGAGAAAAATTCAATAGCGGACCTTATGGTAATTTTAGAAGGATAAAAAAATCTTCGCAGACGCACACAATTTACTGTGTTTCATCATCAATTCCTGTAATATAGTTTCTAAGTCATGTAAGCATTACATGCGCCGTGTTCAACCCCAAACACCCTGGCTTTCACATTGCGTTGAGAGAGATTAAGTTTCAGCACTTAGAAGCAAGTTCGAGTGGCTGTCTTATCAATCTTCACCAGTCTTTTCAAAACAATGTCGATCTTGTTTTATATACTGATACCCTTATAGTCATTGTAACCATAAGCAAAACTTTCCTAAAATTGAACATAAAATGCACAAAAACAAATTAAAAGTCAATTTAAAATACTCACAAGAGTTACTGATAGTAGCCAAAGCACAGCTACCAAAATCTTCATCAAAACCATTTGGGCAATCATCATATCCATCACATATTAAATCGTTATCGATGCAAACATATGAATCAGGAGTGCAGCGAAATTGATATTCATTGCAAACATCTGAAATATTCCAATTTTTATACAATGTAGATGCACATTGCCAACAAATTTCCAACAAAAAACACAGGAGTGAAGCAGTCATGTAAAATAAACTACGAAAAATGACTTTCTGAATTACTGTATTTCTCTGCGTATATTACATGTTTTCTGGCTTGCCCAGAAAGCAGAAACGCTCTCTCATCCAGCAAGTCGGTTTTCCAGCTTGCGCCAAAAGCAACTAACTTTATGCTTGCTTATCTTAGGAACCACAATAGATATTTGAATAAGTTAATTTGAAAGCTAGTCATTTGAACTCTTTACACTGTAAATATAGATGCTATATATTTCATACAAAATATGACCTATATTGTGATTTCATTAGCAAATAACAGAACAATAAAGAACACAAAAATACTACGTAGATAAAAGAATGCTTGCTATACATTCTAAATCCAATATTGTACTTCGGTATCCCAATCATACCAATAATTGTTGCTTTCGTTGCCTATGTATAAGTATTTGTCACAGTATCTTCATTTATACAAAGTCTTGTATGTTTGGGCAACTCTTTGTCTTTAGCAGCGAGATTATTTTTTTTTGCAATTAAGTAAATTTTGCGGCATACGACGCACCTGTTATTAGAGATGGCACTTTTCGGTTAAAATACACATGTAATACGTTTAGTTGGAGTCTTCTTATATCTGTTAAATCTTCTTGGTGTTATACAATCTTGCATTTTTTTGACAACATTTTGCCTTATCCAGCGCGACCTTCAAATAAAAATAGCCCGAGGAAAACATGAAATGTAGATACTCTTTTTCCTCTTATGTGATGAGGCTTCACAAAATTCATAAGGACGTAAGAGTTGTAGCTCGCCCACATGAAAAACTTCATGACCAGTCGTCTGAGCCATTCATAATGTCTCCGGCACTTGTGCAGACATGTCATCTGGTCATTTTTATCGGTTCTTCCCATGAATGGAATATAAGCTTTCTGCTGCTTGGGCATGTAATTTCAAAACTTCTGTAGCTCTAGCTCATATATTCGAACTTGTGTAGCTGGTGATGCTACAAATGCTGTTATCATAATAAAATATGTTGTTGACAACTTGTTTTATGTTGGAATCATTCCAAGGATAGAGTTCGATTGCAGCCTGGAGCATAATGATGCTGAAACTTTTCCAGTGTGGAGTTGAAAAGTGGTCTTTTTCGTCTACACAATGAAGTAAAGAACAAATTGCAAGAAATCGGTCTCCCAAAATGGTCTCTGCGAAACCAAGCATCTACGTGATCATTTCTCCGATCGTTATATTGCTCATGTTCTCCATGATCAATTTTGCAGACAATGACTTGGTTCCCTTGTAGTATTAGTTACAAATGAATTCCATAAATTTTTGTCCTAGACCAGCCATTCCCAAAAGATGAACCACAATCACATATTGGGGTTTTATTTAAATGCAGCATATTTTTTTTCTGTATAGTGCGCCGTGAGTTTTTCCCTGGTAATTTGGTGCCGCCAAATGTACATCACAAAGAGGTGAATTACAAGACAACCATTATGAAAATTCCATTAAAATTGTTGCAATGAGTAATAAAATATTACACACATACTTACGCTTCATCAGATTTTCAGATAAAAATTCTTCTTCATCAACTTCTGAAAAAATCAAGTGTTTTTTTGGTTAGAAAAAGTAAGTTCTGACATTTGCCTATACAATGGGGTAAACAATAGGGATGGGACGAGTCCGGCATTACAGAGATTCGACGAATCCGAGTAATAGGTCAAGGACTCGAATCGAATCTGCCGAGTCCGTGACGTTATAATAGAAAAGCAGAAAAACACGTTTTTGACCATACTACAGCATCGTGCGCTCACAAATATACGATGTAGCTAGAGCTCGACCGATATATCGGCCAACAGATATATCGGGTCGATATTGCGTGTTTGCCGATATATCATATCGGCCATACTCGGCAAGCGCCGGGCTGCGTGCTGCAACGGCTCTCGCCCCTGCGTAACTGGTTTCCCAATATTTCTCTCGCTTTCATTTTGCGTTATAAAGGTGTCTCTCCTAATTCCCGGTGTCTTATGATTAGCCATTTCATGCATGGTCATAACTGAAAAGTTATCATCTGGAGTAACGATGACGTTTTATAAAGTGACGTTTTTGAGAGAGTACACAATGAGAAAAAGGCAAATTTAGTAATAGCATTAAACGGTGGTTCTATAAATAGAACCGATTGGAAGCTTGTGAGTTAGTAATCATAGAAACATGGTACAGGTAGCTCAAAGCAATAATGTCAGTTCCAAATTTGTGTCAGTTACGCGAGTGTCAGTTAAATCATTTACGCGAGAGTATCTATCGTTGAACAAAAAAAAAATGGCCAGAACCAAGCAGACCGCACGAAAGATCCTTCAAGTGTCGTCAGCTGTTACGCCACCCCGTGGTCATAATATAGGATAATGATTGCTGATACGCGGAGCTACGCTAGCGCAGCAGCACAGAATGTCCCTGAAAATGAGGCACCTTGGCTGGATAGGTCATGCAATATTAGGTTTAAATTCCAAAGGCAGATAAAAAGAGAGGAAATGTGGAAATTTTTGGAGGAAATTGGAGCAAATTTTGATAAAATAGATGGTGTGGTGCAATACCCTAATGGCGTAACTGAAATTAGCTTTAGTAATAGACTAGTAGCATTACAAATGGATCGAAAGATATGGCAAATTAAACAAGAAGGAAAACATCTCCCAGCGCACAAATTAATGATACCGGACAAAATTCCATTATACATCAATTGGACACCCATCAGGATGACGGATAACATAATTTTGGATTATATTGAGAAAAACCATGGAAAACCGGAATCGATTGCGCACCTGAAAGACAGGAGAGGAATTAGAAATGGCGCCAGGCGAATTATAATGAAGAGAGAGGATTTGGCAAACAAACCGATAAAAAGCTACATATTTATTCGAGGATGCAAACTTTTTGTTAAATACCTGGGCCAAATTGGGACGTGCAGTTACTGCAACGAAGCGGGACACATGAGATTCGAGTGCCCTGCAAAACAAGAAAGATCAAACAAAAGACAATGACAAGGCGGATATAGGCAGTAGGACCGAGGACCAAACGAATGAGCTTAACGAACCAAATCGGGAAGTCCGGATTTTGGAAGAAGACCAAGCGCAACATTCCAGCTGGCCGAGAGTGTTGAAAAAGAGGAGAAGGAGAATGAGAGCAATATTACCTCGGATGACAGCGTTAACATAACAGAAATCAAAATCTGGAAAATAAGGTAAACACAAATAACATAACGGTAATCGAAAATATTGGCAAAACCATTGAGGATAAAACGTAAATCCAAAACAAATTGAGGCCAAATTAAGCCAAGCAGAACGGGGAACGCCCAAGACAATCACCAGACTAGAACAAGAAGTGATTGCGCGTGACCATATAAGGAATGAAATCCATCGGATAGACCAACCCAAAGCGCACCCAAGCACGGACCGTCAAAACAAAGAAGGCGATCGACGCACAATAGGGAGTGCCGAGGACAGCGAGTCAGAGATATAGAGGAAGACAGCTTACACACATTGGAAGAAAGGGAATATAACAAAAGGGAAATACGACACATCTGGCAGTAGCGGTGAGTACCGTAATAGAAAAAGCCATTAGTCTATCAGCCCCAGAAACGGCTGTAGAATGTCCTAATTGCAGCAAGATAATATCGCTTCTAAGCGACCAAAAAAGTGTGTGTTGCTTTAACTGCACGGAAGAATATAACATATTCAGGACATGTTGTGACGTAAAATCTATTAATGATAACTCCCCAAGAGGATCACCAGTTTGAATATCCCACTACTTGTATAAACTGTCTTGAGCTAGCTGTGCCCCTCCAATGTTGCCACACCTTAGTACCTTTGCACGCATACAGAGAGCACGACAAGTGCCCTAGATGCAGGGAGAGATACCCTAACTTACTTACGCAATAATCAATTGTGTAAACGAAACTCAGATCAGACGTAAAGAACATACCACACGAATAATGGATTTTAAACTAAAAGTAGCGACTATTAATGTAAATGGACTGCAAAATAAAAGTAAAAGACAAACAATTTTTAATTTTCTAAGAACCCAACCATGGGATATAGTCTACCTACAGGAAACACACTCAAGCGCCAAAGAAGAAAACAAATGGACTCAGGAATGGGGAGAAAAAGGAGCATTTTGGAACTCGAACAATACAAAATCATCAGGAGTTGGAATTTTATTCAAGAAAACGATAAGTCCTATTTTTATAGATCAAAATTTTGATAATAAGGGCCGAATTTTAGTGCTAAATATTGTTATCCAAAAAATAAAAATTAAGCTAGTTAATATTTATGCATATGCCCAAACACACGGGACTAATTTGGATAAAAGGATGAAATTTTTCAGTGACGTCAGCGAACATTTATGTACAACAACTAAAGTGGTATTGGGAGGCGACTTTAATGTAGTAGTAGATCCGATGAATGACAAACAGCCATCCGACAATCACTATTCTCAAGCGGTCCTACAAAAGCACCTTAAAAAACTATTAAACAACTTCCATTTAATTGATGCGTTTCGGCACTATGCCCCGAACAAAAGGGAATTTACATATCACCACCAAAATGGAAACTCAAGACTCGACAGAATTTATACAAATGATAGCAAAATAATCCATTCTTTATATCACATTTCGATTCCAGGAACAGATCACGACGCAGCCGTAATCCAAATTCAGATAAACCTACAGGAACAAAGAGGACCGGGACTCTGGAGAAATAACGCCTCTCACTATGACAGAATTCAATTTAAGCAAATACTGGAAGACAAATGGAAAACCTTGAAAGACTATAACAACCACAACTGGATACAGTGGTGGAAAACGACAAAAACAAGAATAAAACAACTTCTGATCACCTTCGGAGCCAAAGAAAGGAGAATTAAGAAAGAAGAAACGGAAAAACTCCAAACGCAAGTAGAATTTTATAGATCCGAACTTAATAAAGGAAAAAATGTGCTATCGTACTTTAAACAAGCAAAAAAGGCACTATTTGTCCAACAAAAAATTGAATTTGAAAGCCTAATCCTACGATCCAAAATTGAGGAAATTTCACCAAATAGTCACAACCTCCATTTGTTTTTTAATAAAATTAAAAGAAACCAGAAAACTGAAATCGGCCCGGTAAAGAATCCAAAAGGAGAACGTAGCTACAAATTGAAAGATAAATTAAAAATAGTAGAAAATTTTTTCACTAATCTATATAGTAAACGGCAGACTAGCCAGGCTGCACAGAATTTATTTTTATCCAAAATTGGGCACAAGACCACTGCAAGCCAAAATGATAGTCTGGAAACCAAAATTACGATGAGTGAATTAGAAAAGGCAATAAAAGAAATAAAGATAAAAAAATCTCCCGGGAAGATGGACTGACTGGTGAATTCTATAAAAAATTCTTCTATTTAATAAAATATGAGCTATTGGAAATCATGAACGAAATGTACATAGGGGCAATAGAGAAAAATGAAAATAATGTTGGCATAATCCACCTGATACATAAGAAAGGAGATAAAGAAGAGTTACATAATTATAGGCCAATAACATTACTGAATAATGATGTGAAAATTCTCAACAAAATACTAGCTAACCGAATAAATTGATTTTGCCGGACATTACAGATAACCACCAATTTGCTAAACCGCCGAACAAAATAATGGACCTAAATTTTTTAATCAGAGAAGTCGTTACGGAATGTCAAATACGGAACCAAGGTGCACTGATATCATTGGATTTTCTGAAGGCGTTTGATTCCATCGACCACAGCTTTATGTTTGCGGTGCTAAAGGAATATGGTATGCCAAACACACTAACCAGGTATTTAGAAAAAATGTATGACGAACCCAAATCTAAGGTCTCATAATGGCCATTTATCCGAAACGATAACGCTCCGAAGAGGAGTTAGACAAGGCGACCCGTTATCAGGCATAATTTTTGTTTTAGTAACGGACCCACTCCTACGAACCATCAAAAGAATCAAACATATCTGGAATAAAGATCCAAGGCATCAAGCAAGAAATAAAGACCCCAGCCTACGCGGACGACATCACAATAATAGCGAAAAACGAAATTTCAGCAAAAGTAGCACTCGAAACAGTAAATTTCTTTGGCAAGGCATCCGGTATGACTTTAAATTATTCTAAAACTAAAGGGATATGTTTCGATAAACAAAAATATAACTTGGATATAACCTGGGTTGAAGCATTAGTGGTAATTGGGAATACGTATGGAAAGACAGACAATAGAAGACTATGGAATAACAAAGTAAAACAATGCAGAGAAAAATTAGAGGAAATTGGCCCTACACGCTACAATATACTGGAAAGAGCAAAAATAGTCAAGACAGTCATATTACCTAAAATGCTGTATCTGGCCCAAACACAACCTATAAACGATGATCAAAATAAATTAATTCGAAAAATGTGCAAAAAATTTATACTTTATAAAACGGAGGACATAGACTTTGACATTCTAACCCAACCAAGGGACGAGGGGGGAATTGGATTAATTAATATCCCGGTAGTCTTAAACTTACAATTCTGTAAAATAATTTTGCAGTTTCTACGGAAGCACCACGGTGATTCGGACCAAGACAACATCATATTCCCAAGAATCGACCAACAATTGAGCCTACAGATGAAAGACCTTATGGGAACACCGATAAATAACAGCCGACCACACACAACAATCCTCTCAAACACTGGAAAAACGCGATGGATATTATAAAGGAATATAATTTCGACCAAACCAAAATCAGAACAAATACGCTACAAGAACTTTACACAAAAGTGATTGGAGCACGGAAACCACGACAAGCAAAGATACTACTATCAAGAGATTGGGGGAATTTAACACGAAACATCCTACACCCACGCGAAAATATTTAATTGGAGGTGCGCCCACCAGATTCTTCCAACAAAATCAAAACATCGAGTAAATAATGCAGCACGAGACGATGCTTGTCCGTGGTGCCTCAACAAGCCTGAGACTGAGGTACACCTATTTGCTGAATGCGATATAACAAATAAATTAATGGCAACAGCAATTTGGACATGGTCACACAAAAGCCCAAATAAAACACTACCTGCTACAAAAGATATAACAATAAATTATAGATTTGGACAAAGTATAGAAAAGGACGAAGCGAACATATTAATCTTTTCATTGACAACAATGAAACAAGCTATATGGCAAGCAAGAAACAGGAAAATATTCGGCAACCACAAATTAAGCTCCAAGCAAACATTCAACAGCTTTAAAAGACAGATAATATGGCGATATAAAGTTGAACAACAGAGGCGAAAGGGGGTAATGACCTCAAGCTCGAAAGAATAATGAGGACAATTGAACTACTCGGGGAAAAACAACTACGAGACTTGGGAATAACGTAACGGAGACGATACCGCACAAGATGTATTAAAAACCCGAATTCGATTTGAAAATACGTATGTCAAAAATGTAAAAAAAAACGTAAAAGTTACCAAAGTGAACTAAAATATGTTACTGTTAATCAACGTGACGTATTCCCCATGAATCGATACTTTTCTCATACTGTAGAATTGCAGAAACTTTGCTAGTCATAGCAGACGACGATGTAACTTGTAGAATTGTATTTAAACGTTTTCACGTACTGTAAACAAACTCGCAAGCACCCCATTCAAACAACATAACGTAGTCTGCACACCGATATCGTATATAATTGATCCCAGTGTCTATATATTTTTCCCATACCGTAGTATTACCGAGCTATAACTAGGCTCGGAGTATAGATACGTATACATTGTGGTTAGCATAGAGACATGTGTGAGTGGATCTAAACTGTAATTTGAAAATGATGCCCCATGCAATGTCGACAACCGAAATCCCAACTGTTTTTGGTCTAGTATTTATATGTTTTTCTTCTCCTTTCTCTATGTAGTATTACCTCCTCCCGTGTAGATACGTATATATTGTATATTGTATGGATATATGAGTGCATGAATCAAACCCCAGAACCAAAAGAGAATCCCATGCCTTCCTTATACATGTGCGAAAATCACATGAGATTTCGAAATATACCACAAACGGTAGAATAGAAAAACGCGCTGGTATATAAGTCCAAATGACATAATACTACTTCGAATGATGTGCATATAATTCGGCTCATATAAGTAACCAAAGAATCACGTAGTAGAAATAGTAAAAACTATCCTCAACCTTGACATAACCATTGATGAATATTATAAACATCAACCCCGCCCCAAATTGCAACCCGTAATCGATTCATACATATTAATCCCTAAAGCTTAAACGCTGAAAACTGTCCCGAATTAACCATAAATGCCCAAAAATGCTGAAATGAACTATGTGCAAGTAACAGCCATATAACCTGGCTGGCACGAACGATGTATTAAACGACTTGTAACCAGAATCTCAGACTGTCCAAAAGGGCAGATAATTACTGCGTATTACTGTTAACACGAATACACCACTGATACACAAAAAGCGAAGGCCTACAGTTGTAACTATAACACCTGGTTGTATGACTTGCAACCAGGCTCCAGAATACACACCCAAGACAAATACGACCTCTGAGATGTTCGACGAACCCAGTTAAGAAGCACACTCTAACGTAGAGTAATACTCAGTGTAATCATTTAAAAGTATAAGTTCTTTTTCTTTGCTTTTTCATGTATATACTCAGTGTAATCATTTAAAAGTATAAGTTCTTTTTCTTTGTTTTTTCATGTATATACTCTGTTTGTAAAACCAATAAATATCCAGTTCCAAATTTGTGACCTCCCCAAACTCAATTTTGAATTTCTGAGGTAACAGTTTTGTCTATATTGATGGTTGTTTATCATTTTGCTGAAAATTACAGAATAAAACTTAATCTATTATTATTGACTAAATAAGGTATTGAGAGTCTTGGAAACAAAGTTATTTAAAATTTCACATGTAACTGCACATATGCTATCACAATATCAAAAAATCATTATCACGATTCACTTTAAATATATCAATTTATACTTTTTTATTACCCTTAACATATGTCCATAGTTATATTTAAAACGTCTGATTACAATTCTTTTTCCTGGAAATAGCTAGACTGATATTGAAGTAGCGGGAGAAGTTATCTGTAACTAAAGTCATCATCATGAAAGCGTGGCTCAAAATATGATTTTTAATAATATCGGCATTGCGATATCGTATCGGCGTCAAAAAGTGATATCGGTCGAGCTCTAGTCGTAGCTCGAATTTGTAGCTCGAATTTTTTGCCTAATGGTTACGCAGATAGCTGTTGAATCATTTTTAAAAATATATTTTCCTCTTTTTGGCGGCCATAATACAAACTTAAACGTGAGTCAATGTGTGCCTTGACTGAACTGGATTTCCAGCCCACCACCTTGCGTCAATTCTGATCGGCTTTTCAGATATTCTTACATGTTAATATGAAAAATAAATCGCTTTTGACTACAATGCTTTCCCATAATTCCAGATATTTCTAGCCGTAAATTACTATGTCACGTGCGCATATGGTAAGAAATGACACTCGTCGTCAATACATTGTGGTACATCTGCTTGCAATTTAGTAGTTCATGTAAACGTTCTAAACTCTCCATGCTTTCCATTGCCTTCATAGCGAAAGGATTGTCCGTAATAAACTTGATTTAAAATTGAAAGAGGTATTGATGAGATTCCCCATTGGGTTGACCCGGGCATGTTTCATTTTTACGCGAATCAAAACTCAACTAACTTTGAATTTTAACTAGTTAAGGTATGTAGTGGGATTTAAAGAGGCTAAAGTACAAACATAGGCGTAAATTAGTAAAAACAGAATTGAATATGGACTCGGTGAAAATGATGTGGACGCGAAATCGAATCCGAGTCCAAAAAATGTCTGGATTCGACTCGAATCCGAGTCCGGATCCGAATCCCGGCCCATCCCTAGTGACATATTCCCATAGAAGTGACATATTCGTTATCAATCCCTATTTTTAAATAGAAAATATTCATTAAAACTCATTTCATATGTCAGAATAAATTTGATGATCGTCACGAACAACGGCACAAAGTAACTATAGACAAGATCGAAAATATTCAATATTCAGGGAAGCTATGAATACAATGATGAATACTTCTAACCTAACTATTATTTTCTCTATACAATATACAAATTACTAATCAGAAAGTTAATGTGGTTTTAAATTTATCGTATTCCTCCATTTGATCAAAATTTCTAAAGACATGAGACTGTACTGTATGAAAAGTACTGTATTGTTTATGTTATTGACCAATTTTTGGTTCAACCTTTCATTTTTTGATCAATTTGAGTTTGAATGTTTTTAACACAACCCTTGCATATAAGTTGAGTATAAAATTGAAAAATTGCCAAACTAAGGGGGGTCAGCTCATACGTGCATAACTCTGATCGCACTAATTCCTTCTGCAACCATTTGCTGTGATACGGCATGGTACGATTTGTAGGATCGGCTAATATGTGACGATACTCGAATACATAATACTCCAAAATGAAAATAAAGAACCTTCTTCATCTGGTTCTTCCAGTTCATCTGGATCGTCGCCACACTTTGCTCCTTCTCTATTACAAGACTGTACTTCATAATCTTCTCCTGGACAATGTAGAGCACTTGACAAACATGATCTTGTTCGTGATTGAGTACCATCGCATTGAGCTGAACAAAGTTTCCACTCTGACCATGTCGACCATCCTTCCCCTGCAATTTATTATGAATATTTTAATGTTCTTTGAAAACATGAATTTCTAAGTCTCTACCAATATATAGTGCTTTATGGTGCATTTCAAATCAACTCTGTCCCAAAAACACATTCTGCAACAGATAAAATCAAAGCTAACATACGATTGACAGAAAAATGTAAATAACATAAATGTCACACATCCTGTGAGCAATATCATACCACAAACTTTGCAAGTTTTTCTGCAATCCCGTCTGGCTTGATACAGGTGGCATTGTCCAAAACTATAGTATGCAGAACAAACATCCTTCATCAAGAAATCCTCACAGTCAGGTTGGCCTGAAAATCAAGATATTTTAATTGGTGCATGAGTGTAACAGACACAGTGCGGGGGCGATAGCCTGGAGATAGGGCAGCTGCTCATGTGGGTTTGGCTGTGAAAATTCCTCAAATTTCAGAATTCCATCATATAGCAGAGGCTGTTAATAAGCGTCGACAAGGTACATGTATGGGCAATGGACATATGGGAAAAGCGGATTGGAATATATGGACTACTTTTGCATTGTTGTACTTGTACCCATGGGCAACCTTTCAACCTGATTTCAAGTGTCAGTATGTCACCAATCAAATGTGCAGCAATGTACACTGTTTATATAGGTTTGGCATAACAGGTACGCACCACTTATGTGATATTATAGTTTGTTCACAGCATGATAAGAATAATATGCATATACCACCACTCAGGGGTGCAGCTAGAATTTTTTTTAACTTTGGAGGGGTTTCGCTGGAATGAAAACAGTGCAACAAAGGCGCAATGCGTGCCTTCACATTTAAAGTGAACAATATAACATATTTTGAAAAGGTCATTTTATTTCATGTTATCGCCCACCGGGGTAGAAAGATTAGGAACCGTTGTTATGTCACATGGTGAGATTCCCCAGACTGTATTTTTGTGTCTCATGTTTTAAAGCTGATTTGCAGTTTTGGCAACTTTCCTAAATTTCAATCCTGTATGTTTGTCTTGCGTTTTGAGACTCAATTTACCAAACATGATGTTAAAAAAAATCCACCTCCGTTCGCTGCACCTAATAACAATTATGTTATTAATTTAGATATAAAAATCGGGTTTCCTATTACACCACTACATTTTGATATTTTTTTATTAGTGTACTTTGGAATATTGTATAAAAAATAAAACTTTGAAGAGAGAAAATTAATTGCTCACCATATGACAGATAATACGAAAGTACTATCACAGATCCAGTAAATATCCAAACAAGTTTGTTGGCGACCATACCACCAATAACATTGATTACATAATAATTAAAGCATAAATCTGTAAGTAAAAATTTGTTTGTGATAAGACTGAAGCTAAATTCACAACCATGTCATTGTAAATACAGAAATAAAAAACGACAGCCTCAGTCTTCGATGTTACCAAAAAAGATATCTTAATTTCACAGTCCTTATGGACACAAAGGGTTTCAGTTTCTCTTAGATAGATAGTTTATTTTTAAAACTCCAGAGTGTAAACTAATTAAAATGAAGCATTCTGGAGAACGAGCAAAAACTTCAGAAAAGTTTGAAACGTGAGAACCATTATGTGCCTGCTCACCAGCACACAAAAAATACACAAACCTAGTTCAACGATGCTTCGGCCAGGAATGAACGAACGAAAATACGCAAATGTTTTGAACTTCCAGGCTTTTGTACTTCTAAAACATATAGGCTAATAATGACCAATTGAAAGTTATGCAAAGAAAATAGAATGCAATGAAAGTAGAAAGCAATGTGATAAATTGAAGAGGATTGTCAAGAGCCATAAAAAATCTAAACTGATTGGGCATTGCTAAAAAAGTGATTAAATGGTTTAAAAAATCTTTCGACTAAATTCATGGGATTTGGACAAAAGAGTCTAATCTAGTCCCATATTGTCTGACCATTCATTACTGCATTACGAGTTATTTAAATAGGATAGTAGGACCAAGGGGAGGCCATGTGTTTTGACCTTTAACAAATGTAGTCAACAACTCTTTACAACTTAGCTCAGTGAAATATGAAATATCTTGAAAATGAGAAATCAGTTACAACTGAGGCTTACTGTCATATTCCAAAAATCCACTTGTCTTGCTCATAAGCACGAAAAGTATGAATGGTTTACCCAACTTGAGGTCATTAAATTCAATAAACTAATCAATACCGTATTAAATAAATGGAAAAGTGATATGGCTGTATGGTAATTTTGGTCTTTTTATCCAACAGTTGCCCCTTGCCTCGTTATGAAATCTTAATAAAATTCGCTCAAATATACAGAAATAACGAAGTGATTGATAATCAGATTTTTTGAATTTTGCAAACTGAAAATAGCTTGCTTTCAAAATGAAAGTAACACCATTGATGCAATATGATGGTCGCAGTTCTGAAGTTATATTGAACCAAACTAATGACTGGTACATTGTTACCTTATCTGAATATTCCCTATGGTACCATCCACAGTCTGCACCCAAAATGCCTACAGGGGTGGTGACTCCTCTACGGCCCATGGGCCGGAGCCACGGCCCATCTGATTGGGCCACATATGCCATGGCCCATCAAGCTATGGGCCGCGGTCCCATCAGGAAAATACAATTATCTTACCAAAATTTTCAATTTTTACAAAATTGTCAATATAGCCTATTTGAATAAAAAAAATCGCTGTATGCCACCATTTTTTTTTACGATAAGCATTTATATAAAAATAAGGCAAAATATCAAGCTATAGAAAAGGATACTCCTGTAGATTGTGTACCAGGTTTGGCAGGTTAGGGTTAGGACAAAATTTTGTTCAGATTTTTCACATTATAGTTCTATTATGAGTTTGGGGACTGTCTGTGTTAGCCAAGTGAATAGTCCCTTTGCACAACTTAATGGGCCGTAGAGGAGTCACCACTTCCACTCCAAAACGCGTCTGATTCATCCATGTGACATGTCTCCTGTATCTTTTATCACTGCATCATGATATTTCAACTACAGTCTACAGGTATTACAGTATTACAGGTAGCCCGACATAGTACTATATAATAGTATGCCTGTATGATGTTACAACGTTTATGGCATAGGTAACAATGCGTTCAGTTACTGCAAATTAACCTGTAACAGGGGCCAACTTTCTTTCGTTGGTGCCTCGGTGTCAGACGGTGCCAAGCAGGGTGTAGAGCAGTGGTTCTCAACCGCCGGTCCGCGTCAACTTTGCTGCCGGTCCACCAAATATATTCCAATATAAATATATTATAAGCAAATTGCAAAATACAAGGTATTGACGGCATGTCCATTAATTTTATGATTTTAACTCTTATTGATTCGTAGTACCGGTATTCGCCTACCAGCCAAACTTGTTGAGAGGTCCAATTTTAGGCCCTGAACGGCTGGATGTTTGTTAAGTCTATGACTTCATAACGGCGGCTAACGTCATAGCGGAGGAGTTTGATAGCATATAGTACTAGCAGAGCCAATGGCTCTGGTACTAGCGTTGTGATTTCGAAGCCAGTTTTTGAAATCCCGGTATTGAGCCGTATAACCCGGGGATTGTTCCGGATTAAGTAAAAGATTGAAACAACTTGCATGAAAATAAAATCACGTATTTATTTCATGTAATATCGACACAGAAATATTAGAGCAACTAGGGCAGTGGTTCCCAACCCTTTTTTATATCGCGGCGTACTATTTAGCTAACTAAATATTCGCGGCACATCTATCACACAACACGAACATTTTCAACTCATAAAGAGTGCGTGCAATAGTCGAACGCGAACAAATGGTAAATAGTTAGCGATATTACAACTGTTTTCTTACATTACGAGAGCGTCTTTGGAGCACCTCTCATTATTGTAAACGTTACGCGGCCGCACGGGTAATACGTGGCCTTCAAACGCGCCGCCGATCAGCGCTTAGGTTTTGCTCGCCGTTCCACGTTACGCCCCCATTATTATCATATGTATTGTCAATTTTTCATAACTTAATTCATTTTTGTTACAATTCAATATGTTTCTCCCATTTCCGAAATCATTCATTAGTGTTATTGTCGGCACTTGCAAGAGAAATGAAAGGGGCAAACAAAATGTATTTCATTACAACAATTAGTTTAAAGTTGTTATAAACAATTTTCACCGTTGGACGGTTTTTTTTTTATGTTATAAATTTCGTGCAAGGCTCGAGCAAAGTTTGATGGCAAAGATCATAGCATTTACTATTTCGAAACGTTTATTCGACTTTAGGACTGCTAAAGCTATCCGAAAAAGATAACCGTTTTTGTGTTCGAGATATGAAATAATCGTCAATTCCACCACGCATTCGTGAAGTAGTGCTATTTACTAAATTTATGAAGGTTTTATTGAGTTTCATTGATTTCCCGGGGTCCCAACCCTAACCCTACATAGTACGATAGGCCTACCTGACAGAAAAATTCTCAGTTCACACATTCGGTAATTTGACAGTAGGCCTATAATTTAGCGACGTTTGATAGTAAAATGGAAGCAAACAAACACCAAAATATTATCCAGCTCAGACAGCTCTACTTCGCCTTGCAGAAACTTCATTAGAACAGCGTTTAATACGTTTAATATCAAAAAGACAGCAACAAATATTGGATTGTCCGTTTCTGCACCGCCTAATTTTGTCATAATTGCATTCCTTTGATCATGTTATGTGTCCATGACATTTTTGGTTAATTTTTGAAGGTCCGCCGGTCCGCAAAAATTATTTTGAAATTTTACGGGTCCGCGAACTGAAAAAGGTTGAGAACCACTGGCGTAGAGTATTTTGGGGGATATACATACGATAACTAAACGCTACTCTGCAGTTAATTATTTTCCCACATACTGTGCCGTTTGGGAAACAAAATTTACTAAACTTAAAAGAATGCTAGAAATCTGAAATACCAATTGACCTGAATGGTAGTAACTTTAATGAAAGGCGATGGAGAAATACGTTTTTTTCATTGAAGTATTCCTTCCCAAACAAATTCTTTGAAACCATTGAAAAAATATCTAAACGTTTTTCGGTAATTCATACGGTATGCAAGGGGGTCCGTGTTTTCGCGCTTGTATTACGTAAAATTGTGGTAACAGAAATCCCCCTGGCATTATATATATAAGGGTGACCGTACGTTTGAACCCATGTACATTTGAACCCATGCGTATATCCACGGGTTCAATCTATATGCGAGTGCTAAAACCCATGGGTTAGGGTTAGTATGGGTTTAACTATCCGTGAAACAAAAAAAATTCCATAGGTGCAATAGCATACAGGTGCAATTGTCATGGGTTCAAATGTACGTGGGTTCAAATGTAATGGAACCATATATAAGCGCTGCATGGTAGCATCAATTTGCATAGTCTCAGCACAACCCAACTTTTTTTAATATCTGAAACATCCGCCCACCTTACATGATAGGATGACCTTAACCGGTATTACTAGACTATATCGTGAGATATATCTCAGGCTAGTACGTGACTAATGGATATCACTTATTCTAACCGTACCTCAAACTGCATACATAAAGCGGGATACTTCTCGCTATAGTAGCCCATTCCCTGTTCTGGAGCGGAAGATAATATCGGATAAATTGCACCACATTCATTTACGTGTTGCAAGTACATCGAGGTGTATATACAGCTCAATAGTTCAGATATGACCTCAAATCCCCCTCATGTCAGCATGTCGGAAGAGACCTATCTTTCCTTAAATTTTCAGATCCTTTAGTGAATTTATCCACCCCGCCTCCCGTCGGGACAAATCCAGCCACTTCTTACATTTCGGTTTCAGACTTCGATTTTTTTTCGGCGGGAACGCATACGCTTCCGTATTTCGTCTACTTTATCCTTTATTTCATTCAGCCTTCTTGTTGTTTGTCTTAGCGGAAATCAGTGACATTTTGGTATATCTAACAGCCAGCCAACACGGAAAGCTCAACAAGAAAGACTTACCACGTCGGTGGACAAGTTTAGTCGAATTCAAACTTAAAATGTCTGTTAAAAATGTTCAGTAATGAAAAAGCATGTGGCTCTAAGATATCTTGTGTGACATGGTACAGAATAACAAAAAATGCAGATCGCATCAAGAACCGTGTTTCATACCTGAAATGTCACTGGTGGGTCGTTGAAAATATGCAAGATGCATAAGTTCGTATTGTGTTAATGACGGAAGCGGGCGCCAAAGTCTAAGACAGAACACACACCGGCTTGAATTAAAAATATATCTGAACTCAACGTATGTTATAGTTATATATGACACATATTCTATTCAGTATGTATTTTATTATCTGGCTCACACAACATAGCTTTTTCCATGGATGATATACAAATGATTATTGCTCTACAAACAGGTGTTGTAGCTACTAAAGAACTATCTGAATCCCATTGCATATTTCTGTTCAACCCAAAACATGTGGAACCACAATGTAACTTCCTAATCACTTCATCTCCCTGTCTACACTCTGCTTCCCCGAGTATTACTTGAATTAAGTGTTCTTTCAGACTCAAAAAGTCGTCGCGATTATTGTCGCCACCCTTTGCAATGACGTCGTTCTCTTGAAAAGATATACATTCAGCTCCATCCAAACAATTGTACACAAACGGTGGAGTAGAATGTCTGAACGAACGACTTTGTCGTAGTTTAACGACAAGAACTTCGTGTGGAACATTATGTGTAAATCCAGCATTTTTAGTTGGTTTTTCCTGCGTCCACTTTTGTTTTGCTTCATGCCAGGTTTTAAAACCGAGCAATGTTTCTTTAGCTGTTGTTTCCTCTTTTCCTAAAGCGTACTGGAGTTGAGTTTTATCCAACACAATAACAAACGAGGGTTCCATTGCCTTCAAAGTCATTTGATAAGGTTTCCCGGTGAACATATTTTCCTCCCCAATTACGAAAGGATAATTTTCCGCTTTTAATGTGACAAGCAAATCGCGTTCGAGACCAACTACCTCAAATTTTCCTCTTACCATTATGTACAACTTAGGTGGTTCTGGTTTATCCCCGCATTCAAAAAGATGAGCACCAGTAGGTACCATCCACGTTTGATGGATTTTTATACTTTCGGCTATTCTCTTTACTGCGTAATCTGGCCAATTTCGGAATACGGGAGATATTCGGAAGCACTCCGTTACAAGAGTCGACATTGGCGTTTGTTTCGTCCCGTCTAGACTAGGCATTTTTTCCAAATTTGACAATGCCTTGAAAATTTGTGATTTCATCATCCATTCGTTATAATTTACGTCTTTATTGTCTGTCCTTATGATATGTTCTTTTGAAAAAAACAATAGTCTCGTGCCAGATTTTGCAACAATGCTGTCCACGCCAGGTAAATTGAGAAAAATGGAGTCTGTTCCTAACACAGCACCTCGCATTAAAATCCCAATCACGCACTTCATTTCATCGTCTTTGTATTTGATGACGCAAGCTCCTTTCTCAATAACGTAGCAATATTTACTTGGTTCGTTCTGTCGTAAGACAACTTCATCGCTAACAATTTTTTTCTCTTGGATATCCACCTTTTTTAGAGAAGGCAAGCGAAGTTTTATAGGCAAGCAACTTAACGCCTTCCTTACATATTTCACATCCTCATCTGAAATGGTTTCACGTTCTTCCAATTTTACCATAGACTTTTCATTAGGTATTGCCTGAAGAGATATCTCTTTCGGCTTTGATATACTCTGCGTTTTAGACGACCCGCTTCCCATATTCATTAGCTGAAGATCTCTCTCTCTCTCTCTCTCTCTCTGGAGAAGGATTCAAGTGAAATAGAGTAGACTAGAATAATTCATCTAATCTAAAATCTAATTTTACACATTACCCTGTGTGACGTAATAATTGATTTTCACAGTACATTGGACGAATATAATAATAAGAATGCAAGATGGAGTTATCATTAATACTTAGTACAATATGTAATTTATATGCTTATTATACTTTATTTTCACTTCATTATATCAAAACTCAACTTCATTGAGCACCTAAAAAATGGAAATAACAGGAAGAGAAATTTTGCTCGGCTTCAAAATCTGATATAAAAGTGGACGTAGGTTTACACGATGTTCCACAAGAGAGGTTCCCCTTGTGATAAAGTCGTTCTTTCGGACATTCTACTTCGCCGTTTGTGTACAATTGTTTGAAGCTAGATAATAAGCTACACACTGAATAGAATATGCGCCATATTCGACATAAGTTACATTGAGAAAGCTTTTGTTGCTTAATTACGGTCATATGCGTTCGCTTTGATGAAATCACAAGCGCTTTGTGGAAGCTCCCGACGTTTTTTTTTCAATAGTTAGGCACGCCCAATTAGTTCGTCACTTTAACAATTAAGTTAGTGGCTTTCAACCTTTGCTAATAAAAACAATCAGGTGCTGATACGCGAGCTTTCGTCGAACCGCAAATTTCATTTATATATATGCACTTTTGTAGCTTTCTGTTTTAGTTTCACTTTTTAGCGACCGATTGACTGGAAGATCGACGCTTTGACTTGACTTTTTGCGTTTTCAACATTTTTCATGTACGCCGTCACTGTTTTCATTACTTCTTTTTATGTGCCCGAAAAGGAATATTTTAATAAATTGTATCGTTCGAACTATTTCTTCCTAGTAGACGTTGAAGGTGGCGGGAGGTTTCTGAAAATAAAAGGCTGGAACGAATGATTTGAAAAGAATTCATTTAGCATTAGCTTGTTGTGTAAAACCCTTTATTGAACACCAGTTGCACATACGGATCGTAAAATTGTTGTTGTTGTTAAAGCTATCGATTTCCTAATTCCTAGGCGATCAATTTCAAGTGTTCAGTGTATACATGCAAATGGAAAAAGTCACATGAAAGCTACTTATTTAAACTTTTCAAGACTTGCTGGGGCCGAGAGTTTACACGACATTCTGCTGTCTAATTTCAATTCACGGGTACACGTTTTATTTACACAACTTCATATTACTATCATTTTACCTCCGTGTCCGTATTTTTAAGCATTGCCGTGTTGTTTTGAATTGTGAATATTTTTATTAATATATTCTACTTTGATGCGGTGATGTCAGTGAAAGTGCGTGCAAGTTTCATCAATGAACTATAGAAATTATACATTCGACAAACACCATTATTGTAGTGAATGCCATATTGAGGACACTAACTGAATCTGCATTAGGTGATATTGCCACGCATTGAGCCGCAAACTCACAACCGAAGCAATGTTGTTCAGTTTGCTGCATCTTCAAGAATTTAAAAAATCACATCCATGCATAATACCCGTTCAATTCTTATATTCAAGTCATGCTTGATTACTCGTAAAAAGGTAATCCAAGTACTTATAATAGCTCAGCAGTACACTTTTAGCCGCCGTGCTAAGATGACATCAGCAACAGATGCTGATTTTGTTTTTTACTAGAGGAATGACGTGAGAAAAGAAATAACGTAAGCAAACGAAGCAAAATCCGCATTGTGCAAGAATGTTTGTTGTCTTTTGTAAAATTCGCATCAACGTGGAGTATACCGCAAAACTTCTCCAGACGCATGATATTGCCGGGCCAAACGATCGACCTACTGTAACCCGAGTAATTAGTCAATTCTTACCTCGACCGTTTTCTAATTTGATTAAAGCTAATTAATTATGTTATATCGCTAATTAGTTTGAGCGGGAATGTGGGGAAACGCGTCGCTTTTCTCAACCAGTCACTGGGGTACGTGATGACGATCTGTTTGTCTATTTCGTGGAAGCTTGGGCTATTCAACGTTGTTGTTGATTCTTTCGACGCAACATTAAGGTAAGCAGATGATTTTTGATAAATAAAATAGTTATATCAAGCTGCAGGTATAAATATGTTTTATAAATGGCGAATTATAAAACTTGAGGGGTTCCGGCAAATCAATATTTTAGTGGTCACGGAGTTATCGTTATACAACATAATCAAAAAGGTTGAAGCATGGACTGGATCCAATTTAAAACTTGACTTTGCCAAACTTTGATTCCCATGTGAGACGAGATTAAAATTTTAAAATTTTTTAGAAAAATATACAAACTTAAATTAACTAATCAAGCGGGGCTTCGTTAGCCTACTCGAATACTTTAGACTCTTTTTTTTCTCCGTTTGCTCAATATTCAATTTATTTCAATATTTTAATGTGGGGGTATATCATATGTGTTCCGCTCGCCTACGCACAATTGCAACCGACGATTTATAGGTACTTTTATTATCGTTGGTACTACTATGAATGTCACGTTATCAACACCCGTATCATAGGATTAATTTTTATCGTAAATCAGTTTATGTTTCATTGTGCAAAATCAAAGGCATTCGAGAAAACTCTAATGTGAAACATATTACATATTTTATTAAATTGAAATTTTGTGATTGTATTTATTTATCAAGTATTTATATTTAGATATGCTGCATGGTTTGACAATTGTGTGGATCATTGTTGTACAAAGAATTATCAACCATAGACTGCTGGAAAAAATGCATTTGCAAATATGCGACGATAGGCGCTACACTACGCTAAATATTACACGCTAATGTTATTTATAATAGGTATTCTGCAGCTTTTTTTAATAGACGTAATTAATCCCATCTAATAGGTTTCTCTTGAGTTACCTTAAATATTTCCTATGTAAAATCTTTTTTAAATAGACTTCATTAATCGAATCGGTTGTGTTTACCACCAATCAATAAATAAGTATATTTTAATATTTTTCTCGGACGTGTTTTATTATTTGAAGCAGCAAAAATAATGTCCAGAAACAATTTAATACCTGATTAAATCAAGAACTCATCGATGCACACCGCCGTGATAAAGGGGTATACTATTTTGCGCAGACGAAAATTTAGAACATGGGGAAGGCTGAAGAATATGTTCAAATGAGGTGCTAGTTATTTGCGTGGCCTGTATTCGGTGATCTTAGATCGTACTTCTGAAAATAAATTATATTCTTTCTGAAACATTTTCTCAATTTTTTTCCTTGTATATATCACGTAAACCTTCACTGGAGTGTATATCAACGATTTGACTAAATTAATTACATCACTAAGATCATGAAAATTTGAGATAGAAGTATCTTATATTTTAAGTAGTTACATTCGATCTATATTATGGTTTTGCATTTGTGTCATTCCAGATGACTTAATAGGTTTATTTCAACAGGTGTTTACATTCCCTATACGTTGGCCTTTGGTTGTGTCTTGTAAGTTATTTAGGAAAGGCCTTTTCTTGTAGTTTGCAATGGAGCATTGTTGCATATGTACAATGTTATTCTACTTCAATCTCAAATTCAAAAAAGCCGGCCGAGATTATTCCTCATCGGCTTTTTTGTGAAAACATGCTTGACGTGTTTATTTTTCAAGAATTCAATACATACAAGTAAGAATTTTATCAATGTATTGCAATGGTACATTGGATTTGCTTATCCAAATATCTGGCTCACAGCGGTTATAGTAACTTTTAAAATTTTGTTATACTCTTGTCAGAAGTAATAACTTCAAGTGTTATTGAGTTTACCTTTTCTATTAGGGTACAGACTTTTTTATTTTTCAGTAAATGAAAACTAGGTCAAACTATAAGCTTGTTATCAGTCATACATGTGGGTTGTTTTAATTTACAAATCTATCAGAATAGTTTATTGTTTATTACACTTTTCCAATGACACAGCTCATTTTGCTAGATTTAAAAATTTTCAGAATAAACAAATAAATGAAATTGAAACTGAATATATTTTTCTAGGAAAAAGACAAATTTAAAAAAGAAAACAAAGTAAGCTGCTATAAAGAACAAATAAGCTCCGAGGCTTCTGCATGTAGTTTTTTTTGTCAGACAGCGAGTTTTCTTACAAATGTTTAAAAACGAAACTGATTATTTATTTTCATTTTCTAATTTTGTCGATCCATTTTGTCTTTTTAATCACAAACCCCAATGCATTTTTCCGATTTGCATGGTAATCAAATAAAAATGTAGACTGTCATTTCAAAACAATCCAAATGTATTCCTCTGATAGTGCTGAAACAGATAAAGCAAACTAACCATCCCTATCTTACACTTCACTTTCCTTTCCTTGGCTTACAGACAGGGTCGACTATAGACGTTACTGCACGCGATGGATGACGGTCGTGTGACAATGTCCGTGCAGAGAGAGACGTTGTGAACTCAGTTTTTGTTCTTCTGGAATATTTAATAATTCAATTATGCCCTTGTCAACAACACTTTGTTTGTCATAATGTTGTTGCCAGATTCAATTTCATGATTCATGCAAATTCTGGTTTTGACAACCGGTGTTGAGTCAACATATATATATACAATTTGTACTTATTTCAGTAAGCTATTCATCTAAGTTCAATTGTATATAATAAAATAGGTGCCTGTGATAATAATATATTTTTTTTAATTTTGCTGATTTATGTTTTACACAGCTGAGCCTATATAAGCAAGTCCAATAGGTATTTGTGTATTTTGGGCCATGTGTCGAACGTGCATTTACCATGTGAAAATGCGCTGCATTTTTTGGTATTCCTTATTTATTTATTTAATTGTGTTGTTTTATTTATTGTGTTTTTTTATTTATTTTGTTTTTTCTTTGCCTCTTTTATTCTTTTACTTATGTCCCGTAGCCGGCCAGAGACATAGCGGAAAACCGTTGTGCAGATATCTATAGCAGCATTAGATTGAAGGTAAAGACAAAGAGCTATGTATTGTACGGTAATCTCGTAAGAGACGGCGACGGCAATGCGCCAATATTATTGAAGCCACTCTTATTACGGCAATTATTAAGTTACCCGTTTAACGTGAATAGGCAACTCGAAAACTTCGACTTGGACTTTATTTGATGACTTCGAAATCCGAAACTTAACTCTAATGTATTTGTATATGTTGAGCATTCTAAAATTTTCATTCAAAATTCTCCTCTGAAAAAATTTCAACTCGTGCGTATTGAGAAAATCGAATAACGTCTCTAACACAAAACAATTTCAGAACCGACTTTAGGATAAAGCGAAGAGTTTTAAAAGTATTCCGAAAGCAAAAATAACACGTTGTGATATCCTTGCTATGACAAAATGTCAGGCGCCCTTCTGTATAGCAGTGTAAGTACCATTATTACATTCGTCAAGTAATGATAGGAAATATACAGGACAGGATTGTGTACAACGGCGTGGCGCACCCCTCTATATACGAATTCCCACACATATAATTAATATATATATATTAGGTGTTGAAAAAAGTAACCCAACAGTTTCCGTCGTTGCAACAAATCACGCCACAAGTAGCGATTCCAATCAAATACTTAACGCAGAAGGCTAATTCATCATACTTGACTTTCAATGCAGACACCAAATTTGGCTGTAAATGCGCTGGCCAAGAACTCAATCACCTCCGAGTTACAGAGTAACCGAAAACGTGTATAATCAATCCCAACTGATGCTTGCTTTTAAGCGCAGCACGCTGCAATCTCAAGGCCCATGTACTTGCGTTGAAAGAAACTGTATTCTGTTCACAGTTGGGCCAAAGAATGCAAGCTTGAATACAATTAGTGTTGACGGCAAAGTCGTCAGAATGTCCAGGTCGAAGTTTCCGGGGTACTTATTATCATTAAACGGGTAATAATTAACAACTCAACAATTAATAATTGTTGTTAATTAATATTTGACTCAATATTGTGTGAAATTTCAATCAACTAAAGATGTTATTAGGACATTGTCCGACTTTTGCGTCACGTCTCTGCGGACCGGTAGTAACCTTTCCGCGGACCGGCGATGGGCCGCGGCCGGTGGTTGCCGACCACTGATTTAGTCATTCAGACAGATTTTCATGGTTGTGAATATTACCTCGTTTTGTCGGATTTCGCGTGTTATTTGTTAGATTTTAGTTGTGTTTTGGTAAATATGAGTCCTAAACTCGCAAAACCATTCTTGAAATAAGTACCAATAATTTTTCAATGGTAGAGTGTAAAGGGGAAGAATTCAAGTGATCAAAAATCGAGGAAACATTCGTTACTTAGTTGTTCGCATTTGTTATATCCTACTACGTAGACTTTAGGTTCTCAAAGTGCTCCGTACGGAGCCTCAGGACTCCGTTAAAAGCACTTAGGGCCTCCGCGAGCTATTCGTTTACTTGAAAACTGTCCTTGACCCACTGCCCTAACTCCCCCAACCTCCCTATTCTAGACCAACTACGCTATCTCCCTATCCTCGACCCACTGCCCTATCTCCCCAACTTTCCTATCATGGACCCACTGCCCTATTTCCCCAATTTTCGCATCCTCGAACCACCGCTCTCAACCTTTAATATCTCGACCTACCGCCTTATCTCCCTCAACTTACCTATCCTCGACCCACCGCCCTATTTGCCACAACTTACCTATTTTTGACCTACGGTGCTGTACTATTCAGTACCTGACCTAACGGCGCTTCATTCACGACCCGATCGCCACACTGAACTATACTATGTTGCGACCAACTTCCATGGGTTATACTGGTCGTGTATGCCAATGAGATGATTCAATCTTACGTCGACAAAACATGATTGACAGCATTCGTATATGTAGGCTGGAATCTCAAATGGTAAACAATAACCATAATTGGCAGTTTAAAAATGTGTTACTAATGGGGCTACTGATGGTTTCTTGTTGGGAATGACAGTTTTCTAAATTTTACCAAGCCGTTTTATGCCCTTAATAATTGATCATGTCGTGAGTCTTGTGACTATATGATGCTGATCCGAAATAAGCAATAGTGCTCTGGTCCGTATAAAATATTTTTCTTCAACATTTTATAGTAGAAGCGATGCCAAAGATTACGTACGAACTGCGTCCTTTGCAATTTCATTAGGTTGCAGATAAGATAAGCTCATTTTTGGGACTATACGCTGAATTAAAGTGCAGTTGGGAACGCTAGTTACGACAAAACATTTCATGGCTTAAAAATAGTTTGGAAGGGATTACACTTACTGAGCGACTTACATTTTTGACAGTTTTTGACTTTTCAGCCTTTTCAGTCACGTAAAAGAAATTTGTATATACAACAGGATATGGCAGAACATTCGTTAAAAAATACCAAGCGTGCAAATATATCACTACTTCCTCATCGTTTTGCCTTGCATGGAAATACAGGCGACATTGAATGAGTTTCTGAAAAGGAACTCAGATATGTCGATATCGAATGGCCTGTTAAAATTTTAAAAACAGTGACTGCAAACCAGATGCCATCAGTAGCCTAATCAGTAGCACATTTTTAAGCCACTAATTATGGTTATTGATTACCAATTGAGATTCCAGCCTACATTTACGAATGCCGTCTATCATGTTTTGTTAGGCACAGAGTGGTATAGCGTCGTGGGTCGAAGATAAGCAAGTTGAGGAAGGTCGGACAGTGGGTCGAGGGTGGGAAGTTTTGAGGCAGATAGTGCAGTGGATCGAGGATAGAAAAGTTGGGGGGGGGGGGGGGGAGATAAAAAGGTTGAGGGGGAAAGGAAGGTAGTACAGTGGGTCGAGGGTAGAAAGGTTGAGGGAGATAGGGCGGTTGGTCGGGGATAGGGAGGTGGAGAACTTGGCCGAGGCGAGGGAGACAGGGCAGAGGATCGAGAATAGGAAAGTGGAAGGAGATAGGGCAGTGGGTCGAGGATTTGAGTTGGGATTAAATTCCTATTAGACTTGCTTATGGGCTCAGTTGTGTAAAGTAAAGCATAAATCGGTAGAATTTGAAAAAAAAATTGAAAGTTGAATAATATTATTGTGAAGACCCTTGTTTTATCTGTTAAATGATGTCATGTGATATTTTTTCCATATTTGGTATTCTGTATTTTCAACACTGGGTAGCAGTGACACTGTCGATTTGTCCTTTGGTATCTTGTTGGCGTGTGCTGTGGTTGGTACCGGTACAGTGTGGTTGGTTTTTGGTTGGATTCTGGTCATGAGTGTCTGTGGAAGTGCCTCCGGTCTCCGGTTGGTTACCAGGGATGTTTGTTTGTTGTTTTGGGACTGCGGGATGGGATTTGTTGGATGTTTTTATGCTGGACAGTAGGTTAATATTATTGGACACGTAGTGGACATAGCGATCGTTTTGTTGTTGGACACCTAGTGGACATAGCGATTGTTTCAATATTATGTTGTTATTGTTGTTGTTCTTTGACACTATTGTACACCTAGTGGAAAACCTGAAAAGTCGCTTTTCTCTTTGATTACTGGACCAATTGCCCGGAAATTTTCGGTGGTCACAACTGTATATGTTAATTTTGATAAGAGCAAATTGAATTGAGGTGGAGCAGTTGGCCGAGGCGAGGGAGGCAGGGAAGCGGATCGAGAATAGGGAAGTGGAGGGAGATAGGGCAGTGGTCGAGGATTTGAGTTGGGATTAAATTCCTATTAGACTTGCTTATAGGCTCAGTTGTGTAAAGTAAAGCATAAATCGGTAAAATTAAAAAAAAAATTGAAAGTTGAATAATAATATTGTGACGAACCTTGTTTTAGCTGTTAAATGATGTCATGTGATATTTTTTCCGTATTTGGTATTCTGTATTTTCAACACTGGGTCGCTGTGATATTGTCGGTCTGTCCTTTGGTATCCTGTTGGTGTTTGCTGTGGTTGGTACCGGTACAGTGTGGTTGGTTTTCGGATTGATTCTTGTCATGAGTGTCTGTGGGAGTGCCTCCGGTCTCCGGTGGGTTATCAGGGATTTTTGTTCGTAGTTTTGCGACTGCGGGATGGGGATTTGTTGGATGTTTTTATGCTAGACAGTAGGTTAATATTATTGAACACGTAGTGGACATAGCGATCGTTTTGTTTTTGAACACGTAGTGGACATAGCGATCGTTTCAATATTATGTTGTTGTTGTTATTGTTCTTTGACACTTTTTGGACACCTAATGGAGAACCTAAAAAGTCGCTTTTCTCTTTGATTACTGGACCAATTGCTCTGAAATTTTCAGTGGTTACAACTGTATTTGTTGATTTTGATAGGAGCAAATTGAATTGAGTTTTTATATGCCAGAGTAGAACCGTTCCACGATCGAATAGCAGGCCTACATACAGCAACAGGTACTGCAGTACTGATAAGGTACCGTACGGCAGGGGTCCGCAACTACGGGGTTGCGACCCAAATTTCAATCAACTAAATTTGTTATTGGGACATTGTCCGTCTTTTGCGTCACGTTTCTGCGGACCGGTAGTAACCTTTCCGCGGACCGGCGTTGGGCCGCTGCGGTGGTTGCCGACCACTGATTTAGTCATTCAGACAGATTTTCATGGTTGTGAATATTACCTCGTTTTGTCGGTTTTCGCGTGTTATTTGTTAGATTTTAGTTGTGTTTTGGTAAATATAAGTCCTAAACTCGCAATACCATTCTTGAAATAGGTACCAATAATTTTGCAATGGTAGAGTGTAAAGAGGAAGAATTCAAGAGATCAAAATTCGGGGAAACATTCGTCAATTGGTTGTTCGCATTGTTATATCCTACTACGTAGACTTTAGGTTCTCAAAGTGTTCGGAACGGAGCCTCAGGACTCCGTTAAAGGCACTTAGAACCTCCGCGAGCTATCCGTTTACTTGAAAACTGTCCTCGATCCACTGCCATATCTCCCCCAACCTCCCTATTCTCGACCCACTACGCTATCTCCCTATCCTCGACCCACTGCCCTATCTCCACAACTTTCCTATACTCGACCCACTACGCTATCTCCCTATCCTCTACTCACTGCAATATCTCCCCAACTCTCGCATCCTCGAACCACAGCTCTATCTCCCTCAACCTCACTCTTCTCAACCTACTGCCCTATCTCCCTCAACCTACCTATCCTCGACCCACTGCCCTATCTGCCACAACTTATCAGGGATGTTTGTTCGTGGTTTTGCAACTGCGGGATGGGGATTTATTAGATGTTTTTATGCTAGACAGTAGGTAAATATTATTGGACACGTAGTGGACATAGCGATCGTTTTGTTGTTGGACACGTAGTGGACATAGCGATCGTTTCAATATTATGTTGTTGTTGTTCTTTGACACTTTTGGACACCTAGTGGAAAACCTAAAAAGTCGCTTTTCTCTTTGATTGCTGGACCAATTGCTCTGAAATTTTCAGTGGTTACAACTGTATTTGTTGATTTTGATAGGAGCAAATTGAATTGAGTTTTTATATGCCAGAGTAGAACCGTTCCACGATCGAATAGCAGGCCTACATACAGCAACAGGTACTGCAGTACTGATAAGGTACCGTACGGCAGGGGTCCGCAACTACGGGGTTGCGACCCAAATTTCAATCAACTAAATTTGTTATTGGGACATTGTCCGTCTTTTGCGTCACGTTTCTGCGGACCGGTAGTAACCTTTCCGCGGACCGGCGATGGGCCGCGGCCGGTGGTTGCCGACCACTGATTTAGTCAATCATGCAGATTTTCATGGTTGTGAATATTACCTCGTTTTGTCGGTTTTCGCGTGTTATTTGTTAGATTTTAGTTGTGTTTTGGTAAATATAAGTGCTAAACTCGCAAAACCATTCTTGAAATAAGTACCAATAATTTTGCAATGGTGGAGTGTAAAGAGGATGGATTCAAGAGATCAAAATTCGGGAAACATTCGTTACTTAGTTGTTCGCATTGTTATATCTTATTACGTGTACTTTAGGTTCTCAAAGTGCTCCGTACGGAGCCTCAGGACTCCGTTAAAGGCACTTAGAGCATCCGCGAGCTATTCGTTTACTTGAAAACTGTCCTCGACCCACTGCCCTATCTCACCCAACCTCCCTATTCTCGACCCACTT